TCGAAAAAGTTTTAATTATAGCTTCTTTGTTTAAGCAGAAATTACAAGTTATTTAGACCTATAAAATAAATGCCTTAATATATAAAATATTATCAGAAAATTAAATGATGTCAATGACGATCGTGGATTTGCGGCATTTGTGTCAATTATAAATCTATTAGTGGAAGGAGACATATGGATGGTCGGAGGGCTAGGCGCCCTCGGGCGCTCCAGAGGTGGTCCAGCCCTTCACTCGAGTGCACAACAAATAACTTTAATTCTTTATTCAAGTGAAATATGTTGACTATTGACAATTATGATTTTATTGAAAAACATGAACACATTATATGTCAGAACAGCTTATCTATTACTAACTGAAATCTTAAAAATATTTCCTATTAGATTTTATACCTACTCCATACAGAAAAGTAATTAAATAGTTTACTTGAATTAACTATAAAAAAAATAAATTATATGCTCACTTAAGACGTGAGTGTGCTAGAGATAGTGAGTATTGGAATTTTGTTAACATGCGGCTTACAAATATGTATATTACTAGATATGGCACATATAGATCTATAACTATGGTTAGTAACAAAGCATCAGTTTTTCGGAAAATTCATTCAACTTTAAAAGATTTAAAATGGGCCACATTTTATGTGTATATAAGATGTTTTTGATGTTAATCTAATAACATTTAACAATTACAAATCTCTTAAAGAATATCTCCTTATCAAAGTCTTCTTATTCAACATATTTTTTTGTAGAACAATAAACGCGTCCCCAGCTTTTAACTTTGACACTTCGGATCCAGTCATCCGACACCTCTCGACCGCCACAGATGGTGCTTTCATGTCAATCGTCATAATTAGGGGATTACGACCCCCTAATGACATGTTACATTGAATCTCTTTTACGCCCACGGACAAATGTTCTACAATTTGTTCTGTAAATAATGAATGTTTGTTCTCGATTATTTTGTTTCGATTCTGCCTTGCACCTTACAGTATAAGTCTATAGATGTGTTCTGCTACAAAAAGAAATAGATGCAACTAGTCTTAAAACACGCGCTATAGGAAATAAAGTGGTAAGCATGTTATTAAATAAAACAAAAACCACGAAAACAAAGTTATAGCGCCGTGTTGTCTCTATACTAATATTATAAAGAGGAAAGATTTGTTTGTTTGTTTGTTTGTATTGAATAGGCTCCGAAAATACTGAACCGATTTGAAAAATTCTTTCACTGTTCGGAAGCTACACTATTCCCGAGTGACATGGGCTATAATCTTTTTTGAAAAAATTCAATAATGTAACCCAAGGTGTAAAAAAATTACTTAAAATATTCTTTACATCGCGTGCCCTGCGAAAACTATTGATGATAGAATAAAATAATGTACTACGACTTTGTAGAACACATTATTATTTACAAAAGGTGTCGCGAGAGCAAATGTCTAACTATTATAGTTATGCCGCAATAAGTGTTCTTTTATTTTTAAAAATAAAACAACGTCAAATATCGTTGAAATTTTTGTTAAAGACCCGAGCGGAGTCGGAGCGGGCCTTTAGTTTTAGAATAAAATTACAACAATAGATGTTTTTTCCGCAGAAATTATATCAAACAAAGTCCTTTTTCATTTTGGTCAACGACCGCGGGTAAAAACGGCAAATAAAATCGTTTCTCTAATAGCTTAATCGGATCCCCGGAAAACGTCAGGTAAAACGAAACCAATATGTTCGCCAGCAAAGCACCTAAAACATAGAAGCGAAAAAAAGCAACCTTTCAAACGTTAAAAGGTCCGCTTAGCGCGGACGCAAACACTTAACTCCGTTTTAATTAGTAAGTAGCTTGGAACACCGTCAAAGGGAATGCATGAATACTTCGAAACCGACCTTCGGCAGTGCTTTTAAAATCTCCCTCGCTTAATTCAGAAGCTCAGAGAAACCGAAGGTAAACTGATTATGTCGCCAATATGAGAATTTTTAGGCAGAAACGGTGAATTTCGAGTTTTATCTTTGATGTTGTATAAAAGCTTTTCGAGTTTGTCTCTCGGGATCGATTTTCTAATTACGAATCGAAGTAAAACATTCGACTTATATCACGAATTTACATTCAATCTATTATTCAAAAACACTTAAAATCGACTATACGATTGTTAGTGGTGTCTGGTACTGATTTTTTAGTTTTAATTATTTATGCATCCGGTATTTCTTATGCTATATAATCTTTCGAGTTACCAAGAACACGATATTAAAGTTGCAAAGTTTTTTTCATTCATGTTTTACTCATAAATTGAAATTCAAAGTGTTTCAACACTCCTTCACATAAAATATATACATAATTATGTAATAAAATAAAATATGAATCCTAATATTGACTATATTGAAAAAATCACATACTCTTTGTAGCTTTTCTAGTTACACTCAACAAATACACTGAGCTACCTCTGTGTCAGATATGTCAACCTTGCAACATTGGAAACTGTGTGTGCCATCTATTTCAAAATTATTACTCTTTTGTACCTTGTTGAACTACGAAAAGGCAATAATATTATAAAAAATATGTTTTCGTCAATCACTACATTTAGTTAACACAGACATTCGAGGCTGTGCATCAGGCCTTCAACATCATCTATAGACTCATACCTTCATCCATAGATAGCCACAAAGAAAGAACAAAAATGATCAAACATTAAAAAAAAGATGTGTGGTGTCGTGGGACACCGAATCGGAACGAAGTTCCTTATTATAAAAATATTAATTTTAAGTTCTATTCGAGGTATAAAGAAAATAAAACTGGAGGTTTCGCAACAACCCACGGTCATTCGGTAACGTGCGAACTTATTGTGGTACACATCATTCACGCTTGTTTGCACAAGAGTTAGTGTATTGCGCAAACGAACGCTCTGAGATCGTGGTCAATGAATGACAAAAAAATATGATAATTTTGTACGTTATTACAAAGTTAAGTCGTACACTGTGTGCATTACTAATAAAAATCTTACGTTACGGACGTTTTTTCCCGGTTAGGGTACCCCTCCGCATCGTCCCATAAGGAACTTCGTTCCAAAAATTTAGAAGTCATAACAACACCACCTCCCGATGATCTCTTCAGGCGTTTTCAAGAGTCTCGACGTGAAATCATTAGGCTGTTAACAGCGTTAGTTAAAGCAACGCAATTACAATTATGTGCGGCCCGCGCGAACTTGACCTACGGCACGCGGGTCGATGCGCACGAACCGCTTATGCAAATAAGTACCTATGCGGTTTCCTTAAAGTCTGAACTGACAGCCTTTGAGTACGTGTTAGTCTCATTCTTCAGTTTTTTCTTGAACATTCACCAATATTGATGAAACAAAACAACCGAGTACCAACGACAATTAATAAAATCTAAATTTTTGCGAGTTTGATTTTTATTACACGATGTTATTCCTTCACCGTGGAAGTCAATTTGTTAAGTACGTATTTCATTAGAAAAATTGGTACCCGCCTGCGAGATTCGAACACCGGTGTATCGCTCGATACGAATTCACCGGACGTCTTATCCTTTAGGCCACGACGACTTTAGTGATGATTTTAATATCGCATTTAAACTCACAAATATCACATGTATTTAAACTTACTCGAAATTCCTACTTGACACCAGTCAATGGTATACTTAGTCTGGCCATAAATACTGAATTAAAAATAAACAAAATATTACATTTGAATTTGGAATCTGTCATTTTTATATGATTGCTCATTGAGTTTTCTCATTTTGGCGCCAATACATTGTTCAATATTTTGCGATATTAAAATGGAGTGGGGTGATAAAGAGAACCAAATCGCTGTGATTGCATTACACAAAGTAGGTATGGAGCCAAATGCAATTTTTAAAACTCTCCATACGCTCGATATTAGTAAAATGTTTGTGTACCGGGCTATTAATAGGTGCAATGAGACCTCCTCTGTTTGTGACAGAAAAAGATCTTGCTGTCCACGTAGTATTCGTACGAAAAAGGTGGTCAAAGCAGTAAGGGAAAGAATTCGAAAATGGAAAAGAAATCCTGTTCGAAAGCAAAAGATTTTATCTCGGGAGATGAAGATAGCACCTAGAACCATGTCGCGTATTTTAAAAGATGACTTAGAACTTGCAGCCTATAAGAGACGTACTGGTCATTTCTTAACTGATAATTTAAAAGAGAATAGGGTGGTAAAATCGAAACAACTACTGAAGCGGTACGCAAAGGGAGGTCATAGAAAATTTTTGTTTACGGATGAGAATTTTTTTACAATTAAGCAACATTTTAACAAACAAAATGACCGTATTTATGCTCAAAGCTTTAAGGAAGCTTCCCAATTAGTCGACAGAGTGCAACGTGGGCACTATACGACTTCAGTGATGGTTTGGTGGGGTATTAGCTATGAAGGAGTGACTGAGCCATACTTTTGTGAAAAAGGTATCAAAACATCGGCACAAGTGTATCAAGATACCATTCTTGAGAAGGTAGGAAAGCCACTTAACAACACCATGTTCAATAATCAAGAATGATCCTTCCAGCAAGACTCGGCGCCAGGTCATAAAGCTCGGCTTACGCAGTCTTGGTTGGAAACGAATGTTTCGGACTTCATCAGAGCTGAAGACTGGCCGTCGTCTAGTCCCGATCTTAATGCGGTGGATTATGATTTATGGTCAGTTTTAGAGAGTACGGCTTGCTCTAAACGCCATGATAATTTGGAGGCCCAAAAACATTCCGTACGATTGGCAGTGAAAATTTTTCTCATGGAAAGAGTGCGTGCTTCTATTGATAACTGGCCTCAACGTTTAAAGGACCGTATTGCAGCCAATGGAGACCACTTCGAATAAGCTTTTTATACTTTAAATTGTTTTATATTTGTGTATTAAACTAACACACTGTAAAAGTAATAAATGTTATTTGCAATAGATTTATTTTTATTTTTAATTGTAACGGTGTTTATGGCCAGACTAAGTTCTTGTTGTTTTTTTACAATACAATACAATACATGTTCTTTTTTGTCAACAGAGGGAGCGTTTAAAAAGTTAAAGCCGGAGCCTGGTGGGAATGGGTCCGGTGCGTCAAGTGGTAATTCAGCACTATCGCCGGCTCTAGGACCACAGCACGCGGGCCACACGCCAACAACTGCATCATGTCCGACGCCAGCGAGGAGAAGACATCGAACAACATTCACACAGGTTACTCCGACGGTTTCGAAATTACATATAAATCACCAAGTCCGATAACGAGTTAGACTGGCAATTTTTTTTTTATTGCTTATATGACATGAATTGTGTCTAAAGGTATGATTCCGAACTCGGCAACAATAGCCCACTGAGTTTCTCGAGAGATCTTCTCAGTGGAAGCACGACTCTTGCTAGGGTTCGTGTTAGCAACGTCGTCAGGTTTGAGATCCGTGAGCTCACCTCCTAGTTAAGGTTACGCTGAAATAGTCTCTCAAGGCTATCAGCTTAGGTAGGAAAACGGCAACAAGCAGCAGAGCTGCCACTAAGGTGCTGCCCGGTAGTGACGCGTCTGACGCCACAGCAAGAGTACCTACGTGAATGCGTTGTTCTTTCGGGGCGGTAGGGCGACACTGACGCGCAGTAATGCTGCCGCTACATTGCTGCCTAGCTCGGAATGTAATCTCATATAAGCTTATAGAGATTGTATGGGGACCAGTAGTGCCGCGACAACACTACTGCGGCAGCACTGCTGCGTGCAGCGTAGTTCGAAATCATACCTTTAAGGTCATGAAAATTCCTCGAAAATAATCTTTATACTAGGAAATGAGTTTGCTACTAATAAATAGTCTTGCTGGGTCCCTAGCACGCTAGCCGATGATAACCGTCTACCATTAGTTCGACTGCTCATCTGTACGTCAATAAAAGTGCACGTTATCAAATAAAATATAGTTACTGAAGAACGTGAATTAAAAATGTATTTTTGGTTCATTGTTGTTGCCGCTTCGCTGGGCATTTAAAATTACCATTATTATTTTTAGTATTAGGGAGTCCAACACTGATATAAATATTAGCCTATCCATTCATCCAACGAAGAAACAGACATTGTTGTTTGGATCTAGTTACTATTTCAGCGATTTCGGGGTGATAGCTATGGGTCTATATTGGTAGCACAACAAATTAATCTAACTTGACGTATAGACATAAAAAACAAAATATTAGTGAAATAATGGCTGCAGGCACACAATCGACGATGTAGTAGCAGATTAAAATGAAAACAATAGTTTAAAAAAATAAAAAAAATACGCTTTTATAGAAAATCCTTAGCCCTTCTACTCATATCTGTTCATAAAATATTTATAACTACTGATACCATGCACCCCACGCCTTTTTTACAATAAAATCATTTTTTCTTACACTGTTATTAATTGAAATTTATTTTCTATTTTTTAGTTGGATTTTCTATAAAAGTGTATTTTGTTAGTTTTTTTTAAACTAATACATTATTTATTTTTCATTTTCTAGTTGAATTTCAATTTTTTCAATTTTTTTTCTAAATATTGAATTGTCATCGGTCGTTAATAAGTATACCAAATTTCGAGTTAATCCGACGTTTTGAAGGGGGTCAAAATCATGTTCAAAGATTCCGTTACAAGCATACCTACGTAGGTAAGATACATACATCTGAAGCTAATAAAAGTGTATTAAAAATTGGGTCGCTTGTCGATCCCAACGGTGGTACCACTGAACTCGGACACTTTACCTGAATAGTTCAGCTGTTATAATATATTTGCATTCAAACATTCTTCGAAGCATTAAATTTCATTTACGAACCTTTTCACACAGGAACAATTAGCAGAGCTAGAAGCGGCATTCGCAAAGTCACATTACCCGGACATTTACTGTAGGGAGGAGCTGGCGAGAACTACGAAATTAAACGAAGCCAGAATACAGGTCAGTACCATAGAATTAATCACAATAATCTATACTAATATTATAAAGAGGAAATATTTATTTGTCTGTTTGTATTGAATAGGCTCCGAAACTACTGAGCCGATTTGAAAAATTCTTTCACTGTTTGAAAGCTACACTATTCCCGAGTGACATGGGCTATAATCTTTTTTGAAAAAAATTAGGGATCCTTACTAAAACTTCAATAACGTAACCCAAGGTGTAAAAAAATTACCTAAAATATTCTTTACATCGCGTGCCCTGCGAAAACTATTGATGATAGAATAAAATAATGTACTACGACTTTGTAGAACACATTATTATTTAAAAAAACAGTCGCTACAGCATATGTCTAACTATTATATAAAAAAATAAAACAACATCAAATATCGTTGAAATTTTTGTTAAAGGCCCGAGCGAAGCCGGAGCGTGCCGCTTGTTACCAATAAAAGGCTTTCGAACGAACCTTATAGTTTATTTAATTACAACAAAAGTACATTTTTTTTTTTATTGCTTAGATGTGTGGACGAGCTCACAGCCCACCTGGTGTTAAGTGGTTACTGGAGCCCATAGACATCTACAGCGTAAATGCGCCACACACCTTGAGATATAAGTTCTAAGGTCTCAGTATAGTTACAACGGCTGCCCCACCCTTCAAACCGAAACGCATTACTGCTTCACGGCAGAAATAGGCGGGGTGGTGGTACCTACCCGTGCGGATTCACAAGATGTCCCACCACCAGTAATTACGCAAATTATAATTTTGCAGGTTTGATTTTTATTACACGATGTTATTCCTTCACCGTGGAAGTCAATCGTGAACATTTGTTAAGTACGTATTTCATTAGAAAAATTGGTACCCGCCTGTGGGATTTGAACACCGGTGCATCGCTAGATACGAATGCACCGGACGTCTTATCCTTTAGGCCACGACGACTTTGCAATATGCAATGCTATGACGATAACACCAAACTAAAGCACAGCACGCACAATATACAGCCTTACCATTAATATCGACCACTTCTAGATAACCAGTGATGAAAATAGACAAAACGGTGACACAAACAGATTCCAATAAATGTAAATTTTTTTTATGAAAAATCAGAATTTTATATGAAATAAATTTTATTTATAATATCATATACATATATAATTTAAATTATTCAGATATAAATTTTATTATACATATGTGTAAACCCACCCGTATTAGTTCGTTTATGAAATTAAAACAATTAGTAGCAAACTAAAGGAAAATGTTTTATGAATTAAAAAAATATAGTACATTAGTTCTAAGCTTTATTTTGAACAAAGGCAACAATTATTTACCTTGATGATTCATTCTAAAATCAGATTATGCTCGTAAAAGTAGTGATTCGAGATTATCAATTCCAATTCTCTCGATTTTAAAATTCGTATCGAAAAATGTACCACGCTTTACCTATTCAGATTAAAGAAGTAAAATAGTACAGTGTATCAATCACACATACAACCGATCGTTCTATAATCGCATGACATTGTTGGACGGTATTTATTGGTAAATAAAAGCAAAACAGACCACCCAGAACGCAAAAATAAGCGATAAAAACTACGCAGAGCCGCGCCGCGCCGTTCTTGGATGGAATTGTCGAAATATCAATGATGCGCGAATACTCGGATAATACAATTTGGAGCGTAGGCCGGAGGCGGATTGAATTAAAGCGCCATCTGTCGTCCTCGACCGTATGAATACGAAATGCTTACAGTAACTCGCGAGAGATCTTTATCTCAGTTTTAAAATTGCTCAATCCCCCGGGACCGTTGATATTGATTTGTCCCCGGAGCACCTAATTTGTTGCTTCAGATATTTTATTTAGAAAGTGACTTGTGACATTCTACGAAACATGAGAACATTGGTTTTTCACTACTATCAGCTTTGAATGATAGTGCAACACGAATATTTTTCTAGTTACGTTATTACTTAAGACTAAAAAGTAAATAATATCTATATTAAATACGTTTTGAACAGAATAAAGCTTTGTGAATTACATTAGTCAGACTTTTACTTCTATATCGGTGTTAAAAGCTCGTAATTTGCGAAGCAATTTTACATGGATAGGTATGTGAAACTCCGATACAGTTAGCGCGTGTGTGTGTGGTAGGTACATGTGTACACGCGCTCGGTAGGAGGCTATTAACGTTTAGGCGACGCTACATAAGAATGTAAACGTTAAAGACGACAGCAATGTCGAGCGAAATTTCCTCTACAAGGATCCCTCCTTTTCGATATAAAAATACAACGTGTAGGGACGAGCCAGGGTTGCGGGGTGGCGGGACGCGAGGGGCGGCCCCTGAGGCATTGCAATCCCATCAAATGGATCCGTAACGAAGTTAGCCGCTCATCCTCCCCGCGCGCCTCTCGACATTGTCTCTGCCCTCAAATGAATTCTACAATTGGAAATAAGAAAATGTTTTGTTGGAGCTCCGTGCTTTCTCAGTTTAAAAGCGAGCGTTTTCTTTAGATAACTCAATACGTTTAGCGTAAGATACCGAACCACTTATTCACTGAACTTATTGAATGAAGTTAAAAACAAAGAATATAGATATAAGTTTTTAATAAATGTAGATGTTGTTTTAATTTAATAAAGGGTACACTTTAGAACTCATGTCTCAAGGTGGGTGGCGCATTTATGTTATAGATGTCTATGGGCTCCAGTAACCACTTAACACTGGGTGGGCTGTGAGCTCGTCCAACCATCTAAGCAATAAAAAAAAAAACTAGCAAAACTACGTTATAAATCCGGCACGAATAACGTTTTTATGTGCTGCGTACAAAAACAGTGATTTTATATTAGTTATTTATTTACGAGAAAGTCGATAACCCAAAGGTATTGAGAGCAAACAACCGTATCTCATACAATCTAGTGAAAATTCGGAAATTGCTTCGTTTTTCATCACATCGCCCCCGTGGCGTGGGTCGGATGTCGGCTAGCTTTGTGAAAAAAAACTAATATCCCAGTTGTTTCCGCTTGCTTTATGTACGTATGTATTGTACAACATTCCGGGAAAACAATTCTCAATCTGTATTTTTTTGTTTGAAATAAAAAATATACGACACTTTGATAATTTGTTTTTTTTATAGAGACAACAAATACAACTAAATTTACATTAAACAATAATGCTTAAACTCTTTTCGACGTGAATTTTAATTGTATAGACAATCTCCATATCTATATCGATGTTTATTATTTTTCACGATCATACTATTAGTATTTTTTATTTATTCATATCATATATTAAAGTTTGAGAAGCATTGTAAATAGCCACATATATATTTTGGCTGGGGTGTGTTTTCTAACCGTTATATATAGGGTGTATCAGTTTATTTATATGGAGAGTGCGTAGAGAGGGTGCGGCCCCCGCCCCCGGGAGGGCCCTCCCTCTAATCAGCTCTAATCACCATATCAAACGACGCACGGTCTCATTCTCGTTGACAACACACAGATTAGGGCCCCGTGTGTTTTGTCCATTGTTTTCGTATTTAAATACATTTTGTCACATAGCAGCGTTCTAAAATAGAAATTACTAGAAATACACATGTGATGATGTCATAGGTACAATTATGTTTAAATTTTAGAAAACATTAAGGTAAATCTAATAAATTACTTAAATTTCCCTAGAACATATTTTTATACGCTACATTTTTAAGGATGATTTTCTATTTAAACGAATCTAAATACACATCTTTATTTAAATATAATGTATATGTTTAACGTACATGGTATGGAAGCTCAAAATTAAGATTTCGTGAAAATAAAATTGATATAGCCATTTTCCTCTGCTTAAACTAAATTTATTACCTCTACGTACTACTTACTACCTGGGATGAATGCGAATTAAATTAACAAACATTCATTTAATTAACGAAATACTATATCATAACATTCTGCTTCGAAGGATGCTGATTAATTATTAACATTTCGAGGAATCGAGAGACGTGTAATGGTTACTAGCCGAGCAGACGGCACGGCATAGCACGGCATGGCATTCAGGGCAGAAATAAGCAGGACCGTGGTACCTACCCATGCGGACTCACAAGAGGTCCTACCCCTAGTAAAAAGGCTTCCGAGACACTAACACGATATTACGTTCTTAGGTCTGGTTTCAAAACCGCCGCGCGAAGTATCGGAAACAAGAGAAACAGTTGCAGAAGGCATTGGCGCCGGCCGTGCTGCCTGGCTGCAATGGAATGATGAGGAACATTCAGGGCTACCGAGGATACCAGCCCTATCCACACCCCAACACCATCAACCGGTATCCACAGGTAAGCCGAGGCCCTTATTTTAACATCATTAAGACTTTAATTTTAGACTATGCGTCATTTATAAACTCGAAAACAAATGAGATATATGAATAAAATAGAATTTAATATAGATGGTACACAGTCTAGTACCTTTTTTAAAGTCAACACAAGACAAGAGGAATAGAGATTTACTTTATAACCGGCCTGTTGACGGGTAGACCATATTGCTGCAGTTATTGACAATATCAGGCGCATACCTATTCCTATATATTCCTATTTCTATACATTGTGTTCTCAAGAACGCTAACATAAAGATATTTGAGCTCTAGAATAATTATGACAATCGCAGTACTGGGCTTGACAACTTAATAATATTGCATTTTTTATTTTTTATTACGAAGTTCGGTGATCGAATTCACGGCCCGATTAATGAACGTGGTTACTATAACAATCGCAATTACTATTATCAATACGATCGAAATCTCCATTTTACTGCAATAAAGGATGTACCAATTTTCAAACAGAAATGCATGACCGGTTTTCGGTAGAAATAGGACGGCGGTCTCGTTAGGACTTACACTACAACGTAAACACTAGTAAAATACGATTTCACCTAATTCTGAATTTCATTCATTGAAAGTTTCATAATTCCTGACATAATGTATGTAATTCTCTTATTGAATTCTAATTTTAAATTAAATAAATCGCGTTTTGTTAACAAGAATTTTAGAATAAGTCAATTTAAGCCTTAACATCGACCTTTCAACAGATTTATATATTCATAAATACTAAAAGGACGTAGTCATAGCCGTGGCTAAACGATTTCAGCTCGATTTGTCCGTACATTACCATACGGCGCTAATCATTCGGTCTGATTACGAGGTAATACGATTGTGAGCGCGCCCGTACACGAACCACGAAAATAATGCAAATGTGCGAAACGACCTGTGTTTTCGGCGATTTTGACAAAATTATCGTTCAAATGCTCAGCGATGAATGATTTAGAAGAATAAACTGTTAGGCTATGTACTAAAATTTATTATATGTATAACTTTGGTTAAACTGTCAGCGAACATACCAAATACATATCTACAAAAACTAATATATTAATTAATTAACATTAAAATAAAACCAAAATTTCAATTTATTAGCCACAACATAACAATTCGAAAATAGGAATTACTAATTAATTGTAAACAGTAATTTTCAATTTCTTTGAATTAAAAGTATTTTTTTAATCTAATTAAATCGTAAAAGTCACTCATCATTTCTAAGCTATTTTATTAAACATAAATTAATACATCGCTTTCCGGGTCATCGTTCTCGACATAGAATAGACCTAGAACGTGAACTATAATAATAATAATAATGTTTTTATTGCAAGTAACCATGACTCATAAATTGTTAATAAGACTTAATGTTAGTAGTTATATTTACATCACAATGAATTACTGTCGTAACATCCCATGGGAGATGGCACCACAGCGACCTATGTATACACAGTCCAGCCTGCTTGCGATCATGCTCAGGATACTGTTGGAGCTGGCCCTCACTCTGCTTACCAGAGATGCACACCTCTTACGCATGGTAGCGTAAAAACAATCTATGTGCGCGTCTGCAAACATCCCTGATGCGCTACAAAAGCGGGGCAGCACCACCAGCACCCTAAACGCGTTATTATATTGAACACGGAGAGCGTTGTACGATCTTTGAGTATATCCAGCCCACAAGCTGCACGTGTAAAAGTTAGTACAGTAGGCCCTAAAGAGGGTGACCTTGACTTTAAGTGAACACCGTGCAAACCTGCGAGCTATCATGTTTGCTCTAACCGACAACGCTCTCCGCTCTCGTTCAATATCTTCATAATCTTTGAGATCAGGGGTCAACACATGGCCGAGATATTTAAATTTATAAACTCTTGTCAATGGCGTTCCGTTGAGTACTACGGGAGGCATTTTATAAGATATAAAAAATATTTAAAAGTTTTCGTTGAAAATTAAATTCTTTCAAATTTAACTTCAAAAATATAGCTAAATTTATATTTTGTTTTCAATAAGAAAAAAATTTAAAAAGTATGTATTTTTCATTAAAACAATTTTAATAATTCCACAATCAACGGCCCAGAAGCTAATATTTGCCTGTCATTTTGATAATAATTACGGGGCATGAAGGGATCACACTCGGACATTTCAGAGCCGTAACACCAAATACCTACCTTCAACAAACACACAGACTGTGACTCCGTGACACTGCAGACTAAACAAACATCTAAATACATAGAAAAACTAACTGAAAATGCACTTCGGTTATTTACAACAACAAAAAAGAATCCACAACAGTTAATAAAAGAATTACAGCATTATCCAGTGTTGAGGACACCTTGTTTTTTAAGTGGTTTATTATTATAAATGGCCGCTTAATAAACTCAACGAGAGCGCCGGCGGACTCGGTCCGCTAACGTAATTCCCCCACCACTATTCCATTAAGTGAAGTGTTAATCTGTATATTAATAAAACCGACAAAAAATCATTTACCTACTTCGCAATTTTAATGATGCGACCGACAGGCTGCGGGCGTTTTAAATTTATAATTTGTGAAACTGAAATTGAAATAAAAGATGGAATGAGCTGGAATTTTCCAGTAATTTTTTAAGCGGTTCTGTCTTGATTTCTATTCTGTTTATTTCTGCATAGAATCAATCCTATATTGCAGTTTGTAGGATGAGACAGTTGTTATGTTATAATTGAGATTTCAACCTCATGCCTCAAGATGACGGCTTTCACTTTACGATGACTACGGGCTCCGGTAACGACTTAACACTAAGAGAGCTGTGCAATCATCCAACAATCGCGTGCAGTAAATGACCTTATTAAAAACACACAAAATTTAAATAACGGGCCAATAATGCGTAATATTCCACTTAGAGTAGACTAATTACTCAAATAATTGCATATTTCATATATACGGATTGCGCTTTAAAACATTTAATAACCCAATAGCTCTTATTTATCTACAATTTAAATAATTCCAAATATATTTTTATATTCATTATCACTGTTCGGTAAATTTACAAATAAATATAGATAATATTGATTACTATTCATAATCTAAACAGAAATACGTTTGATTTTGTTTTAAAATTAACTGAACCTTTATATATTTCTATATTAGAACTATCCATTTTAATCGTGTACAGAATTTTCAATTCTAAACAATCTTAATAGTTTTCCTTCTATGAACAGCATCACGGCAGCTACGAAGAACTACAGAAGGATATATTTTCTTTATCACAAATGGGAGGTGGATCGTACCCTATGCCACAAGGATTCTCTATGGGGCACAGTGCAAACATGAGCGCTGTTGGAATGAGACAAGACACTATGGGTAAGATGTTTCGTCGGAGATATATGTTTTAACACGAGGGCAACGACCGAAAAAAAATATCATCCTGTTACGGTCAAAACTATTTTGAGACATTAGGTTAAATAATCTTTAATCTGGTGAGATCCAAATCGTCCAGCACGGTAAGTCAAGTCTTTCAAAATAGACGGTTTGCTACGTTTTGTATCCGCTTTTCATATTACATATTTGACGTGATTTTTTTAAGATTGTTGTTTTTATTCAAATTAATTAGGTTATTTTCAATTTAACCTAAATAATAAAGTAGCGATGTGAAAAATGAAGTAAATGATTTCAAAACAGTACGGAGTCAATGTAAAAGTAATTTAAAAGGTACAATTTTCAACACGTTTGTTAGGTCTTTTTCAAAGTCTACAAGCTTATCTTACAGAAACAACCAGAAAATCGAAATCGATATTGTATTCAATCGATTAAATAATTTATAATGAATTAATATTTAACATCACAGAACGCAACATCCAACTTTACCATCAAAGCACAACGTGAACGTTATCAAAATTCCAAGTTAAACTAATATCAAAGTCTAAAATGTAAGTTTGTAACGTGAAACAAAAAGCGGTAGACAGAGCGGCAGCTTTCATCAAGTTTAATATTAAAGCCGTCAAGGCAATTACCAAGTTGCGCGGAGCGGNTAATGAATTAATATTTAACATCACAGAACGCAACATCCAACTTTACCATCAAAGCACAACGTGAACGTTATCAAAATTCCAAGTTAAACTAATATCAAAGTCTAAAATGTAAGTTTGTAACGTGAAACAAAAAGCGGTAGACAGAGCGGCAGCTTTCATCAAGTTTAATATTAAAGCCGTCAAGGCAATTACCAAGTTGCGCGGAGCGGATGATCGCAGCTAGCTTTTTACAAATATTCCTTGTGATATAATGGGAAAACTTGCCACATAAACCCCCACTAACCGACAGCAGACGATCTTAAAAAAAGTAAAACTCGAGGTTCAAGTTATTAAACGTCTTCGAACGAGGTCTCTTTGCCGTTCGCTGATCTAATGAATATTATTTTCATCAATAAATCGTTTGATTGGTAAGTTGAATGGTTTCAGTGTCGGCTTGCTTCGGATCATCTGAATTGGAAACATGATTAGATACCGTTCGTTCAACTAATTGAATTTGTTAAGATAAACCATTGTATCTATAAATTAAGTTAACCTTAAAGGCAATTTCAGTTTTAAATATGAATTGCATGCAGTGAAGGATTGTATGGCAAATCTTTGCTTGATGCTTTGATTGTAAGTAGCCATTATCTTTCTTGAATATTATTTATAGGGAACAAAGTGGAACAGCTGCAAATTCCTAACGTTTGCTACGAATTCTGGTATTAATAAAAACCCAATGTGGTTAAGGGCAATGTTTGAAATGGCCAAAATGGTTAGGTATGCTTATACGACGGTTGTTGCGATGTAATAAAAATAGCGCATTTTTCTTAATAATTTTTCGCATTTGTCCGGGACACAAAACTCTTAGGTCAAAGTATAGTCAAAATATAGATTTGTTTTCCCCGGGCCAAATTTAATATTATTTATAATATTAAGTCCGAGCTAAGTTTACCATTTCGAGTAGGTATCTGTACTACTAGCTGGTATTATAGCTAACAGTTAATTCTGAGACGTATAAGTACTATAATTCAATGAGACTTGATTATGCGGCCGGAGATTATTAATTTGTGCCGATCAACTTAACATACGAGTTATATCGTCTAGCGTTTACATGTCAACTTATCGTAATTATATAGTTACGATAAGTAAGATATGTATTATTATTACAATACAAACTTATACCTATATTTAATTTTGTTTTAAAATATTAAAATGATAGAGTAGATGCCTAACTTCATTGCAATCTAAACCACAATTAGTTTATTATTATGAAGAGTTTAAACATATCACCATAATTTATAATTATTTCGAAAACAACACAAAATAGAACAGATTTTCATTCATTATTTTATATATTTTTTTAGCTCCAGAGAAGCCCGCGGATGCACTTCTTTATTTTTAAATACGGAAATAATAAAAAATAATATGGTGCATCCTTAATTGAAAAAAGTTTTAGATGCAACATTCCCCCACTCCTACCCCCTTAATGGTCTATTAAAAAAAAAACTCCTTCTTGCTGTTTAGAAAACTATAGGGTGCTGAAGAAATATTCGCCTAAATTTTGAATTCCTAAGTACTATTTTACAGTTGGATAAGATTTGTTTAAAGAACTTTACAATAAACATAGTAAAAATAATTTCTTGAAAAATACGCAACGAGCGAAACGGCTTTAAATCGGTAGCCTCAGGGCCGTAAGATTCTTGCGTAAGAAAAAAACGAGAAAGTAATGGAAGCGAGGCATCGTACCGTAGATATTCTAATAAGAAAATTTCCAGTACATTTACTTTGGCGGGCTTCCTCGCGGCGTCTTCGCAAATATCTTATTTCCTGCGGCGAGATTGCATCTTGAGAAAACGCGAGGGTCGATCCGGAGCCTCACTATTCGCTTCCAACCCTGCCCTCAGTTTATCGCACCCTCGCACATTTATGTAATATACGTTGCCAGAGCTACGTCGCTGTTCTCAAATTGTAGCTAATTCAGCAACTTTTGAAAAGGAATTCTCATATTAGGATTTAGTTATTAACTATCACGAAACTCATTTGAATCTTGTAAAGATTCTACTAAATAATATTCATGTTTTGTGAACGATTTCTAAACACCCTTTATAATCGAGCAATAAAATATAGTATGCATATGACTTGAATACAGACCCCAACGAAACATCTTCAGGGTCGCGAGTATAAGATATACGAAGCAATAAATTGCATAAACAACTATCTGGCTACAAAATTGGTTTAAATACATACATAGCGACTATTGTATTAGGTACCTAAATAATGTAACTATTACAAGTTCTTCTGAGGAATATGAACATTTAAAGCTTATGAAACATCTGGGATTGCGAAGTGATATTGATTGTTTTTGCTTTGTTTATATATATCATCGATCTCAAATATATCAGATCTTCTTTCGAAAATAAGATCGAAAATATTAAGTTCATAAACATTTTTTTTTGCTTTAAGTCATTTTTTTGGCGTATAGGCAGGCGAGCATACGGCCCACCCGATAGTGAGTGGTTACCGTCGCTCATGGACGTCAGCAATTACAGGAGCAGAGCCAAGCCGTTGCCTCCCGTTAAGTACTCTCCACAAGTCTTGCTTGAAAAAGGACATGTCATAGCGTTCGGGAAACACCGTGGAGGGGAGCTCATTCCAAAGTCGGATGGTACGTGGCAAAAAAGATCTCTGGAAACGCACTGTGGATGAACGTAGTGGCTAGAACTCTACTCCTATGGCGGGCGGTGTGATGGTAAAAACGAGACGACGGTATCATCTCAATTTTCAGTGAAAGCGTCTAACAAGTCGTCTGATGTTCGGGTAGTTGCTAGTTCGTAAATTAATAAAATCACCTTCCATAGGCATGAGTGCAGAAGACGAATGGTACAACAAATCTCTGTCAGCACTCCGGATGAACAGCGGGCACCACGCGAACCTAGCGGCGGCGCCAATGCTCCAGTACCAGACCTAATCGTTGCTACACGGCGCTGACTACTCACCAGCGCCGGCGCACGACTACGCGCCACCGTAGGACTCACGCATACTAAAACCAATTAACGTACTTCCACTTAAATCAAACATCCGATAAATATCAATATTTTACTGGTGGTAGGACCGCTTGTGAGTCCGCACGGGTAGGTACCACCGCCCCGCCTATTTCTGCCGTGAAGTAGTAATGCGTTTCGGTTTGAAGGGCGGGGCAGCCGTAGTACCTATACTGAGATCTTAGAATTTATATTTCAAGGTGGGTGGCGCATTTACGTTGTAGATGTCTATGGGCTCCAGTAACCACTTAACACCAGGCGGGCTGTGAGCTCGTCCACCCTCCTAAGCAATAAAAAAAAAGAGAACTGTCAAACAATATTTATTTTCAAATGAAAAACTGTAATATTAAAATCAATCAGCTGATGAATTACAAAAAGAAAACTGTCCATCAACTTTAGTACTTTCAACTGAAAAGCTAAGGAAAGTACTCATAATCTGTTCGCAGAATTGTTTTTAGTATGTGAAGTCTATATCTAGCCTGCCTGTTTCGGTTGAGGCTGTGAGAATCGTAAACACATTCACGTTTTCGGATAGCTAATGTCTATTTAATATTTACCTAATAAAAAAATAAAATAAAATGAAATTTACAAATTCATTTCATTTTATTACAAATGATGATTCCTTTAAATCAGATCACAATCAGAAAATTCTGTCAACTGTTTTATTTTATTTTAATATTTCTTACTTTACTCATAATATAATAGTTCAATATTAATACGAAATGATTTGATTAATACGAATAATACGAATTGATTAATACGAATCGTAATGTTTAATGAAATTTATTAAGAACAATAGCTATACGAAGACAAGTAAGAAACGTGTCAAAATATAAATAGGTACAAATAGTGTTACAGTTTTAATAAGAAACAATCGTTTCACACGCGAATAAACCTGTACTTTTTTAATTACCAAAAGTAAAAAAAACGGGGGACTTTCTACTTTATATTCTACCCATGGAAGCCATTTTTGGTCGCTTTTGCAAAATTAAAAGTAAAAAAAATTATAATGGTCTTAATTAGTTTATTAATTGATTATCGCCTCATGAATCGAATAGCATTTTACAGTGCTCATAATTTATAATAGAGGATTTCCTGAAAACTGACTTTTAATCGGAAATGAAACACAAAGTTTGGTCACACGTACCCAATTTATACCTCTTTTGAATTATATGTCAATATATTTTTGGTAATTAAAAAAATTGCCGGTGCGTTGTAAGCTAGTCATATTGTACAGACATTTTAAATCGATTTAAGTAACAAGTACTTGTATTTTCTTGATTGTTATAATTAAAATAAAATGTTGCACGACTTTGATTTGTGATACCTTCAAGATTTAATCGTAATATATACAATAAATATTTTTATATTTCGGTACAACAGAAAAGCAAAACATTTGTCAAGACAAGACAATAATGTGTGAAAATTATTTTGACGTTGGTTTTCAAGGCATATTTACTATGGGAGCATTACATTATTTTTCGCTTAGAGTAGGTATCACATTCCAAAAATCCTCAACATGGCGTGTAAATAATAAACGACTTTGCATATTTTAAGATGTTAACAGCTCAACGATATTGTAATGTTAACTAATTAGGCGAATTTTTATTATAAGCGGCCATTTTATGCCACATTCCTTATTTAAAAACGGCACAGATAATCTAGTCAATAGAAAATATTGTTCTTTTTTTTTTAATTATTTTGATCTCATTCGGTCATTAACGGTTTTATCTACTATGACTTGTTGGATCTCAATGATTTTTATGTTAAACACTCTACACTACCAAAATGGTTATACAGCTATATAACTGAAAATAAATTTACATTCCTAATATTATAAGCCAGTATTGAAAAATACAGAATCCCTAGTTGATCGATTCATTTCTTTGAACGGTTTCAATGGATATACATGTTTAAGGTTAATAAATGAAGCTCATTTACTTTTGGCTTTTGTACAAATTTTACAAACCATATCAATTAAGACTGTTTGGACAAAACCGAGAACAGCTAGCGGTCACATTGTGCATTTTTATGTAAATATAATTTGTAAGGAAACACGTCTAAATGATAAACATGTGTAAAACGAAATAAATTGTCTAAAATGTATATTTTTGTTCGTTTCTTTGACATTTCTAAAATTCAGTACTGTTAATTTTCCCAATAAAACATAGAAGAGATAAGAAAAAAAGCGTGTAAATAAATGAAAAAAAAGAAACACCTAGAAATGGAATGTCTATGGTAAGTAAATAAATACATAATCTATTATAAAAAAAAATTATGTTGAGACTTTATTGGAGGCCTTTCCAGTTTTACCAGGGCAAGTGGGTGAGCAAAAGCTCAGCCGGGAGGGGTGGGATTTGCTAACAGCTACCCGAGCACCTCCAAAGAAGACCTGACAATTCAAGAGTAGCTGCTCCGCGAATGAATCTACTACCGGATCGGAATCGCGACGCGCTGAGAAGATCCGGCGAGAAACTCAGCGGGCTGATGTTTAGGTTAGGTTGCATGTCGAACTCTTTGCCGAGTTCAGCGAGTACCGTTACCGGGGTCCCTACTCCTAGTGTTAGAGCTGAAGGCGTCTAATGCAAAAGTAATTGGATCTGATGGATCCATAAGGACGTGTCTAGGGCGTCGACGGTGACTGGCTCCTGCATGATCAAGATTCGGGAAGTAGTCAGTGGCGGCAACGATATGGCGATTATCATGACGGCTATGATAAAACTTATATTATAAAGCGATATTAAGCTTCTCAAGTATTAATTAGGTTGAGCTTTTGGTTTAGTGGTCAACTACGCGTAAGATACCTTGGATAAGATACGTTCCAAGTTAAGAATAAGTAATAACTTAAGTCATTTAGTATTTTAAATCGAAACTTGAGACTTTTACTCTAGTGTACACGATTCTGATGTCCATAACAAAGGAGAACAGCTCTCCTTAGGGCCGTTATATAGGACATTCACCTTTAAAACCGGTCAACTATTCAGTAGTAAAGTGGAAGATACCTATTATTACTCATGATTTACGAAAATATAAAAAAAAAAATGCTGAGATGGGTGGACGAGCTCACAGCCCATCTGGTATTAAGTGGTTACTGGAGCTCATAGACATCTACAACATAAATGCCACCACCTACCTCGAGACATAAGTTCTAAGTCCCAGTTTTAACAATACAACGGCTGCCGTACCTTTTAAACTAGAATGTAGAAATAGGCAGGGTGGTACCTACACGTGCGGACTCAAAATGTCCTACCACTAGTACAGTACTTTAATCGTTTTTTACTACATCCTCGGAAAGAGATGGAGTTGTGCTATTTTAGGCCACCATACAGTAAACTAGATTGATCAAGGGATTGATCAAATAACAACAAATATTTATTCATTTTTCAGAATCTAAAAGCTTTTAACAACTTTTCTTGTTCAACGTTGTTTTCTCTTGTGAGTTTGAGGACTCTGAAACTTAGTTTTATATCAGCCTTTACACGAACATTCGCCTGCAGTTGGAGCTTATTTGATCCAACGAATCGGGATTTCTTTTGGTCTTTTAACACTAATCTTGCCTGTTATCACCGTTGTCAATGTCAAAACTGTAAAATGAACCTTTACTATTCGCCATGATACTTCCCTCTTCATGTTTAGTTTAGTGAAATCCTGAGTAGGAAACAGCACAGTTGTGCTCTTTCACTGGTTGGAAAAAACTTGAATCATTACAATCATTTGAATCATTCAATAACAAAACACTATATTTTCCATCAATTTACTAGACACATTAATACATGAATACAAGAATCATATAAAATATTTTAAAGTCAGGTAAGTAATCAGATTTTTTTTTCTATTATCAAATTGTTTTTAATTTTGTCCTGGAATCATGTGTGATTAGATAAATTCATTTTTGGGTGTGGCATAATGAGGATTGGTCGAACTATGTTTGAGCAAATATTTCGCGATGTGAGAAATCACAATCCGATCGCCGCCAATACTCTTCCAGAAACCTATAGCTGGAGTCTTCAAAGCAGCACTCTGGCCACATTCCTACAACAATGCCTTAGTTAATGAAAATTCTTAAAGCACACCATCAAATTATGACCTTTTTATTCTTCTAGATAGACAGACGAGTTCATGGTCTTTCTGGTACTAAACGGCCCCCGCAGTCAAAAACAACGCATCGTGAAGACCGCCATCTTGCGAAATGTAGATCGATTCTCAATTGTATAACATAACGGCTCCATCACCTTATCCCGATCCATTAACGGTGCTTTTAGGTGCCTCAAGCCCCGGTCACCGTCCTCGCCGAACCCGTCGCTTGCGACGAAGGGTTCGGCGAGTAGATTAACCCATAGACACAGCCCACTGAGTTTCTCGCCGGATCTTCTCAGTGGGTCGCGTTTCCGATCTGGTGGTAGATTCCGCGAAACACTGCTCTTGCTAGGGCCGGTGTTAGCAACACCTCCGGTTTGAGCCCCGTGAGCTCACCTACACGCTAGGGCAACGCTGATACAGCTTAGGCAGCGGCTTTACGGTAGACAGCGGCTTGACTCCGCCCCTGGCATTGCTGAAGTCCATGGCGACGGTAACCACTCACCATCAGGTAGACCGTATGCTCCTCTGCCTACAAAGTACAGGGGCAATAAAAAAAAGTTTCTCAAGGCTATCAGCATAGGTAAGAAAACAATCACCTTAGTAAAATAGGCAGAATGTAGTTATGTACCCATAGAAACTCACAATACACCCTATCACTTATAAACTCTAAGGGATTGTTTTTAACGTATGATGAAGTTTCTTCAACATCTAATTCGTTCGTCTTCACACGTTATATCAGAACAAAACGGTACCCATTCATTGGTTACTTGTTATCAGTATAGTACGGGAAGTCTGGCCGATTAGACCACGGCCGTTTCACATTATATGACAATACTAGGAAACAATAATATAATAATTATAATCTATGTTTTCTTAAATGAACTACGACATAATAATTTATAAATCAAATATAATAAATACAGTACCCGTGGTTTGTTCGTACATTTCTTTGCAGCCGCCTAAAAATGACAATAGAATATTGTTAATAAGTTCTTCATATTTCATTATTTAATGATGGGTGAGAAATCGGTACCCAAAACCGTTCTACTTCGATTTTTTTTTATTGCTTGATAGGTGGATGAGCTCACAGCCCACCTGGTGTTAAGTGGTTACTGGAACCCATAGACATTACGCAAATGCGCCACCCATCTTGAGATATAAGTTCTAAGGTCTCAAGTATAGCTACAACGGCTGCCCCACCCTTCAAACCGAAACGCATTACTGCTTCACGGCAGAAATAGGCAGGGTGGTGGTACCTACCCGCGCGGTCTCACAAGAGGTCCTACCACCTGTATTAAAAGTACTAATTTTTCACGTACAATCATCTGGCTGCTAGTATTCGAAATAAACTTGTCAATAACAGACCGGAACGTGATATCACTTGGCGAATCCTGAAAAAAAAAAGCGTGTTTAAAAACATACGAGGGTAATCTTAAATTCTATCGAACTAACAAAATTATATCAGAAACATTAATTCGCTTGCTAAAATATTAATTATTTATTAGAATAAATGTTGTTTACATTATACCAGAGACATTCGAAAAGGAATTGAAAAAGGAATTGAATTTAATGGTGGACAGCGGCTTGGCATTGCTGACGTCCATGAGCGACGGTGACCACTTTCCATCAGGTGATCCGTATGCTCGTTTGCCTATAAAGGCAATAAAAAAAATTTAAATAAAAATTATATCATTCATTGAGGATCATTATTTGATCATAATATTTGTGCCACCTTATGAAACACAGAACAGAAAAACTGTTTTAAAATCGAAATAAACAAACTACATATTTTTAATTTTACATAACCAAATACCTTATGTACCTAAATGAATCAAAAAATAACACAGAAACCATCGTTAGTAATAGTAGACAGTGGCTTGGCTCTGACCCTGGTATTGCTGACGTCCACGAGCGACGGTGACCACTTACCACCAGGTGGGCCGTACGCTCGTCTGCCTACAACGGCAAAAAAAAAAATTACTAAAGTCTTGGAGTCATACCGACTGACCAAATCCACAAGTCTTTGTTATCGAGCACGAAGATTCCACACGCGATTTCGAAATTTCTTCGGGCGATGCGTATTTCGGTCTTAATAAATTGTATACCTTCCGACAAAACAAAAAAAAACAATTTGTAAATTGATTGAATTATGTGAAATCAAACGTAAAATTTGACGTACAGGTCTGTCGTGTTACAGATTATTGTTATACAAAGAAAAGAACTTGGCTTGAACTTGAAAATCTTGGGCGACGGTGGCTATTTGTTATTCCGTCGTCTAGGGCGGGTGTGTAATTTGAAGCAGACGATAAGAGGGTTATTGTGTCGTATTCTCGGAAAAGCGTTCTGACCTTGTCTTCAGATATTTACTTATTAGTTCTACTCAAAATCGTCGTAAAGACCTACATTCGGTGATGGATTTAGGCCTATGTCCGTGAGGCCCGGGCAGAGTGAGGGTGGCATGGTTTGAGGGGCGGCAAATTTTATGATATGCCAAAATTTCGGAGATGAAAAAAGTAAAGACAGTCCAGTCCTTTGAAAATAAGTTGAAATTATTTTTTCGTGTATTATGTATCGTGCATTAAAATTAACTAATCGAAAAACTAGAAACTAGCTTAGCGTTATGAAGTTTTTATGTTTGATCCATAGATGAAACACACAAAGCCTACGAATGGGTATTGTAATGTGTAAGTAGTGTTTTCATGAATTTACACCTACACAAACCACGGAAATGAAGCCAATAAAATGTTGACTGACAAAAAAAAACAACAGGTTGATTAAAATGATCATGAGCGTACCGTGCTTACACTTTGTGCGTTTATTGAGTGCAAAAGATCCGAAAATGAGTCTTCATACATAGCCGACATCCAGGGTCGAACGAAAAACTCGTACAAGTCATCTATATCTCCTCTCTGAAAACAGTTACGGTTTGTATATAGAATAACTAAGCACGAACAGGATTGTCTATATCAAAACCAAAATTGATCAAATAAAAAAAAATCTATAGCAAAACAAAAAGCAATTTAGTGCGATTTTCTACTCTGTCAACCGATGTTGTCTTTTTTTGTATGTTTAGTTACTAAACAAAGACTTCACGAATTTTAATGCTATAAATAACAGATATTAATATAGTTACTGGTCGTAAGGCGTTCGTGAGCCTGCAGGGGCTAGTACCACCACCCTACCGTGAAGCAGTAATCAGTGACGGATTTAGGCTTGATGCCACCGTGCCGCCCTTTATGTTAGAATAAAGTTCATCAATTTTGATCCAATATTTTTATTTTATATTTAAAATAACTTTATAAATTCTTTTAAGAAGATTAATCTGAACTTATTTTCAAAGGTTTTCACGTCAATTTCATCTCTGAAATTGACATTTCAAAAATTTTGCCGCCCTACGCCGGACTCTTGAGGGGCCTAGCGTAAATCCATCACTGGTAATAATGTGCTTCAGTTTATAGTATGGGACAGACCTTGTACTGTACAAACTGAGACTTAAAACTCTCAAGGTGGGTGGCGGCATTTACGTTCTTGATGTCTATCATCGTTGGTGATCACTTAACACCAGGTGAGCCGTGAGCTCGTCCACACATCTAAGCATTAAAAAGTAAGTAAATTTGAGAAACACCATCCCATCTGATATTTACAAGCATAAGAAAAAAAAAGATGTGTGATGTTGTGGGACACCGGATAAGAACGAAGTTCCTTATTATAAAAATATTAATTTTAAGTTCTATTCGAGGTATAAAGAAAATAATTATTCTGGTATACATTTTTTAGTACGATTTTTTTATTGATAAAAAAGACTACTTTACAAAGTTATCAACTTTATTTTATTCACAATGATTTATAAAAAATATATACCGAATAGAAATATGTTATTTTTGTACGTTATTACAAAGTTAAGTCGTACACTGTGTGCATGACTAATAAAAATCTTACGTTACGGACGTTTTTTCCCGGTTAGGGTACCTCTCCGCATCGTCCCATAAGGAACTTCGTTCCAAAAAATCTTACAAAATGATTGAAACTATGTATAAAATACTATTACTAATTTTTGCATCTTTTATTTCTGTGTTATCAAAAATCTTAAGTGAACTTGTCTTTGAAATATAAGTTTAATGCAAAATCGACGCAATATTAATTTACGGGTTCAATTATAATGCTACAAAATATACCTGAAATCTAAAGAGAAGTTTGTTGAAGAATGCTTCGTGTTTGCCGTACACTTGTTGTAAGGTATCGCTCGAAAACGGCTTAGTCGAGAGGCAACTCACAGCGTCAATGCAGTGCAAAGAATTCAAATGTAATCGGAAGTAATTACCGCGCTTGTCGGTTATTAGAGTATGACCCTGGGTACAAGAAACATTTGTTCGTTTGTCATAGATAACTATGTTAATCTAATATACATATATACAAATATAAAGCAGGTTGTACGTGGATTAAGTCGCATTAGCGCACGAAGACTATCTTGTAAGAGACTATCGTGTTAACAAAGCCTTAAAACAATTATAAATTTCCTATACTCGTTTATCAATCTATGCAATAAAAAATGTGTTTAATGTCTGTTTCAAATATTGTGACAGATTTCAATTGGTTCAATCTAAATGTGACTTATGTTAGATCCTATAATATCAATCTTAATTAGTATGTAATCGGTACCTGAAAAATATTTTTTTTGCCCTTGTAGGCAGACGAGCATACGGCTCACCTGATGGTGAGTGGCTACCGTCACCCATGGACGTCAGCAATGACAGGAGCAGAGCCAAGCATGCATAATTATTACATCGTAATTAAAGAAACATATAACTGCAATAGATACGTCTATACGCATTCGTATGCATAACACGTCACGAAATAAAAAACAAAATGGCTACGACAAATTACCTGGCATAGTGTTGCTTTGCTTTTTAGGAAATAAATAGAAAACTGATTAATATCTTCACTTGTGACTATACGCGATTTGAACCGATTACCTAATTAAACATAATCACATCTAGTTAAAATCACCGTAGAAGCGGCGTAGCTACGTTGTCCCACAGTAAATTATCTGACATAAATAACTAACAAGACAGTTTTCTTCTCTGTTTGTGAAACGATTTTCTTGCTCATTTTTTTTATTTTGCTTCAGCCCTATCAATTAAAAATTCAATACTGACTTTATTTTTAAAACCTCAATATAAAAAGGAAAAAAGGCAATACATTAATCTTGAGATGTCAGAATCGATTTTCGAGCTATGGACGAACACTACTTTTTCAGGCTTCGAGAATTTAATTCCCTCGTGCCCTCGAAACCGTAAATCACGCGTGTCCGCTGACCTAATTGCGATACATTACGTGCAAAATTAATGGCCAGCACTTTAACCCTGTCATTGCTTTGTCCGTTCCAATAGATACAGTTTGTACAAATATTAGTATCATTCGGGATAAGGGAAAGCAAAAAGAAAAACTTATAAATTCTATTCGAAATTCGTTTCCACTTACTTGCTTCGGCAAACACATCTGCACCGCCATAGGTAGTTCTCTCCCTGGCTTCCTAACTTTCATGTAGTATAGTGGACCAGGCAATGTGGCTGTCTGTACTATTGGCGATTCGTATTTCGCTACCGGCTGCCATCTGATTAATTAACTTGATCAATTATTACAACTAATTACTCAAAGATACAATTTTGACGTCAACATAACTGAACTGTTCTTAAAAAAAAATATCGGGTTTTTTCTCAAGGTAACTCGAAATATATTTTTTTGCTTATATGGGTGGACGAACTCACAGCTCACCTGGTGTTAAGTGGTTACTGGAGCCCATAGACATCTACAACGTAAATGCGCCACCCACCTTGAGATATAAGTTCTAAGGTCTCAGTACAGTTACAACGGCTGCCCCACCCTTCAAACCGAAACGCATTAGGCAGGAGGGTGGTACCTACCCGTGCGGAATTACAAGAGGTCCTACCACCAGTAAAAAGTGTCCTTTGTTTGCTGATTGATGTATGTATTTGTATTGGCTGAGTGGTGTCAGCGTAAAATAGCATCACTACATCTTTTCCTGTAGGTGTCGTGAAGGCTTCAACAGATAATGAGTAGCAAGAACGAGTAATGAGTACGAGATAATGAGTATGATGCAAATGCTATTCTGTTGCTGCTGAAGGATGTAGTTTCACATTTCGTGAAAGAATTTAAAGCATATAATTAAAACCTATCAAGATATATTGTAAGCTTATTTAAATTGATAGTCTGTGTGTGTTTTGGGACGCGATTCACCAACACTGAAAGTTAGTTTTACATTTAAATTTTACTTACTTTCTCCAAGTGCCCGTAGATGATTTACTCGTAATGCTGCCATGGGAATCCTGAACCTTAAACCTGCAGATATAGATTGGATTACTTCATAGCTCTTAATTAGGAACTCAATTAGTATGAATGTCTATTTGTATCTGCCTAACAGTTAACACTAATGTAAGTACCCAATCCCAAAGATTAACAAAAATGTTAACTAAATATCTTAGTGCAAACTGTCTAAGGCCCATAATAGTGTTCAAGTAATACCTATATATGTGCGGTAGTCATGACAGAACACAAGATACTTGACACATGTCTGAATATCTCTTACGACATTTTCAAGATAAGCTTGCATATATACAAGTTCCAAACATTCATTCGGACCGTCGGTCTAACGAGCAATATCACCCACTCGGTGAAAGATCTTTTTGTCGTAATACCTTCCACATAGTATTGAGTTTAAAAACTTAAAACAAACACGCTTAAAGAGCAAACCTGACTAATAATAAATTTAATTTTTTTTTACCCTGTTAATACTGATTACAGTATTATAGCGATGTTATAAAATTATTGTATGGTCATCGGATCTTGAAAGTTAATCAGACGTAGAACTTGGACAAAATGACGCTCAAAGATTCCATTACATACAGTCATATCAATCCAATAAAACCGTGTTCCAATTGTACTTGATTTAGTTGTTAAGCTATTGCATAGCTTTTATCGCGGGCTTTGAATACGGCGATCGAATCAAGAAATTCCGTAACGAAAATAAAACTTAACACCCCTCCACTCTGCCTACCATGTAGCTTGCCTTCAACACATTCACACGTTGCACTTGTGTAATGTTTGTGAATAAGCGCGCGGCGTGACGTTGCACTGCATGCGCATCATGAAAAGTCTGCCCATCTCTCTTTCGCGCGGTCTAGCTTATGAGTGTGAAGGGGACAGTTAATGTTTTGCTTTTGTTAATGTTTATAAATATAGCGTGGTCTTATTTTATTATTGTTTTAATATTAAATTATTATTGTCTAATTATAATTGCATAAGTTGACAAAAATGCTATGCAATAGCTGTTTTTTTTAACTGAAGGTATGACGTGTCTAAGCTTTGCTTGGTGAACAGTGAAACTCTATTATCATATATTTTCAAAATCGAAATGTGCTAAAACGAAAATCATCTAGTAGGTAACGTGTATTGATTGAAAGGTAATCTAATCTGTGTTACAATAAATTATATTTAATATTACAAAAATAAATTTACGAAAATAAACTGGAGCCAAAATGTGAATTATCTCCACCGTCATTCCCTAAGTCTGTATTTGTTACAAAAGGATCCAGTTTTAATAGAAACAGTTTCGCCAGCTGAAAGACAAATATAAAAATTATTATAAACACTTAAATACTCACTAAAAACACCAAACCTGCCTATTTCTGCCGTGAAGCAGTAATGCGTTTCGATTTGAAGGTTGGGGCAGCCGTTTTAACTATACTGAGACCTTACAACTTATATCTCAAGGTGGGTGGCGCATTTACGTTGTAGATGTCTATGGGCTCCAGTAACCATTTAAAACCAAGTCGGCTGTGAGATCGTCCACTCATCTAGGCAATAAAAAAAAACATGAACCTAAAATTAAAAAATCATTTGAATTCCTCTTATCTTTCGAATATTAATTTCAAATAAAATAGATATATGAAAATTTCTGCGCTATCTGATCAAAACATTTAAATATACGATATTTCTCTATTTACGCATAAACTCTTTCTTCTTATAGTTAAACCTATAACCGAACATAATGAGAATACCGCCTCTCCAACATCTTCGGAGCAATAATAACGATGCAGTCGTTCAGATGCGTACAGCCTCCGGGAATATCTCGTAAACGTGCCAGCTCCGTAAATCGCGGGATCGTTCGTCTCAAAATTTTGCCCCACGACTAGACCGCCGTCATAAACCAATCCACACTCATTAATCGCTACAACGAAAAATTCCTATCACAGACAGACAAATCATAATAATGTAACAAAAATACTTTTCAATTGTTTTCTCTTCGCTGAGAATAATAAAGCCTTCGCTCATTTGAAACAGTTTTTTGACCTTGTCTCTATATCGATTTTTGTCACTGGAAAACTATACGACAAATTGTGTCTAGATTTCCGGTACCTAATCCGCCATGAGCATTTATCCTCTTTTCTCTTACTAGTGGTAGGACCTTTTGTGAGTCCGCACGGGTAGGTACCACCACCCCGCCTATTTCTGCCGTGAAGCAGTAATGCGTTTCGATTTGAAGGGTGGGGCAGCCGTTGTAACTATACTGAGACCTTAGAACTTATATCTCAAGGTGGGTGGCGCATTTACGTTGTAGATGTCTATGGGCTCCTGTAACCACTTAACACCAGGTGGGCTGTGAGCTCGTCCACCCATCAAAGCAATATAAAAAATAAACTCTCAATAATTCCACACACTATTAATACAAGGAATAGTGAAGAGTTTTAAAAAAACACTAACCCTTAAAAGCATTGACATCAATAGCTTTAAGACCGTAACAGAACAATGCGAAGCACGGCAAACGTATTGCGTACACCGACGACATGAAATGCAAGGCCTCGACTCTATTGTCCACCTGCCTCCAACTCGCTAGATAGCAACGCCGATAAATCCGAATACCCAAACTCTCTAGGTTAGCCTGAACGCGTTCGTCAATCTAGTAATACACAGAATCGATTATACAGAATCGATTATAATTGTTTCTTGAACCCACCACACACACAACACTAGTATTCAATTGTAAAAACAATTGAGATATATTAATTATATAGCAAGAAATGTTGAAAAAGTGTACATAACAAATTAAATAGGTGTTAATTTAATATCATAAAAATGTTATGTGTTTATTGTTAGTATTGCTTAGGTTAACGCCCTGGTCATTCTGTGACGTTTGACGTTTGACGGCAGACATAGAGCCCATTTATTTATGACTACTGCATTTTATGACATTTTATGAAAACTAAACAAAATAGGGATGTTTATAGTAAACGCAAACAAAAATTGATAGAATGGTAAAAATTTTAGTAGAAGATACAACAAAGAAACTTGCTAAACAGTGGACATTTAAAAAGACGAGATATACAAATAGATAAAACTACACATTGAGATCATATGTTCATATAAGTAATTCATCATCAATTCAGATTGGACATTTGAAATATTAATAGTTATTTAAATATCGATGCGACTCTTTCTAATAAAAGACTTATTTAAATTATTAATTTAAAAATCTATTTTAAAATCATTGGGTTTTTTTTTCTAAAACATCAAACAAAAACATAGAAATTAAAATTTTTTTTTGCTGATCGTGGTTCCGACTCTACTTTTCAATTTTCAATATATAAATATATTATATACATACAGTTTCGTTGTTGAAGCAGTTGACCCTAAGAGCATTGGAGTCCTCTGGAGGGAATGGCTCTACGAAGACGATCATGCTAGGTGAGATGCCTAGCTCTAATAAAGCCGCCACACAACTATACGCCTCAATACAATCCCCGTAGACTATCACTTGATTGTCTTCGCTCAGACAGAACGGTTTTTCTTCTGTTTTTTAAAAACAAAACATAGTAAGCTTTTGATTCTTTAAAATGCCAATCTCATTAGTTGTAGGTGTTTTTTCTATATTTTTTTTATGATCTAAGTATTCTCATATTTTTGAGGTAGGCAGCGACTCACTTATCTCTCTGGTAATGCGCATGTCTATGAGAATTGGTAGGTACCAACGTAAATATAATCGGTACGTTCACCTGAGTTCCATTTCAATTAAAAAAAAATCGAATACAAAACAATGATTAAAATCATCGCAAAATTGTTAAAATCCTATGAAATAAGCAGCAATGTAATTGAAAGGCTTAAAGGGCATAAAAGCTTTAAGGTTTAATATCGCGTTTTTTATTATTCTTCTTTTTTCGTGGTCACAGAAACTGTAAGATATTCGTAAACTACAAAAATTATTATTTCAAACGTTTTATACTTTTATTTTATTATTATATATTTAATAAAATTAAATAAGTCGACAATAATATAGTCGTATTATATTTAATGAGAATAAAAACGCGAGATTAAACCATAAAAGTAGTTTTAATTATATCCGCGACTCGCGAAAACCAAAAAAATTTTTACTAAAAGCTACAATGTAATTTGAAATGCATCAAAAGCTACGTAATAACACGCCTTTAAAAAAGGAAATCGAATCACTAAGCGAAGCGCGTCTATGAGTGTTGATACTTGCGCTTGTTACTATTTTGATACGAAAAATATAATCTCACTTACTTTGCAAAAAAAAAACATTAAAAATATTACCCTACCTTATTTAATGGCTTAGACAAGTAGCAGTTACCGTGATCTAAAGGATAAATCGCTATACTTGTACCGAGTGATGTAATAATGCTAGTATTACATTTGAAGTCGTCGTGGCCTAAAGGATAAGACATCCGGTGCATTCGTATGAAGCGAAGCACCGGTGTTCGAATCCCGCAGGCGGGTACCAATTTTTCTAATGAAATACGTACTCAACAAATGTTAACGATTGACCTCCACGGTGAAGGAATAACATCGTGTAATAAAAATCAAACCCGCAAAATTATAATTTGCGTAATCACTGGTGGTAGGACCTCTTGGGAGTCCGCACGGGTAGGTGCCACCACCCCGCCTATTTCCACCGTGAAGCAGTAATGCGTTTCGGTTCGAAGGGTGGGGTAGCCGTTGTAACTATACTGAGACCTTAGAACCCTTATCTCGAGGTGGGTGGCGCATTTACGTTATAGATGTCTATGGGCTCCAGTAACCACTTAACATCAGGTGGGCTGTGAGCTCGTCCATCCATCTAAGCAATAAAAAAAAATTCATTTATCGCAGGTAGGTTTCAATAGTTCTAGGGAAATCGTGTTTATCACGAACCAATTCCACGATGAAGGTATATTGTCGTGTAATAAAACGGGGTCAGAAATATTTATATATTAGCGTAATTACTGGTATTGTACTGCGCTCCAGCTTAAAACTTTGGACTGTCGTTATACAATACAATAAAATGGAGACTTCGACCTCATGTCTCAACAGGAGCAGAGGCATTCACGTCGTGATGTCTATGGGCTTCGGTATTTACGAAACGGTTAACGAAGTCCATAAACAATATCGCACCTTTAGAATTAAAATAGTTTAATCCAAAATTCTTGTTTTTTGGTAAACGTCAAAAATGTAATTGAAGAATTTCATTTTTGATTTTAACACTTTAGGCTTTAAAGCGCACAACTTAAAGTTTACAGTATGCGCTCGATTTAAAAGAGACGGAAAGTGCACTTTGTCCTTTTCTAATTAAAGTTTAAATTTAATTTAATAAAAATTAAATTATATGTTTAATTTTTTAAATTTATTTTTAAAAGCTGATAGAATACTTGTTTATAAGTCGTTCAAAGCTTAAAACTCATTTTCATAATTTTTTTGGTTAAGTCACTTCAATACTAAAGGTACGAAATCATAAATGCGAATACACCACCCTCAGACATGAAATCTCAATTGCATCTGCCTTTTTACTTCTCGCACAACCATGAACGCGCTCACAGAATTCAAATTCAAATTCAAAATCATTTATTTCAACTTAGATGTTGTGCTGTAACACACTTGTTGAATGTCAAAATATAAATTAAAATGTTAACTCTACCAGAAATAGAAGTTTTTTTATTTATTTATTGCATATGTGGGTAGTCGAGCTCACAACCCACCTGGTGTTAAGTAGTCAGCGGAGCCCATAGACATCTACAACGTAAATGCCGCCACCCACCTTGAGACATGAGTTCTAAGGTCTCGGTACAGTTACAACGGCTGCCCCACCCTTCAAACCGAAACGCATTACTGCTTCACGGCAGAAATACGCAGGGCGGTGGTACCAACCTGTGCAGACTTACAAATTCTACTATCTGACGTCTGAAGATACTAACTGAAATCAGTAATGGTACGCATCAGTATCCTCAAACGCATATTAGCTTCGAAGAGGGAGTTGACCAGCATGACGTTATCCGGCAGATCTCTGGGTGCGGCGACCCGATCCGGCTTGTATTGTATATTGTCCATTAATATTCTATGGCATGGCTCGCCTTTCCTGATTGACGAAATATAGATTCAAGACTCTAAGCATTATGAACACCGAACATACATACATACATGTATACTACAAGCCGTACTCGCCCGCTTTGCTGCGCATTTAAAATTAACATTATTATTTATTGTCATTATTATTAGGGAGTCCAACACTCATAAATATTAGCCTATCCATTAAGTACCTACATTTATTTTCTACATGGATACCAAGTTTCCAGTCAATCGGATGTATGGTTCAGTAGTTATAACGGAACATCCGTAAACGGTAGGCAGCGGCTTGGCTCTACCCCTGGCATTGCTGACGCCCATGAGCGACGATGACCCCTTACCATCAGGTGGGCCGTATGCTCGTCTGCCTACAAAGGCAATAAAAAAAAACTGCTGTAGATTTATATATTAGTATAGATACATATACACTATATATATAGGTATATACTATATTAAGACCATGCAGGTACAATAGTATCACATTATCTTATAGTGAACGCCTTTTTTTTATGGGTCATATGGAAATCCTATCTATCACGTTACATGACTATTTTTATACTATCGTGATCCTAGACGATTAAGATGTTACAAAACCGAATAAAGTACAGTGTAACCATTTGTTATGTTTAGTAGTAATAATTGACAAATTAATCCACTACTAATCTTCGCCCTAACGTGTAGTAATAATTGACAAATTATCGATTTTCATTAAATCGAAATTTTCATTAAATTCAATTCATTAATTTCAAAGTAATAAAGCTTATTGTAAAGTATTACGGACAAATTATGCAGCCTACACTATTTAGGGCTTTTAACCACATTTATCTATTACCTACGATAGCGAGGAAGAAGGCTGACAATCTCGAAAAACTTTACTGCTGATAGGACTTCTTGTGAGTCCGCACGGGTAGATACCACCGCCCCACCTATTTCTGCCGTGAAGCAGTAATGCGTTTCGGTTTGAAGGGTTGAGCAGCCGTTGTAACTATAACTTGAGACCTTAGAACTTATGTCTCAAGGTGGGTGGCGCATTTACGTTGTAGATGTCTATGGGCTCCAGTAACCACTTAACACCAGGCGGGCTATGAGCTCGTCCAACAACCTAAGCAATACAAAAAAAAAAAAAAAAAAACTTCTCATCACCGACAAAGTGAAAGGAAGGAAAGAGGCCAAGGAGACGTAGACCACTGCGCTGCTACGATCAAATTAAGATGACATTGGACTCCAGATTAAATGTCGCCTTCCACTGGGTAAAGGACCGGAAAGAATGCAGGAACATAGTCCAAACAAAAATGCTACGTAAAGGGAACACGATGCATGGAGATTGCCAGCGAGTTATCTTTCTCGCAAATGTTAAACGCAACCTATTAAGCCCTTGCTTTGAAACCGTTTGGCTTCCAATATAAATATTTTTTTCGGGCTTTTGCTTAGCGTCCTCCAAGATCCCCGCGACTAGGATACGTGTGGGGTATTTGGGATTGGTGTCCAATACGCCCTAACAACAATAAAAAATTGCTCAAATGCTCCAATCGAACTCAAATTTACATGGTCCGCTGCTACGCACTTACTGAATTTTTTTAGCTAAATACAGGGACTCCGTCAAATAATCTGGATGTTGGAATTGGTGGCCACATGTCAGTACAAGTTCGTCGTAATATTTTACGCCGCCGCCTTTCAAATGAATGCATTTATTTTTCCTGAAATACAAATTCGTTTTGTGACACGTACGGTTACAACAAACATGAACGTAGCGACATCTACACGCCACTCCCATAATATCGCTTTTATTGCTCTGCATCTTAAGCTTGTTTCGGGTGCAGTGTGCTTAGTGCGACTTTTTTAACGTTCTCGATAGCGTAAAAGTCAGCTCATATTTGTATAGAATGGGATCGTTTGCGTACGTTTGCCGCTAGGGGCGCTGTTCCAACTGCATACAAAATTGGCTTAACTTTTACGCTATCGAGTACACAGATATTTATAAAAAAATAATTTGGGGCCCGTTTGTTCGCACGTGGTAATTCCGAATGACCGTAAATAGTTGACATTTAAGTAACAGTAACGGTAACAGCACCGTCACGTGCTATAGGCGAAGCGCGAGCCAACAAGCCGGCGCAAGCCGCGCAAGTACTACATTCCGAGGTAGGCATTGCCAACATAGCAAACGCTAGTTACAAAATTCATATATTATTTCAAATTTATGTTTTTTTTTATGACCTGGTAACAGTGACCTTTAGGTCATATCTTATTTGGAAAATGTTCATTACTTTGGTCAAATTTATTTGCAGTTCACCTGTCAATTCCAACCATAATCGCCGAAATAACGTCTACGTAGAAGTAAAACGGTACGCTTTTGAGATATCTATCGTTGTAACGTCCTTCTCTAGGGACGCATGTGTCTGCGGCTTTCAGACATTCGGTAATCGTGGGCAAACCATGCTCCGACACTAAAGTGACGTTACTGAATGTCAAGTATTTGGCTGTTGGGCTGTAACATATTAAATACTTATAACGAAATAGACAGTTGAGTTTTATTTTTCAGACTTCGTAGTGCCTCAATCGATATAAATAAAAGACCTAAACTGTTGTATAAAATAAACTTAAAACAAACAAAAGGAATCCGTCCGACGGGGGACACATCAAAGGGAAAACAAAATTGTTATTTTTATTTAATTCCAAGCATTTTCATATTTATCTACCTTTTCAACCTTCTCTGGACTTCCACAAATAATTCAAGATCAAAATTAGTCAAATCGGTCCAGCCGTTTTCGAGTTTTAGCGAGACTAACGAACAGCAATTCATTTTTATATATATAGATATATATAGCTTAGATGGTAGGACAAGCTCACGTCCCAACTAGTGCTATTGGGTTACCATGGACCCATATACATCTACAACATAAATGCCGCCACTCATCTTGAGACATTAGTTCCGAGGCCTCAGTTTTTACTGTACAACGGCTGCCACAGTCTACAAACCATAACGCATTACGACTTGATGGCAGAAATAGGCGGGTATTTACCACCAGTGTTTTTTTTAATATGTGTTACCTCAAAACCTGTTGATATCTTTTGATACTTGATACCTGATACTTCTCATGCGCTCCCATTTAAATTTTATCAAGATCTGACCAATAGTATTTAAAATTTCATAAATAATTCTAAAGTTTCATCATATTATAATAAATAATTCTATTTTAAAAATGTTAACCCTTATAAAAATATATCAAGTTCAATTGATCTTTAGTTTTTCTAGCTAATGTCCACAATAACGAGCTATTCTCGTGAAGACAGTCAAGATTAGAGATTATATTTAAAAAAATATGGTTCGAAATTATACGTGGTTAGGTCACATGGGAAGTGAATAAGAATTTACGTAAAGGCAGATTGTTGGTACTTTCAGATTAATACACAATTAAAAAACATACCTTAGAACACCCGTTTTGTACTCACCCCATAAATAAGCTTTCCAAGAATGCAAGTCCGGTACGACTGGCTCCGACCACAATGATACTGTTATTGACGTATACTTTTGGCATACTGCATAAGGGACGCTCTATGATCCAAAGGGCAAACGGTGTAGCACTAATAAAAGAATAATCATAATAGATATAAATTCCCATTTTTTCATTTTTTCCAATCACGAGACATTTTGATAGACGTCATCTAGATCTTATCATTGCACAACCTATCATTGTAGCAGAGCTTATCTCTACTTCTTAGAACCACTCTGCTCAGCCAAAGACCATTTGCCTTTCACGAAGTAGCTGCTTTTGAGATTGTTAGGTCCCCTTTGGACGCGCTCGGGCAGCTATTAGTAAATCCCACCCCTCCTGGCTGAGACTTTGCTCGCACACGTGAAATTTAAAACGCCTTTGGGCCAATAGTAATCCTTCCTTCATTGAAGTCGTCGTGGCCTAATGGATAAGACGTCCGGTGCATTCGTATAAAGCGATGCACCGGTGTTCGAATCCCGCAGGCGGGTACCAATTTTTCTAATGAAATACGTACTCAACAAATGTGCCCGATTGACTTCCACGGTGAAGGAATTACATCGTGTAATAAAAATCAAACCCGCAAAATTATAATTTGCGTCATTACTGATGGTAGGACCTCCTGTGACTTCGCACGGGTAGGTACCTCACCCCGCCTATATCTGCCGTGAAGCAGTAATGCGTTTCGGCTTGAAGGGTGCGGCAGCCGTTGTAACTATACTGAGACCTTAGAACTTATATCTCAAGGCGCATTTACGTTGTAAATGTCTATGGGCTCCAGTAACCACTTAACACCAGATGGGCTGTGAGTTCGTCCACCCATTTAATCAATAAAAAAAATTATCATTTGTAGAGACTATTTATACTTTCATAGAATGCTGACTGTGCCCCTGGGAATGCTGACGCGTCCATGCCCAATTTTGAGCCCTCTTATGACCACATGAGACACTTGCTCGCCTACCTTCGAAGGCAAAACACACGTCGACTTAATTGATTTTTAAAATAGTTTTTCCACCCATCAAACGTGAATACAAGACTGCTTCGCGGCAGAAACAACCAAGATAATGGTAGATATCTATGCGTACTTACTTACAAACTAAGCCCACAAACGACTTGTGGAAATTGACCTTTAATACAATTTGAACAGCAAAAATCATGAATATTATCAATTTAAGAATTTATCTTTTAATTTTTATACGATTTCTTTATAAATAGTTCGTAAACACGCGCGATCACTGCAGATGGCATTTAAAGACCTCTTAAAATATTTTCAGATAATAATAATATGCCTTCATTAGATTAGTAGCAATAAATCTTGACAATTAACACATTATTTAAATTGTGATAGATATGTATTATGTGAACAATAGTACTTTAAAGCATGATACTAACACATCTTTCAAAATTTTATCCAATATCTTGTTTTTAAATATATTTGGTACTGATATACGTGGATGAACGGGTACCATACAATCAGCCAGAGACATCAAATTGCGCCCGGGATTCTAAAATTCAAATAAATTGTTTTCATTTTATTTTATCAATGTTTATCTTTATAGTATTGTATTTATAGTATTGTTTATTGTGGCATATTTAAAAAGAATACCATAATAAATTCTGGAGAAAGGTGAACTAAAGGTAAGTTCGGCAATCCTGATATACTAGGTTGAAAAAGGATTCTGTGAAAATTTGTTTTCTTATTTAAGCATGACGAAGAAATATTCTTGCCTTAAAGGTCACAAGATACTGTTCTAAAGACAAAATAGTAGGAACTACTCCAGCTACGCTCTGGTTGGTAGATGAACTCACTCCCAACCTGAGAGAGTTTACTAAGACTGGCCCTAGCAAGAGCAAAATCAACCACCGGGTCTGATAACTGACTCAGAAACTCAGTGGTAACTGATAGCAGGCGAAATTAGATTTGATTTAAGCAAGCTATCAATTATTTTTAATGTATTATTTATGAATTCAGAGTGCGAACTCTTTCGCCAAAGCGTCTGTGACCTCTGGTAGCTGCTTTAGATCTGGGGGGCATCTGCATGTCTGCCCATCTTCGCTAATAATATTATTTATGTATACAAGACTAACTTACAACAAATGATCAGAATAAGATCCAAATTGCGATCAAAGATAAAATATTACCAAAGACTAATGAATTTGATTACTTACTCTATGATAGGTAGTCTAAAAGAACATCACATTGTTTTCATCGTAATATTCAGTAAAATTGTTGATTGCTATTAAAATTATTATTAAAAAGTAGATCACGGACCAAAACATTTTAGCGGCGAAGTTATACGAGTTTAATTCGGCTTATCAAAACAGTTCATGACCAACATGATCATAATTACTCCAAAAAACTATTTTTGTATGTATAGATTAGTAAAAGAGGGGTCAAAAAGTATGAAGTCCGTTTGAATTTTACTTTTAATTGTAAAAAGAAATCAAAGATTCTTGTGTAAAACTATAAAGTACTGAATCCTCTCTCTAAATTTACCTGTTTTTAAATTTAGCATTAAAATAAGGTGTTATTTTTTTTTAAATACATAGTTTACAGCCTAGACGTCTAGAAGTATGAATGTTGTGTTTGGAGCTGTATTTGGAGCTGAGCTAACATTATAATTACATCGTTTTATTGTTTAATCTATATCGGCATCTATACTAGACTTAAGCCACGATGATTTCGATTTCGAGTAGGTACGAGTTCTTGAAAAAATCAATTGTACTGATTACACGTTCAAAAACTGCGGCGTTAGAATATGTCCTTTCTTATCCAAAGCAGCATTTTGAACAGTTAAAAGACAGTGATTAAAATAATAAAAAACGTACTGGATATCATTAATAGTTGCATTGAATATAGTTAAGTAATGTTTCGGTTACTTAAAAACCATTTAAATAGTTTACCATTACAGCGCACCATAAAATTGTGGTTAAAGCTTAAATTAAAAGCTTAATACCAATAAGTAGGTATTAATTATAAGTTGTGTTTTGACTGCGGCCTTAACGCGCTCTTGAGTGCTCACGTTATGAGTGTAATAACCATACGATATTCAAGAAAAGTAAACTGGTGGACCTCTTGTGAGTCTGCATGGGTAAATACTACGACCCCTCCTATTTCTGCCGAGAAGCAGTAATGCGGTTCGGTTTGAAGGGTGGGGTAGCCGTTTTAACCATACTGGCGCATTTTACGTTGTAAATGTCTATGGGCTCCAGTAACCACTTAATACTAAGTGGGCTGTGAGCTAGTCCACCCATCTAAGCAATAATAATAAAAAAACAAAGTACCGCCTCTCCCTTAGCGAACAGCCTGCAGATCCAAAACAACGTTGAGTACTGCGAACGTCGCAGCAACTCACGCATGAACCATCGACGGTGCGGCTCTAAAACTGGCGATATCACGCTTGCCAATACCTAAATAAATATACAAATAGCTTTAATCCAATGATTACGAAAAAAAAAGGAAATGTGGTGTCGTGGGACACCAGGTAGGAACGAAGTTCCTTCGGCTAATGTAGAATCGACACAATTTGCAAAAAAAAATCGTGCTCAATTTTATATTGGTTTTCTTGATTTTTCTCTTAAATTTTGCTGATTAGTTTTTATTTAAGTACAGGAAAGTATTTAGGAAATTCAGTATTTTAGGAAATAATAAATTACGTAAAATAAAAATAAAATCGTAATTCAAATTATCAATTAAAATAACAAAATATGTCTCTTTATTTTTGTTTGATAACATAAAATTACATAGAAATAGATTTAATTACAAAATAGAGAGAGAAGGGATGAAAGAACGAAAAGAAAGAGGGAGAAAGAGAAAGGTATTATACACTAATCGCTTGTGTATACGACTGTCGCGCCTGCGCATGTCTCATTTAACGGTTTTATTCCACGCACTTTTTTCCACGGATTTTTTCTTACGGTTTTACTATCACATTTTTTTCAGTTCGGTCGCGCAGCAAAATCCCTATCCCCTCCAAGCCTGCCGTAAGGAACTTCGTTCCAAAAAATAATGTTCAAATTATTTGAAAAGTTTAAGATGAAGGAAAGATTTTATTAAAACAAAAAAACAAGCTTCGCCTTAATTGCGGCACTTTTGAAGTAATTTATAATACAAATTTCAATGTGATGTTTTTTTTAATTATTATTAGGTTCACACAACTGGATGTGTGAACACATCTTGCTTAAGAGCGGTTGTGCTTAAGATAAATCGTTAACTAATATTAAAACAAAGACAAAGAAAACAAAAAAACACAAAAAACTACATATAAAAACTTACAAAAAAACAATAAACAATAAAAATATTAAAAAAATGAGGGAAATTAATGTTCAATAAAAATCAAATGTGGTTGGTCTACAGCTCAGTGTGGATCACAGATTTTAAATTTATTTTAAGTGAGGCTAGAGAAGCGTGCCAAACAAATATGTCGATTTCATTACGTATAGGTACTATTTGTCAGGGAGGTCATACGATAGACAGGAGAGTGCTGGCCAAGATTACTTTTAATTTTTGGTAGGTTGAAAATTTTCCGATTATATAAACGGCTGCCGAAGCGCGGTACACTTAAGTGAAAGCGCGGTACACTTCACTACACAGTACAAAACAAAGTCGCTTTCTCTGTCCCTATATCTCTATGTATGCTTAAATCTTTAAAACTACGCAACGGATTTTGGTGCGGTTTTTTTTAATAGATAGCGTGATAATAACATCCATTAAATAGTGGAGAAATCAATAATAAATTACAATTTCCGAAGCGAAACGAAGGCGGGTCGCTAGTAAGTGAATAAATATAATTTACAATGATTTTTAACGTGACATACACTCCCATCCGTTCCAGGGCGAACAGGCTCCGGTTCCAAATCGTACTGCACCCGAATCGTTGTACCGTCTTCTAATGGTCTGAAGTATTGAAAATTAATATCTGTCACAGAGATACTCACTTCGACCGGAAATAGAATTCGGACCCATGGTATCATTTTAAGATCACTAACTTCTGTATAACGATAGGAAACAGAATATAATAAATAATAGTTTAAAAAAAACTAAAAAAATACGTTTATATAGAAAATCCAACTAAAAAATTGAAAATCAATTTTAATAAATTATCTAAGTTACTATTGTTGATCGAAGGTCCTTACTATTTCTTGGTCTAAAGAATAGTATATTCTTCGATTTGTCTATGTTTAACGTTTACATCACACAACTTCAATAGCACGCTTCGATTGCTTTAAATTTCCCCTTTATTCAATTCGATCGAGTGTCTTACCCGAGCACAACCATGCCAATTGGTTGATTTTCGCTTAGCATTATATAGCTCTGCAATGTGCGCGAAGTGAGGGTAGAATCAAAAAGGTCTAGAAGAGCTTGAGCGCGGGGCGCGTGGTCTAATAAGTTGTGAAGAGCAGGAACATCGAATGCCTCGCCTGGACGTATACTCATATTTCTAAAGCAAACAAAAAAACAGCATTTTAATCTATACTAATATTATAAAGAGGAAAGATTTGTTTGTTTGTTTGTTTCGAATAGGCTCCGAAACTACTGGACCGATTTGAAAAATTCTTTTTCCATTAGAAGCCGACATTGTCCCTGATGAACATAGGCTACATTTTTTAAAAAAAAAAAATGTGTGCGTGTACTAGTGTACACACGTAAGAAGTGAAACTTATTTATGGCCTTATTTTTCGAAAAATGATCTACATGCAACTTTCTAGAAATTGGTTAAATAAAGTTAAATTAGATAAAGTTTAAACAAAAGGATTTTATTATCATAGACATGAATACAAAAAAGTTAAATTAGATAAAGTTTAAACAAAAGGATTTTATTATCATAGACATGAATACAAAAAAGTTAAATTAGATAAAGTTTAAACAAAAGGATTTTATTATCATAGACATGAATACAAAACAGATGGCGCGTAACGGAAAAATGTGACGCGTAACCGAAAAATGTGACGGTAAATTTTTTTCCAACGCCGATAAGGAAGTTTCACTTCAAAAATTTTTTTTTTTTTGTTTTCATGTTTCCGAAGCGAAGCGAGGGCGGGTCGCTAGTATCTTTTAACTTTAAACGAGCGAATCTGAATCTCGGAAACGGTTTCAACGATTTTCATAAAATTTAGTATACAGGGGATTTCGGGGGCGATAAATCGATTTAGCTACGATTTATTTTCAGAAAATGTTTTATTCGTGTTTTCAATAATCAACTTTATCGATTATAATTAAACTTAAATATGACTCTTCCCGACATCTATTGGCGAATATTAATACTATTTTTCTTAATTGAGAGCAACTAACTGCTTTAAAGACACAACACTAAAGCTACCTCAGCAGATGGCGTTGTTAAGCAACTCGAAGCCAATGAGTGTTTGATTTAAGGTTAGACTGGGACAATGAATTGTTTATTTATATTATTTGTGTCTTTTTAACACACGTGTTCACTTAAAAATGCCTAAACGATCTTGGAAAAAAACGCTTATAAACAATCTAATTTCACGAAGTCGCAACTCGTCTCAAGAAAACCTTGAAGAACATCCTCATCAAGTAGTTCATATTTAAATATAATTTCTAAAAAACCACCATTTATGAAAGAAAAAAAAACGTTCATCTTCTAGTGACATTAATACCGCCAATTTCACGCTATGGACATGTTTTTTTATTGCCTTTGCAGGCAGACGAGCATACGGCCCACCTCATGGTAAGCGGTTACCGTCGCTCATGGACGTCAGCAATGCCAGGGGTAGAGCCAAGCCTCTGCCTACCATTGAGTACTCTCCGCAAGCCTCGTTTGAAGAAGGACATGTCATAGCACTCGGGAAATACCGTAGAGGGGACTTCATTCCAAAGCCGGATGGTACGTGGCAGAAAAGATCATTGTAAACGCACTGTCGATGAACGCAGCGGTTCCAGATAATATGGCTGAACTCTGCTCCGGTGGCGGGAGGTGTGATGGTAAAAAGGAGATGAGGACATAATCTCGAATAATTCTTCAGAGCATTCCCCTTGGAACATACAGTACAAAATACAGTAAGATATATCTATTTGTGATCTGCTTGATGGGAATTTATACGTAAGAAAACTAGCAAAGAATAACTAGAAAACATATTTACCCTCTAACAGAATTTACGTGAGCCACATAAAGGGTTTGATTTACAAATTTTAAACGAGTAGTACGTGGTGCCACCAGCTGAAAGAAAGTACAACAATTTATATAGTGTGAGTATTACCAAGAATAGAATCCTAAATACCAACAACACGATATTTCACTTCCGAGCGTGAACGATGTAGTATACGGGTGCAGTAACAAACGTCTTATCCAATTAGACCACAGACGCATTACAGAATATAAGGTCTTAACTATTATTGTAAGTAACCAAATACATTTTTCGAGTACTGTTAAAGTTATGCCGTGTTCTTGATCGACCCGTATCACAGCCTTGTTTCAGATTGAAGTATCTGATGCTTGAGGACAGAAACCCGAAATGGGAAATTCCACACTAGATTGAAGGCGTGGCTTGTGAAGCACATGCCTCGGAATAGACATGAAGTAATGTATTGCCGTGTTGAGAAATCGAGAAATATTCTAAATTAAGAATCCGATGATTAACGTCTTCTTCTTCTTACCGTCATCCCACTATATGGGGTCGGCGCAGTATGTCCTATTTTTCTATTCAGGCCTATCATACCTCAACACTGTATTGGGAGAGGCCTATGTCCAGCAGTAGACGACTATGGGCTGATGATAATGATGATGATGCTACCTCAACACTGCACTCACACCCTTCTCTCGCAAATCTTTTTTCAGACAGTCCGTCCAAGTCTCTTTAGGACGCCCCCTCCGAAAATATCAATAAATTGGCTTTTTTTATTGCTTAGATGGATAGACGAGCCCACTAGGTCTTAAGTGGTTACTGGAGTCCATAGATATCTACAACGTAAATGCGCCACCCACCTTGAGATATAAGTTCTAAGGTCTCAGTATAGTTACAACGGCTGCCCCACCCTTCAAACCGAAACGCATTACTGCTTCACGGCAGAAATAGGCGGGGTGGTGGTACCTACCCGTGCGGACTCACAAGAAGTCCTACCACCAGTAATTGCGCAAATTATAATTTTGCGGATTTGATTTTTATTACATGATGTTATTCCTTCACCGTGGAAGTCAATCATGAACCTTTGTTTAGTACGTATTTCATTAGAAAAATTAGTACCTGCCTACGGGTTTCGACCAATGCATCGCTAGATACGAATGCACCGGACGTTTTATCCTTTTTAGCTACAATGATGATGATGATGATGATGATAAAAACGTAACTGTCTATAAATCCAATTTACAATTATAAATAATCGAATACCGTAAAATGCTCAAGAAGCGGAAACGACACGTGATTTGAGGGTAAACACACAATGCAGTAATCTCTGTTCGGGAAGAGTTCGTAGGCCGCTTCAAGCATATCAAAACCATGTCTGTAAGAATATTGATTATCTCCCATTCAAATAACACCTAATACAAAAAAGCATATGAAGGCTATATTACTAGCTATAACAGCATAAAAGAACATCAAATGTTTATAAAACACGTTTAGATACTTAATGTAATTTCAAGACGTTTGTCAGTCGGTAATATTAAGCTATTGCATAGATTTTATCGCGGGCTTTGAGCGCGGCGACCGAATCAAGAAATTCCGTAACAAAAACAACCTAACACCTCTCCGCCTACCACGTAGCTCGCGTTCAACACATTCACACGTTGCGCTTGTGTAGTGTTTGAGATTAAGCGCGCGGCGTGACGTCGCACTGCATGCGCATCATGAAAAGTCTGCCCATCTCTCTCTCGCGCGGTCTAGCTTATGAGTGTGAAGGGGACAGTTAATGTTTTGCTTTAGTTAATGTTATAAATATAGCGTGGTCTTATTTTATTATTGTTTTAATATTAAATTATTATTGTATAATTATAATCGCATAGGTTGATAAAAAATGCTATGCAATAGCTTTATCGTGACAGTCCCCAAATGCCACACGTGTTTTTATTTTGTTTTCTCGTACGTTTCTACGTGCGATCATTTCGTTACTCTACGTGCGATCACCTTGTAAATGTGCTATATTGAAAATTAAGACTAAGCCCTAATCAACAAATGTGATTACAAATAAACCAGTCAATTATAATCAAAGTTACCTCTCATCATAATCTGGATGCATAGCAAACAGTTCTAACAAAAACGCATTTGGTGTCCCACTGTAGTTTGTACCATCGGATAACCCATTATTGCTTCCTGCTAGTGCTGCAACATGTACAAATTTTTTTTTTTATTGCCTCTGTAGGCAGACGAGCATACGGTCCACCTGATGGTGAGTGGTTACCGTCGCCCATGGACTTCAGCAATGCCAGGGGCAGAGCCAAGCCGCTGCCTACCAAAATGTACAATTCTTAGTAAAATGAAGGTAAAGATCGCTAGACAAACTATAACCCTACTTAATGCGGCATTACATTATGTCCTGGAACAAGTTAAAATAAATTTTAATTATTTTATAAAAAAAATTAATTTATAAAATTTATTTTCTATTTTTAGTTGAATTTTATATAAAGCGTGTATTTTAGTTTTTTAAACTATTATTTATTTTTCATTTCTTAGTTAATTTTTTTTTTGCAAATAGAATAATGGAATAATCTTATCAAATTAGTGTATTGTCATCGGTCCTCGATAAATCTACAAAGTTTGAATGAAATCTGGCCGTTTAAAGTGGATCAAAAACGCGTCTAAAGGAGTCAGTTACAAACATACATACAAGTGAAGCTAATATAAAGCGTGTAAAAAGTAGTGACGTCTGTGATATTTTGAACAATAGGATAAAATATATCTATCTTTGGTAGCTTCAATGAATAGATTATCTTCACGTCAAATCAAGGAAGGTGTTGCTTGTCTCTAAAGCCATTTTAAAGGTGGAATTCACGAGACGATGCTTCCTTTTCACGTGAACGTCATCTACGACGGTCAACGAAAGTCAAGATCAAGGATGACACTAAGACCATGTGGTGTTGGAAGAAGGAAGGCTTAATTGGGCCATTAAATAATGTTCGTGCTGTGTAGTGTTACGAGCATTGATACTTTGTGAGATTCCTTAATAAGCTACGTTGTTGTGTTGCGACCACGTCAACGGCGGATGCATGGCATGACCCCATGACCCCCCCTGGATTACACGATAAATTACACGATAAAATCACTCTGCGGTTGCGGATAAGTAGGTGCGGTTGAACTTGTGCGGTGAAGGAATAACATCGTGTAATAAAAATGAAACCCGCAAAATTGTAATTTGCGTAATTACTGGTGGTAGGACCTCTTATGAGTCCGCACGGGTGGGTACCACCACCCTGCCTATTTCTGCCGTGCCGTGCCGTGAAGCAATAATGCGTTTCGGTTTGAAGGGTGGGGCAGCCGTTGTAACTTACTTGAGACCTTAGAACTTATATCTCAAGATGGGTGGCGCATTTACGTTGTGGATGTCTATGGGCTTCAGTAACCACTTAACACCAGGTGGGCTGTGAGCTCGTCCACCTATCTAAGCAATAAAAAAAAAATAAAAATAAAAAACTTTTTTTTTATGATTGAAAGATTACTGATGGCCCGAAGGTCTTTCTAGTTTCACCAGGACAGGTGGGCGAGCAAAGGCTCAGCGGTTGAAGTAAAAAAGTTTCTGAGACATAATCATAAATCAACAAACTTTCATACCTTTAAAGATTTAATTTGTAATATTAATTTTGTTGAAATCATGGTTGTTTAGCGGCAGTTTATACAACATTCGAAGGTTTGACGAAGTCGAGCTTAATCGTTTATAAACACAAAGACTGGAGTACACGGAGACACGTCGAATATATTTAAATAAAAATATTAACCACAAGATTAAACTGTAAAATAGTTTAAATTAAGACACTCGATAGCCGAAGACCTGTAACTCGATTATTGCTCCATAATTATAATACCGGCACAGCCTTAAAGATATTCGTGTTTTCTGCTTTACATCAAATAGGCACCGAGCTTGGGTGGCCATAAAACTAAAAAAACACGCTACAAGTACGCAAATTTAAATAAAAAATATGTTATTTTTTGTACGTTATTAAAAAGTTAAGTTTTACACTTTGTGTATAACTAATAAAAATCTTACGTTACGGACGTTTTTTCTGGTTATGGTACCCCTCCGCATCGTCCCATAAGGAACTACGTTCTAAAAATGACTACACAATATGATTCGTCATCGTAGAGGTCATTCCTGAACACGTCGTATTAAATCAATTACGCACCTTCGGCAGTCGGTTAAATACTTATCATTTATAGCGTAAACAGAAGTATTATTTGAAAATACTTGGTAGCGGATTGAGAAACCAAACCATAGCACTGCCATATCCCCCGACACCAGATACCTAGTTTTATTGTAAAAACCATCATTTTTACTTACTTTTTACCCTATCTTTTTTCAGATTGATATCATAAGTAGTTTCCTTTTTGGCATGTCTGCCGCTGCCTTCAATTATTTTCAAGAAACTTTCGGCGGGACTGCAAAAGTATTATTCAGTATATTATGAACACATGGGAATCAAAATCATTCAAAAACACGATGAGCATCATACCCTTTTCCTAAAGCATCATAAGACAGATATTTAGGAAGTTTCAATAAATCTGTAGCGATATTGACAATATCGAATTCTAGTTCATCATCGTCGTCGTCGTCAAGTATACTGGTCACGTCAAACGAAGCGTCAGCCTCTTCGGATTCGTCTCGACCTAGACCAGCAACGTCATGAGTAAGCTCTTTCTCGCCCTCCCCTGGAAAGTTTATGCATTCGTCTTCTCCGAATAACCAAGTAACCTGTAAAAAGTACCTCGTAAGCTCCTTCTTTACTCTTGCTTTTAACATTCATTCTTTTCTGGGCCAAAACCTGCTGAACTTTCATACAATAACACATAAGCATCATTTCAGCAAGGCATTTATATTGTTTTAAAAAATAAAGAAACATTATTTTTTATATCTTAGGAGAGGAACGAGGTCACAGCCCACCTGGTGTTAAGCGGTTACCGGAGCCCATAGACATCTACAATGTAAATGCCTCCACCTACCGTGAGATATAAGTTCTAAGGTATAGTTACAACGGCTGTCCCACCCTTCAAACCGAAACACATTACTGCTTCACGGCAGAAATAGGCAGGGTGGTGGTTGGAACCTACCCTTGCAGACTCACAAGACTTCCTACCACCAGTAAACATGTAATACATATTTATCAAAAACACAGTTAATACTAATGATATCTGATATTTTATTTGCCGTAAACGAATTATTTTAAAGTATTTATTTACCTTACTTTTAGTGCCCCTGTAGTGGGCGCTAGATTCAGTACTTGTACGTCGAAATTGGCTAGCACTTTCCAATAAACCAGACGATACAGCACTTGAAACACTGAAAGACATGAATCAGGAATAATATAGCTCTTCGGTCAGGATCTAACTTTGAAAAATGTCACATAGTCATGATAAAATTTAAAATCGGCTATCATAATAAAATACATAGACGAAATTCCATATCCGTATCGCTAGCTTATGAAGAGTTCCTTTATATGTAGCTTACCCTAGGCGTCTTCAGATCATGCTTGACATAGTTATTAATATGTATTGTCATTGAAACTGAAGGAACATGTAAAAATTGAACTCCGTAAAATAAGAGGTATTGGGTCTAATTTAGCTTGCATAATTTGACCTTAACAAGCTACAACAAACATTGTAAGTTAAATAACAGGTTGTTTTAAAGCAATTTCATTTCGGATACGTATTTTTAACTTCTTCATATGAAATTTTCAAATTAACATATGTTATTGTACTATCAATTTCAATAAATTACAATAAATCCTATAGGTAAATCTACGAATAAACATACGTATTGCCTTTGATCGAAGTTATAACTTCTAAGTATATTCAATCTGTCCAGACATATAAGATCTTACCTGAAAGCCGAGTCTCCAGCACTATACTTGTGGTAAATCGAAAGTGTATCTACTTTCCTCAGACCAGCGAAGGGCATCAATTCGAAGCTCTCATTCAAGTCCTCGTAATTTATCAAAGTATTAAGACACATGACACCAACTGCTAATTCTTTGTGCTTAAAAATAAATAACAATCGATTGTGGGCTCATTACAATTATTGCACATGGCGATAATAATTCTTGACAGTCTATACGAATAACCTCATTATAGCAGCAACGTGTTCCACCTAGAGACCCTGGGCCCTTTAAGGTAATTAATATTAAAGTAAACTATCTTAATGTGACAGCTAGTGCGGGATTCCTATTAAAAAAAATCTAATATTTTCACATGAGAAATGAATTTATTTGTTAAGGATATACAAGAATAGTGAGCAAGGTACCACAACCATACGTTAGAACGATTTAAATTAGATACCATTTGGAGCGACTGGTCATTACATTTTTAACTAGGGCTGCCTTCAACTTTAAACACACGATCCAAAGCGTACTTTCTTAGTTTTCTTAAATTATACCTCACAAACCAGCAGGACTCTGTCAGATTCTGGATGTCTTGAAATGAGTTCGCTAATGTAAAATTCTCCGTAAAGTTCACGGAGTCTAGTAGAATAACGTTCGATTATAGGCACTATATCATCATTATCCTCTTCGCTAAAATAGATTATTGTTAATGTCCAATATTTGTTTATATTGTTTTAAATTACACTATGCAGTGGAATATATGCGTAATGAATACATGTCGTTCATTGAGAATGGACAGCGTGAGTGGTCTTCCCACAATGTGGCATGTAGACCTGATGAAGATCGCACGGTCCCCGGAATACGGCAGCGCTGTATCAATTATTGTTGCGAATCTTGGGAAAAACTTTCCAGCAGTAGACGTCTATAAGCTGATGATGGTCATATGTCCTTCTTTGAGTAAGATTTCACAAGAGCCCTGAGAGAAACACAGCGGTATAGCTGTATCCTTGGTATTGCTAAGTTCCATGAGTGACAATAAATCGTTATCGTCATATGAGCCCTGCGTTTGTCGGCGTTCGAAGGCAATGAGAAAATACAACTGCGTTGCAACGGACCAAACCATATACCTACATATTACCATCAAATTATGCATCGGATCCCATTATTTTGTTGCTCTTGCAGACACTCGTCCGCGACCCACTTGGTGTAAATTTGTTACTGTAGCCAATAGACATGGTAAAGTAAAAGTCCCCACTTATTGCTTAGATGGGTGAACGAGCTCACAGCCCACCTGGTGTTAAGTGGTTACTGGAGCCCATAGACATCTACAATGTAAATGCGCCACCCACCTTGAGATATAAGTTCTATGGTCTCAGTATAGTTACAACGGCTGCTCCACCCTTCAAACCGAAACGCATTACTGCTTCACGGCAGAAATAGGCGGGGTGGTGGTACCTACCCGTGCGGACTCACAAGAGGTCCTACCACCAGTGAAAAATACTTATAACTTAAGTCTGAATGGCAACTTGTAACGGCTGCCCTGCTCTTCAAATAAACTGGATAGATACGGTAAATATAAAAAATATTTCGTCTCCATTTAACGTTATTAAAACCATCGACAGGTATGCTTTAACTAACACAGCTCTTCGAACTCTCAGCCTAGGGCAAACTTCTGGTCGATCAGCTACATATAAACCAGGCAACTGATCACCTGGGATACCACGCTCCATTGCTTGAACACGTCGAAAAGACCCTTCTGATCGAGACTGACCAGGAACTAATACTGAAATAGGTTATTGCTAGAAAATTTCGTCGTTTTTCCACGATCTCTTAGGGTTAATAATAGTGTTAAAAGGTTTTTACAGGGGAATACCCAGTGGTGGATTTACACTAGGGGCAGTCGGGGCAAGTGCCCAGTGCGGCAAATTAGTTTTTTTATGTATTATAATATTTATGTATTATAATGATTATGAATCACGCTTAGTGCCAAATTTATAATTGTTAGAAAAAAAACTAATATTTATTTATGTTTTTGGAATATATAACATAATATGATAAAGTTTCTGCAATAAATTAGTTATTTTAATTTTGTAAAATAAAATATAATATAAACTATAAGTTTAGGTAAAATTCCAGTATTGGGGCGGATTTTTTCCGGTGCCCAGTAGCGGAATTAAGTTTAAATCTGGCCCTGGGAATACCTACTATGGTGTCTTTGTTACACATATTATTGCTTAAAAGGACGAACAACCTCACGGTTAGCCTGGCGATAAATGATTTCGAGAGCCCATAGTCAGTAACGTCATCATCAACGTGAGCACCGCCAACTATTTTGAGACCGCATAATGCTTCGCGACAGAAATGGACCATATACCGTGCGCTCTACGAAACTATACCTAGTCAAGTCATAAGTATTGTCACACAGTAAAAACTTTTCTTTTAGAATGCTGGCCACAAAAAAGTTTATTGAATTCGAATTTCGAATTGTTCATGAAAATAAAAATGTACTTATACTTTGAGAATTTTACTCATTTTTAAATATGGAGTGGACGCTTAAAGAAGACCGTGTTGCAGTTATTGCGTTGCATCGTTGCGGTTACGCGCCAATTCAAATTTTTAACATACTGAAAAATTTGGATATAACCAAAAGATTCGTTTATCGTACCATCAAACGATACAGTGAAGACTAGTGTAGATGACAGGTCAAGAAGTGGTCGCCCTCGGTCTGTTAGGACTCCAGCAGTGATAAAAGCTGTGAAGGCGCGAATTCAAAGAAATCCCAAACGTAAGCAGAAACTGTTGGCCCTTCAGATGGGGTTAAGCAGAACCACGGTGAAAAGGGTGTTAAATGAAGGCTTCGGGCATATCGAAGAAAAACAGGACATCGTNAAACAAAACAATTAAACACTTCCAGGAAGACAGTTTGTCGGCAGATGTACCACGAACACAGAAATAACAAAAGGAAATAAAACAAATAAAAACTTCCAGGAAGAGCACTTAGTCGGCAGATGTACCACGAACACAGGCCGCGCGAACAATGGCCGGGCTAACAAAAGCCGGGCGAACAAAGGCCGGGCGATCGAGTGGTTGATGAGCACGTCCGCGCGTGACGGGTGCCTCTATCGGAATGACAAGAGTGCTGAGAGAAAGACAGCGGTATAGCTGTACCCTTGGTATTGCTAATTTCCATGAGTGACAATAAATCGTTATCGTCACATGAGCCCTGCGTTTGTTGGCGTTCGAAGGCAATGAGAAAATACAACTGCGTTGCAACGGACCAAACCATATACCTACATATTACCATCAAATTATGCATCGGATCCCATTATTTTGTTGCTCTTGCAGACACTCGTCCGCGAACCACTTGGTGTAAATTGGTTACTGTAGCCAATAGACATGGTAAAGTAAAAGTCCCCACTTATTGCTTAGATGGGTGGACGAGCTCACAGCCCACCTGGTGTTAAGTGGTTACTGGAGCCCATAGACATCTACAATGTAAATGCGCCACCCACCTTGAGATATAAGTTCTATGGTCTCAGTATAGTTACAACGGCTGCTCCACCCTTCAAACCGAAACGCATTACTGCTTCACGGCAGAAATAGGCGGGGTGGTGGTACCTACCAGTGCGGACTCACAAGAGGTCCTACCACCAGTGAAAAATACTTATAACTTAAGTCTGAATGGCAACTTGTAATGGCTGCCCTGCTCTTCAAATAAACTGGATAGATACCGTAAATATAAAAAATATTTCGTCTCCATTTAACGTTATTAAAACTATCGACAGGTATGCTTTAACTAACACAGCTCTTCGAACTCTCAGCCTAGGGCAAACTTCTGGTCGGTCAGCTACATATAAACCAGGCAACTGATCACCTGGGATACCACGCTCCATTGCTTGAACACGTCGAAAAGACCCTTCTGATCGAGACTGACCAGGAACTAATACTGAAATAGGTTATTGCTAGAAAATTTCGTCGTTTTTCCACGATCTCTTAGGGTTAATAATAGTGTTAAAAGGTTTTTACAGGGGAATACCCAGTGGTGGATTTACACTAGGGGTAGTCGGGGCAAGTATTATAATATTATTATTTATATATTATAATGATTATGAATCACCCTTAGTGCCAAATTTATAATTGTTAGAAAAAAAACAAATATTTAATTATGTTTTTGGAATATATAACATAATATGATAAAGTTTCTGCAATAAATTAGTTATTTTAATTTTGTAAAATAAAATATAATATAAACTATAAGTTTAGGTAAAATTCCAGTATTGGGGCGGATTTTTTCCGGTGCCCAGTAGCGGGATTAAGTTTAAATCTGGCCCTGGGAATACCTACTATGGTGTCTTTGTTACACATATTATTGCTTAAAAGGATGAACAACCTCACGGCTAGCCTGGCGATAAATGATTTCGAGAGCCCATAGTCAGTAACGTCATCATCAACGTGAGCACCGCCAACTATTTTGAGACGGCATAATGCTTCGCGACAGAAATGGACCATATATGAGTCGTCTATAATCAAAGGTGGCAATCTGTGCATTTGGACAAAAAAATGTTATCGATATGTTAATACAGATTGATTTGAATATAATCGTCTCCTTCAAAGAATACGGTTCAAAACCTGCATTAAATAAAGGTTAATAGTTAACCTGTTATTTATCTAAGATGTCGTTCCGAAGAGTTTTGTGACTGCCAATGGAATACAAAGTCAATAATTCGTTTTTCTAATTTACCAATAATTGTCCAAAAGTCACATTGCCGGCTTTGATAATAGTCGACTCATATACCGTGCGCTCTACGAAACTATATTGTTTATTGATTTTATCCTAACTAATGTAGGAGGAACTTACAAAGGACAAATATAACGATTTCACATTCTACAAGCTGTTTAATGAGCCGGATTTAGGCAAGACAATAAGTACTGCTACTAAGATACTGAGATCTTAAATGCTAAATGTTTTTAGTAAAGACTATCAACTCCGACGGGAAACCGAAGCCGGATTGTAGTAGTAGTCCAGCACTCTACGCTAGAGTACGTAACGTAACGTGTAAATAACAGCAACTCCGAGGATTTACATATTATAATTGCACTCACAAGGATAATCCAACATGCACTTAACCATAGCAACGTGATGAACGTAAGGATCGTGCATAAATATTGACTCGAGCATACTATCAACGCATTCACGGCCGTAAATTTGGTTCCAGCATAACAGATGTAAAAACATAGTATTTCGTGCATTAAGCTCTACGGCCCTGCAATAAAATAAAGGTAAATTATATTAAATGAGACTGGTTCAGAAGATACGACTATGCCACGGTCACCTTTTTTTATTTATTTTTTTATTTTTTATTAGGTACTCAGATAGTTAAACGAACTCGTAGCCGACCTGGTTTTAAGTGGGTACCGGAGCCCATAGACATCTACAACGTAAATGCGCCACCCACCTTGAAATATAAGTTCTAAAGTCTCAGTATAGTTACAACGGCAGCCCCACCCTTCAAACCGAAACGCATTACTGCTTCACAGAATAGGCAGGGTGGTGGTACCTACCCGTTCGAACTCACAAGAGATCCTACCACCAGTTAAACTACCTCGAGCCACTTATATTACTTACTTGTATTTTGTCCAGACATACTCCTCCCAAGCAACCGGGTGCACTGAAGGGATCAAAGGATATTCCCTTGCGCATAAAAAACCCACTATACTTCCATTCACGTCTAGTTGGCATACCGAAAGTATACCGTTTTCTCTGCAAAGAAGCCAATTTAAATCAAAATACGAATGATTTTTTTTTATGTCATTTCAAAGTGATTTTTTTCCCTACCTAAGCTGATGCTCTAGAGAGACCATGTTAGCGTCATCGGGCTAGTAGGTGAGCTCACGAGGCTCAAAACTGACGATGTTGCTAACACGAACCCTAGCAAGAGCCGTGCTTCGCAGAATCTACCACCGGATCGGAAACGCGACCCACTGACAAGATCCGATGAGAAACTCAGTGGGCTGTGTCTGTGTCTAGGTCCAGGTCGTCGTGAAGGTCGACGTTCCTGACGAACCATAGCTCATGACGGGGCGTATGCAAGTTTTGTAGAGTGTCACCTTATTTCTAAGGGACAATTTACTTTGCTTGCAAATCATCGGATATAGGCGTCCTAGTACGAACGTGGCTCGGTCGGGTACCGTCTGTATATGGGGGCGGAATGTCATCCCTCTGTCAAGGGTGACGCCTAAGTATTTGACCTTCGGGGCCCACGGTATGAGTTGGTCGTACATGATGATGGGGCGAATGGCAGAGGTGTTTCCGCACCTATTAGGGAGTGGGCTGCTCGAAGTGGTATTCGGGGGTCAAAGTGAATGTAAGCAACGCCCAACTCGAAAATCAGATCGAATTCCCTAGTAGGTAAGGATAGCCGATCCCACCGCTCAAACTTACGACTGCTTTTCGCATTACCGTGAATTTCATAGATCGTGAACACATATCTGTTCAAACATTAATTTTGGTACTTATGGGATTTCAGGTACATTATTGGCTAGTGCAACATGCTTATCAACCGACAAACAGAATGAATCACTTAACTTATTATCTAGTGTTTTGCTAAGCAAGTAACCCCGGTTACGGTGGAAGGAATCTCATACAATTTGACCAACTGACTTGGCAGAAATTTGGTCACAGATGCAAAATAGGGAGTTTTGAGATTCTTTCCATTTAGTCCGTATAAAAAATAGGTATACAATGCCAGTCTTCTAGGCAGTACTAGGTACTACTCCATTATGTCTATGACATCTATGATGTAATTCTCTATTTTTTTTTTTGTTTTCAATAACTCTCTCAGATATTACAGGTCCAAGACCCACCGATATTTTGCAAAACATGCAAGCCAAATTCAAATTAAATCTGAATATCTGTATCGTCTCTACGAGTTTAAGTAATATTCTATTCCACTTTACAAAAATCGAATGGGTGTCCGTTCGATTTGTCCAATCCTAGGCCACTGAGTTAAACAGTGGGCAATGCCAGAATGATTAACTCACAGAAACCTTAAAAATGTTAAACTATCCCAAAAACACTGTGGTCACCACTAAATACTACAAGAAATACCAATCCTATCTATTTCAACATGGGTATAAAGCGGGCTCGTGCACTAAAAAAGTGTAATGCACGAGGATTCGACTAACATCAAGTTAACAATATTATGTGAATCATTTATTCGGAAGTTCATTGACATGGACTCGTTCACCAATTCAAATATCGCAGGTACATCATCCAGGCACGCTAGCCTCAAACGCCCTAACGCTGGACACTTGAATATGCGAGAAACCATTTTCATATATATCTTTATTCTTTTTTCACTATTTGTTTTTAATCAAGAAATATAATTTTTGATCAATTTCAGTGACAGTTGACAAGCAAGTTGTGTGAAATTATATATTATTCTTATCAGTAGGTAGTTCACCCTAAAGGTTGTTCTTGCAATAGATGAAACTAGTACATAATGATGATGAGTCATTCATACTTCTTGATTTTATCCCTCAAAAACACCACTTCTAATCATAAAAATCTGCTTTAATCACGTAAGCTCTACTTTAAGCTTAAAAGTAAACTTTTATTATTGTTTCTAATTAAACCTGATCACACTCCCCTAAATCTACCATTGAAAAATTCATTGAAGCTATATACCCGCGCGCGACCTTTAGAAAATTAATGGTACTATGAAAACACTGTCCCTGAAATTCTAACAAAAACTACACACACACACACACACACACACACACACACACACACACACACACATATTGCTTACATGTGTGGACGAGCTCACAGCCCACCTGGTGTAAAGTGGTTACTGGAGCCCATAGGCATCTACGACGTAAATGCGCCACCCACCTTCAGATATAAGTTCTAAGGTCTCCAGTATAGTTAAAACGGCTGCCCCACCTTTCAAAAGTGTACCGCGCCCGGACAGCCCTTTATGTAATCGGAAAACTTTCAACCTACCAAAAATTAAAAGTAATCTTGGCCAGCACTCTCCTGTCTATCGTATGACCTCCCTGACAAATAGTATACGTAATGAAATCGACATATTTGTTTGCTACGCTTCTCTAGCCTCACTTAAAATATGTTTAAGATCCATGATCCACTCTGAGCTGTAGACCAACCACATTTGACTTTGATTGAAATTTCCCTATTTTTTTATTATTATTATTTCTTATATTTATTGTTTTTTGCAAGTTTTTATTTGCAATTTTATTTTTCTCTTAGTTATAATGTTATTTGTTGATATGGTTAGCATATTCATAACCGTTCGTAAAAAAAAACCAGGAGAAACAGGCAGATTGGTGGTATCCACACATGCGGGCTCACAAGACACCCCACCACCACCAGTACTTACAATATTATAAAACGTATAATATTACAAAACTTTTCGGATTACCAGAGTATATGTCATGCAAATTGCTTGGATATGTAATAATAATTATGTTTAATTTTTTATTAAGTGTGGATTCATATTTGGTACAGTTTGTGCGTGCGATCACAAGTAAACTAAGATAAAACAATGTACATGACATAGCGTCTAAAATAAAAATAAAACACAATTTATATTCGTACCTATCTCTTTATTGATAATTCTTCAACTCAAAAAGTACTTATTAATATTCGGAAATATTACTTAAACCACTATTTGTAAAAACCGCAGCCGTGTTAGTTAATAAGAAAAGAAACATTTTTAATAAGAAAGAAATAATTGAGTCTTAACTTAATCATAAATTAATAATTTCATTAACCGATTATCATACTTAATATACAGAACACAATACTCCTAATAAATAATTTGTAATTTATAAGACTACAAGCTACAGGCAGCATCAATAAATAAGATGACCTTATTCTCTGGACCTCTTTGGACTGATTACAAAAAGATCAAGATAGTGCTTCTTTAGGTATATGAACGAAAAAATTAATATTGTGTTGAATTAACAACAATCGCCTGTTTTTATTCATTTATCCTTTACCTACATTTTTTTTATTTTTTCACTCACCCAGGAACTCTATTTTAAACTGGACCGAATCCTTCATCATTTTTGATTTATTTACTACAACTTATTTGAGATAATGAATGGAAAATAAAGAAAGTCTTGTAAATGAACTAAGCCCATACAATTAACTTTATGTATCGAATTATACGCATTGAATAAATAAAAACAATAAAGAAAAAACACTCGGTAACCTAAATATTATTTATCAGTCGTGTTCGTTATGTTATTAGCAATGGGTGATTTATGGAAATATTTATATTAATTGTATTATTACTATTAAGGCTTTTTTTATTAGTTATTCAGTTATTACTTTGCAAATGCTCTCAAGTAATCTAAATAACTTCCGATCCTTTAGGTATTAAAAGATCCACTATATTTTTACATTGTTTTTTTTTTGCATCGTAGTCGGAATAGCTCGCCGAGAGTGTAGCCAAGCCGCTTGTGCACATTTGTATTTTGAGTATTTATATATTCTACACTTTTATTTATCGAAATGATTAACTGAAGAATCAAAAGTTACCCATTTTAACTGTGTAACCAACTTCGGTAACCGGAGTATCACATGTCTTAGTGCCTTACTAATTGCATACCTACTATTAACGTTTGCACAAAACTTTGAATTTTAATTAGGGATTCATGTCTAAAACGAAGCAAGCTTGTTATACCGAATGAGTGTTGTTTTCCGTTAACATTGATGCAGTATATTCGTTTGGGGAACTTGGGGAAAGTTCCTCTACACGCTTTCTTGTGAAAATCCAAAAAAAAACTTAAGATTCAGTGTTCGTAAATTCCTCAAGGTTATCATCATTCTGTGAGAGAATACTCGATCGTAATTTTCGGATAATAATAATAATTGCGTAAAAATAAAAGGTACATAAAAATTATTGCCCGCGGCAATATTAGGCGGACCGTCGACCCTAAGTTCTTCTATACCTACATTATTTTCAGAAGAACTATAACTCGCTCCTGGCACATTATCCATTCACAGTAGGCAAACAGACAGTTATAACAAAATGTAGCAAGTATTTTATGCAAAACCAATCAATCACTATTTTTATCGAATATCATAGATTACCTACCTTTCCGCACTCGTGGATAACACTCAAAGCCGCGTGTACGGAAACGCGTCTTAATAATGGGCCTAAGGAAGCCTTATGTTCTTCCCTAGAATTCAAATTATTTCTATAACGAATTTCGTTAAAATCCATTGTGATTTGCACATGACAAAGTAACAGACAGGATTACTTTAATATTTATGATATTAACACGTTGAACGCCATCCTGTCCACCGGTGGGCCTGGCGTACTATACCATTCGGGCCAAGCCTCAATCAGGGATACAGTAATTTTCATCAACTTGAGATTTTCATTCTAAAATTTATAAAATGCGATAATTAGCACGGCAGATAAAAATTAGCGACTTTTACCGTCTAGTTTTTAAGATATTATAAAAGGCTATATATAGGCAGTGCCTAGTGTGGAGAGTTTTTAGCAAACTGTTATATATACATGTTTTCAAGGTTAATAAATAAATTATTAAATTAATTATTATATTTTTGATAAAAACTACCAGTTTCTATTGGATTTGAAAACCACGCCGTTCGCTTCGGCTCAAGGGCCACGCGGCTCACGAGTGACCCACGTGGCCCGAGCGGTTCAATAAGATAAGGCTCACCGGTGAGCACCGTAGCCTAAATGAGAATATTCGATTTTAATACGCTTTTATTAGCTTCAGACAGTATGTATGTATGTTTGTAACGGAATCTTTGAACATGATTTTGACCGCCTTCAAAACGTCGGATTAACTCGAAATTTGGTATACTTATTAAGGACCGATGACAATTCAATTATAAAAAATTAAAATAAAAAAATTTAAATTCAACTAAAAAATGAATAATAAATAATAGTTTAAAAAAACTAACAACATTCGTTTTTATAGAAAATCCAAAAAATAAAAAATAAATTTGAATTAAAAATAGTGTAAGAAAAAATTAATTTATTCTAAAAAAGCGTGGAGTGCTTTCAGGATACATTAGCAAAATAACCCTTCTACTCATATCTGTTCATAAAATATTTATAACTACTGATACCATGCACGCCAAGCTTTTTTACAACAAAATCATTTTTTCTTACACTATTTTTAATTCAAATTTATTAAAATTTATTTTTTTAATTTTTGGATTTTCTATAAAAACGTATGTTGTTAGTTTTTTTAAACTATTATTTATTTCATGTGGCGTTCAACGTGTTAATATGGATTTACATAATTTTAAAATTAACTACACGTACCGAAACCGGCCAGTTGTCGTTATTAAAAATTGCCGCGTAAACTTTACGAATCGCTGTCGAACGCAACTTGACCACGTGTGACGTCATTAGAGGCCAAAATGTACAAGCTACAATATCATGCACAGTTAAAACCTTTGACTGCCGTGTAGATCACGGGTGCCCTACGCGGCGCACTGAAGTAACATTGTCGATTTCTGTTACTAAAGCGCCCGGATAACTTTGCCTTCTTTTGTATTAGTCTTTTAGATCTCACAGAAATACATTCGATTTCAGTATCCTCGAATTCGTCTTTCCCACAGTCTACTAGATGTTCCGGCGTCTTAGTAACAGAAATTGGCATAATTATGTAATTGAGTGCGCCGCGTAGGACACCAGTGACCTACACGACAGTCCAAGGGTTAAACAGAACGATTCACCGTTTTCTAAATGTACAGAGTGAATTAAAACCTCCGATGTACCTCGCGTGATGTTCAGCTGTGACGTACCCATATGTGACGACACGAGAGGACGGACTACATAATAATATGTACGTAAACTCAGAAGCAAGACCTAACAACGACATAATTTTGAGTAGTTAATTATTTTCGTAAACTTGTCCGACAACAACAAATGTATAAAAGAACAGTATAAAGATTATAACATCTGGCAGATAGTTCGAATTTAGTTCCTTTTTCTTTTTGCGATAGATAATTCTAAAATTACGGAAAAACTCAAACTTATAAATTTTCATTTTGAATATACAGAAAACTTTTCGTTTTAAATTTTTTTGTAGCTTTGATTAGTAGAGTAGTGTTGTTAGGTGGTAACAGGAGAGTCCATAAACATTTACAACGTAAATACCGCCACCCACCTCAAGACATGAATACTAAGGTCTGAGTTTTAACAGTACAACGGCTGCCCCACCCTTCAAACCGAACCGCGTTACTGCTTAGTGGTACCCACCCGCGCGGACTCACAAGAGGTCCTACCACCAGTAATTATGCAAATTATAATGGAATTATGAGATAAACATAAAATAGTCTAACAAAACCTTAAAACATCGGTAACAGAAGTTGGGGCCCGTTTCATTATTTAAAATCATTTTATCCGTGATGCTAATGAACTAGTAGATTACGCTACAGACGAAAACACTAAATACCTTAACTAATCATAATAAAATACCACTAATCTTATTAAAAACAAAATATTATAACTGTAAACTTAAACATTTTCCTAAAATCACACTGTTTTCTATGAGAGCTGAGTACAAAAATATTTTATCTATTTGATTCTAATCTAATATTACAGGAATCTGTTTTCACGCTATAATTTTTGAAGTTATAACACTTTTATGTTTGTAAATATATAAGAATATCTATCATCATACTTTTATTTAATATATATTCTGATTTAATTCGAGGTAAATGCAGTTTTGTTTGAATCTAAATTTATAGATTATATGTGATAAAAGCCTATTTATTCAAAGACACAATTTTTGAAAATATACAAGTACTTACACACTAAGATACATTAAAGTATTAGCTAAAGTTGATTTCGTCTAATAATCAATTAATATAATAAATACTTACATTGTACCGCCAAAAAGAGCAGAAAATCAATTATTTTCTAATGTTAACATAACTCTATATCAGAGGAAAGCATGCAAGTATATTAAACGAGTAAAAAATAATGTCAGTGAATCTTAATATAATAATTACAAGTTATTGCTGATGTTTAAACTAGATGCAGTGTTTTTCTTTTTTTTTTTGTTACGATAACAAAATAGGTAATATACATACCTATTATTCGTTGTAGCTATAAATGTAAAAATTGGTAAAAACATGTCAATCCAGCACCAACCGCATCTCGGGAAAATCCCTTTAATATATTATCATCTTGCTGAACTGTTCATTATTATTTCAAAAACCTACCAACAATTATGGATATTTAGTAAAAATCTTAATTTAAAAGCGAATATTTACAAGTCCATCGATTTCCAATCAGTATACATTATCGTTTTGTTATTTACCACATTATGGAAATTGTTTATTGCGTCAATGTCCTCCGATAATAACGGTGTTTACTCGCGCAACCGACATTCATATTAATTCTACTCTGTACGCTATCACAATTTATTGCTTATTGAGATGATGACATACTTAAAATTATGAATTAGGCACTAGATAATGGAAAGCCTTATTATTATTATTTTTATACTTAATTCGAACGGAAAGCTAATACAGTCACACGAATGACCGTCTCTATAATCATACATATTATATTAGAACATACATGTACATGTATTGAATTTCAATAAACCACTTTTACATATAGTTGTTTAAAATCTTTAAATTATTTTCAATTGTTATATAGATATTTTTCTTGAAAATTTACATAGTAACATCTAGTTACTTGCATTTCCTAAATAAAAACTATTAAATGTTGTTTACAATATGACCATGATAAGAATAAGATTAGTCTTTCTCCATTGTGGTTCCAAAACTGTAATAGGAATGATTATACCCATTTAGACTTTAACATTGCATTAAAGTCACAGTAAAACATATTATTACTGTAAATTTCAGTAATATTAGGAATATTAATGACCATTTGTGTTTCAATCATTTTGTGACCATTAGACATTTGGTCAAATGGTCACAAAATGATTATAATTCCCATTCTTATTTAAACAAATCCTAATGTATTATTTTGGATGAATTTTCCAAATTCTACATTGAGTGATGTTATTGAAAAAAAACACTCCACTTTTGTATTAAAATCAAATAAAACGGTAAATAAATATTAAGTTAAACCTTTTTTTTTTGTTCAAAGCGGAATTTTTGAATGTTCATAAAATTTTATAAATTGTTTCACTTTTCTGTCTTTTACGTTTAATCATTCTGACCGTTAAGGCCATTAGGAAATTGTCATTTCCTCACGCGTAGTGGAAAAGTGGTGGTGGGCGCTGATCACTTGGATGGTTTGTGTTTGGGCGGAGTCGTGGGAGGACCGCCCTGTTCAGCCGAAGCACCCAGAGCCACTCCTTCGCTATCCACCTCTGTCTGAAATGTTAATATTTATGATGAGCTTTTGGTCGATAGTTCCAGTGGTTAGTGGCCATAGGTATGGTAGAGGAAGAAGAGGTCGATCGAAGAAGACATGGATGACGGCTGATAGAAGAGAATTGGAAAGAAAAATTAGCTGTGCCGATCTCACCTAGTGGGATAAGCTGGAGAAAAAGATGGTTAGTGACCATAAATACTGTACACAGTCGATCCCCACATGCAGTTAGTGTCTAAATATATTGGTTTTACTTTTGTGAGTTAGTCGATATTAAGAAACCAAAGGACTCTTTTATTGCGCAGACATTTACAAGGAACTATGTTCTGGCTCAAAAACGAATACCTCACTGATCACACCTATCATAACATAACAATAAAAGCACAGTTATAAAGCAATGTTCCAAAAATGTAGGTAGATGCTTCTAAACCAATGTTCCAAAAACGAAGGTAGATGCTTCTAAACCAATGTTCCAAAAACGAAGGTAGATGCTTCTAAATCAATGTTCCAAAAACGAAGGTAGATGCTTCTAAATCAATGTTCCAAAAACGAAGGTAGATGCTTCTAAATCAATGTCCCAAAAACGAAGGTAGATGCTTCTAAATCAATGTCCCAAAACTGAAGGTAGATGCTCCTCAAATTACGTCACCAAAAAGTCGCTCTCTAAAAGTTTTAGATAACCTATTTGTGGTTTATCTTAACGTGTCTGACGCATCTGTAGGCTGCGTTTAGAGCACAGTCAATCTTAGCTTCAGGACTATGTTTTTAACTAAGTACCTTAGTTTCGGCTTCTTTGTATGTGTCACATTGACATCTTTAAGGCGAACTTTACTTACTTTCTCGTCTTTAGAAGTCGTCGGTGACGCCGTGCCGTTCTTAGCGTTGGAGCTGTCGGCTGTGTCCGCAGACTCGGTGCTTGTTGTACCTGCCACACAAATATGACATAACGTCGTTGTCAAACCAAATACTGCTATAGATTTTTTGGCGGGAACGCGAGAAGCGATGTTGTGTGATTTGTTTTATTTTGTCTATTTAGTGTTTCTTCAGGTTTAAATGTGTAATAACGGTGGTTTATTATCTGTGAAAGTGCACAAATGTGGGAAAATGAAACAAAGGCGCTGGACGTAACTTCTCGAGGTCCTCCAAAAAGTCCATTGAAAAAATTTCAGTAAATAACTACCATTTTACTGAGATTATATTTCATCCTATATCGTCTCATCTCATTTCGTTTCATTTCATCCCAGTTGATTAATTTCTCAAATTAATCATCTTCATTTCATTTAACTCCATACTATCCATATTTTTCATAAAAATAAGAATATAAATTAAAATAAAACATGACTAAAGGTCTTAGTTAGTTAGTTAAGCAGTCATAAAATCCCTTAAAAAAACTGCTATGTTCACTTTTTGAGATTTTTACATTTTGACCTTTTCGTATAGTTCACAGCCTTATCTACGGTATAAAAAAAAACGGTTATGTGTCTATCTATAGCTTTAATAGTTATGTATAGCTTTCATTTGTTAGTTTCGTAAAAATTCTCTTTCATATAAAATTTTATACGAAAATGGTTTTTACTCGTTAATTCAAAATAGAGTTTTTGCACATAGCAGATTTTGGTTTGACAGCGACGATAAGCAATATTATTATCATTTTTTATTTATTCATAACACTTCATGTAAAATTTACATTGGCGAACTTAATGCCTAACGTATTCTCTAGCAGTCAACCAAGATAGTGCAGAGTAAATAAGGGTAGGTGCAATGAAATTTATATTAAATTACAAATACATACAATTCCAATTCAAAATCATTTATTTCAACTTGGATGTCATCAAAAACACACTTGTTGAATGTCAAAATGTAAATGAAAATGTTAACTCTACCACATACATACCATATTATATACATACAATTATGTATATATATAGATATATGCACATACACATATAGTAGTTTAAACAGTATTCAAAGGAATACATTAATAAATTCACTTAACAAATAACTTGATTTCAACTTAATAAATTCATGACGATATTAATAGTTTATTAGAGGAAAATGGCTACATTTCGCAGTGAATTGTGAGAAATATGAAATACACAAATGACACTACTCGCTCACCAGTCGTAGTGTGATTATGTTACTTGTTATTATAAGAATAACTAACGTTTTAGTAGAAGGTATCATTGTTGTACATTTACTTTTATTATATTTACAGAATTTCATATCTATTTATTTTGTTGAATTTTGATGAGAGAGGTTCACTCAACCAACTGCAGAGTTTTGTATCAGTGATAAAAAATAAAAAATAATTTACTTATGGGGATCTGAGGTGTCAGTTCATTTTGTAAAGGGGTTGTTTTGCCCAAAATGATTTGGGACACCGTAATGTATTATATTCTACTTACTACAGTTCTATGAATTCACTAAGAACCGATTTTGTATCATACAATTTTAATGTAAATTAACATATTGTCCCTATTAAAATTTACACACTCCACTTCTCGTGGAATGTATGAATGCCTGAACTATTTTTATTGCTTAGATGGGTAGACGAGCTCACAGCCCACTTGGCGTTAAGTGGTTACTAGAGCCCATAGACATCTTCAACCTAAATCCGCCACCCACCTTGAAATATAAGTTCTAAGGTCTCAGTATAGTTACAACGGCTGCCCCACCCTTCAAACCGAAACGCATTACTGCTTCACGGCAGAAATAGGCGAGGTGGTGGTACTTACCCGTGCGGACTCACAAGATGTCCTACCATCAGTAATTACGCAAATTATAATTTTTCGGGTTTGATTTTTATTACACGATGTTATTCCTTCAGTGTGGGAGTCAATCGTGAACATTTGTTAAGTACGTATTTCATTAGAAAAATTGGTACCCGCCTGCGGGATACGAACACCGTTGCATTGCTAGATACGAATGCACCGGATGTCTTATCCTTTGGGCCACGACGACTTCTACTACAACCGATACGTAGACATCGTGTCTCGTATAACGTCTACAGGTTTAACTGTAGGAATCGATTAGTTCAAAACTAAGTTCTAGTTTAGAATTGAGTTTCATATCGTTCCGAGCGCTATTTACTGGTGGTAGGACCTCTTGTGAGTCCGCGCGGGTAGGTACCACAACCCTGCCAATTTCTGCCGTGAAGCAGTAATGCGTTTCGGTTTGAAGGGCGGGGCAGCCTTTGTAACTATACTTGAGACCTTAGAACTTGTATCTCAAGGTGGGTGGCGCGTTTACATTGTAGATGTCTATGGGCTCCAGTAACCACTTAACACCAAGTGGGCTATGAGCTCGTCCACCCACCTAAGCTATTAAAAAAATATATATTTACCAGCTTGAATGTGATGAGTGTTCCCACGCTCCGCCTCGTGTTCGCGCACGACCGCATCCAGGTTGTATCGACGTCGGTATGAAATGAAGAATGACCGCACGTGTGCTTCGGTCTTGGTCCCAAGGGTCTCGGCGATGGCTTGGAAGTCCCTTCCTGTGGTACATTTAGTCAATTTTACATAAATTCCTACCTATTCTGAAAGTCTTGAGAGGCTATTTCAGCTTCGTATTGACGTGTAGATGAGCTCACGGGGCTCAAACCGGGGGTGTTGCTAACACTGGCCCTAGCAAGAGCAGTGCTTCGCTTCCACTGAGAAGATCCGGCGAGAAACTCAGTGGACTGTGTCTATGGGTTAATTTATTCATCGAGCCCACCGTCGCAAGGACGGTGACCGGGAAAATTTTACTAGTGACTAAGCAATGTAGGTGATCGCACAGACAAAGACGTCTCTAGCTTATGTAACGCCCGTGTGCAATCACTACCCTAGCGCCCTCTAGTAAGGAATACGAATTTAATAGATTCGTTGGAAAGTCCCAACGGAGTCTGCACCATACGTAAAGCCGCCTCTACGTAATGGGGCGACTAAAGGAATCACACGAAAATAGACAGCAACGTTCTCGCAGTATATACAACGTTCAACACGTTCATATACAACGTAACGTTCTTGTAGGATTACTGGTGGCTCGGAGGCCCTTCCAGTTCCACCAGGACAGGTGGGCGAGCAGAGGCTCAGCCAGGAGGGGTGGGATTTGCTAACAGCTACCCGAGTGCCTCCGAAGGAGACCTAACAACTCATGAGCAACTGCTTCGCGAATGAATCTACTAACGGATCGGAATCGTGACCCGCTGAGAAGATCCGGCGAGAAACTCAGCGAGCTGATGCATGGGTTAGGTTGCACGTCGATCCCTGTGTCGAATTCGACGAGTACGGTTACCGGGGTCCCTAAGCCTGCTCCTAGTGTTAGAGCTGAAGGCGTCTAAGGCAAAGGTTATTGGATCTGATGGATCCGTAAGGACGCGTCTAGGGCGCTGACGATGACTGGCTCCTGCATGGTACTGCGATCGTATTAATGGGTCCATTATACTTATTTCTGTCGTGAAACAATCGTGAGCAAGACTGAAACTGCCGTTTCAGTCTTCAAATTGAAAAGCACGAATTTAGTTTAGTTTACTTAGCGAATTCAAAACAAATTAGACTTCAATATCGTGTTTCAAGATGGGTGTAGCGACACTCAGGTTTATGTCTATCGGATCCGGTGATAACTTAACACTCGGTGGACTGTGAGCTCGTTTTCCCGACTCTGAATTTTGCAGAGCATTTTTTATTTCATATGAAAGACTTATTTGTCACGTACAAAATTTATTCTGTTACCGCCACAGCAAAGGGAGTTCTCCAAGATAAGTTCCTTACCATACTTTCTTACTGCAGTAACGGCCATGAGTAATTCGTCATTTGTCCAACGTGAATTTATCTTGGCAGGAGGCTCGCCAGGACGGTAATCCTCCACTCCAGTATCGCCAACTTTGCGTTTCATGGCGCTCAATTGCTGCTTGTTTTGTTGTACCTTTAGATAGAAAATAATGAAAAAAAACGAATTTAATTTCTTAATATTTCCATTGGTTTCGATATCGATTATGCATCTAAGATCTATGTCGGGATCTAACTGGACCAGCCCAACTAATGAAGCAAGGCGGACATGGGCTCGGTTTTGTAAAAGCCAATTTCTAACAAATATAACTAATGTGTGCAGAATAATTTCATATAAATGATCACCTAAACTAGACTTACTTTTTAAACGATTAGCATTTTAATCTACAAATCAAGTCTAAACCTATACAGAGTGCGCTTTCTCACGTTACGTCACACGACCTCCTAAAAAAACAAAGGACTTATTTTGATTAAAAATAGTGTTAACATAAGATGAGAATGTTTCTAAGGAGGCTAGGTAGCGAGGTATGGCGAGATACGGTCTTACTTGTCTTTTTAAAGATATAATTTCTCTGTCCATTGATTTGAGTATGGCTTCGCCCTGATTGATAAGCCCGGGCTGCGGAAGTTCACCAGGTTGAGGACCGGTCGCCATCGCGACGAGATCATCGTGATTGATGTAAATGCCGCGAGGTAGCCGATGTTTGAACCGCTGTTGCTTTGAGCCGGGACCGCGTCTGCCCGAGGGCCCGCACAATGGTCTCATCGTTCCCGTGCGTCTGTCACATCACAACACGACGGCAACATTCAAACAAACAATTTCATTTCTCTCTCAAACGTTACATGCAAATGTCATTGTACGGTATGGAGTTAAAGAAAGTCATGTTACCGACCTGGCGTGCACGAGGCATGCCTGACATAACTTGTGGGAGTTGTGCGGCGTGGTGTGAGTGCACTGAATGCCGCACACGGAGCACCACTTGCCCGCGCCCTCGCCGCCGCCCTCGCCCTAAACCCCAATATACACTTTACATTCTTGCCTCTGCCACATCCAGTTAANTGTCATTGTACGGTATGGAGTTAAAGAAAGTCATGTTACCGACCTGGCGTGCACGAGGCATGCCTGACATAACTTGTGGGAGTTGTGCGGCGTGGTGTGAGTGCACTGAATGCCGCACACGGAGCACCACTTGCCCGCGCCCTCGCCGCCGCCCTCGCCCTAAACCCCAATATACACTTTACATTCTTGCCTCTGCCACATCCAGTTAATAACTAATCTATGTAACGATGGACAATACACAAACATTATCTCACACACTTCTTTTAAAAACCCGTTAGAATATTATATGAATCTATCTGCACACATTAGATTATAATACCAATACCGTCTCATCTGGGGCTGTTAAAGGAAGCATGCGGGAGCAAAAGGTAACAGGGAAGGAGTAAGGTTTACACAAATACAAAATACAACAACACCACACGTCTCAATTACATCATAGGTATTCTGAATCCTACTAATCATGAAACAACAACTTATACTCAGGTTTTTTCGATTCGCAGACGCTATTAAAACTACTTTTACGGAGAGTCACATGAATCTTACACGACAAAAAGCATTTGGTAATTCATTTTGATAGAAGTCAATCTAGGTCGTGGAGCTTATTGTGAGCCTACACGTGTTGATGACAATATATATCAGTTTGGCTGAAAGGTGTGGTGGGACACCAGTCATCTAATCCGTGCGTGTCGTATAAGGGGACTAAGGGATCCATATAAGAATAAGTAGAAGCGTTCTGAGCGACATGAGTTCTGGTTTTATGACAGCCGTTATACAATTCTACTTCATATCTCAATGTTCGTGGCGTCATTCACGTTGTGAAGTTTATGAGCCCCAGTAATCACTATACAGGTTAGGCCGTGTGCTCTTTCAATTATCAATGCTTTAAAAAAGAGCATAAAACAAAAAAAAATGTTTAAGCTGTAAAAGTAGTTTTAATCATAAAATCAATTGTGAACTAGAATTAAGGAAAACGAAAAAAGCACAAAAAAAAACATTTGCTTGACAAAGCTATCCTTTCTAAGTTAATTTTCATAATAAAACTGGAGGTTTTATAAGTGTCTTTGAAGAACCTTTTTTTAATGTAAATAATTATTTAGAGAAAAATGCAGAGCACTTGGTAAACTTTAAGAATAAGCAATGATGTGGGCAAAACAGGTATAATTTATTCGCTAAGTAACTAAAAGCTAACATAACATAGACATTTAAGCAGCTCTACAGTTAAGTTGTTGTCGGTTGTATATTTATATTCACAATTAATGGATTCAATGATATGCTATCGACAGACAATGGGAATGAAAGCATTTTGTTTTCTTGAAGAAGTGATGCTTAGCAAAATCTACAAACAATAACAAGAACTGGTTTAACAACTTTTGAAATTTGACTTAATTTTATCCTTTAGTAAAAATAAGTCAAACTAGTGACTAAAATATTTGAAGGCACTAGATTTGACCTTTAAATTTTACTTTTACTTTTAGTTTAAATATTCATCACTGCAGTTGAAAATTATTATTTAATGATTTTACAGACATATCCAGTATAACTGCCGCTAATACATAATTGTAGAATTTATATAAATAAATAAAACAAAATTGAGATATTTCAATCACATACAGCATTACATTATTTATTTATGTGCTTTAGACTTTATTGCACACATGTAAAAATACTGTTAAAAAAATATGACAATAAGTACAGATCTACAGCTTTATGTAATGCAGTTGACATCTCAAGATAAAAATATACTTATTTAGAAATTGTTTTCAATTGAATCTGACGCCCCCGTTAATTACATCATGATTTATGACATCACACATATTAATATGTGTAATATGTGTAATGTCATTCTTCCTTTACCCATTTCGAAAATCTTACTTGTTGCCCTTCACAAGTAATATATTGTTAATACTTTACAACAGCTGCTGTAAAATGTTGCTGTTTTTCATACATGTTTTTTTGCAACGTTTTTTGGTACATTGAAAATAGTACAATTGAACAATCCCTATTGAACAAAATTGATTTATATTGAAAAGAATACATCTAATCTTTATGTGACACATGACTCAACAATAGAGAAAATAGAATGAAGACACTGAGCATGAAATGTATTAGTGATTGTTGCAGGACTGGTTGGGACCTGCACACCCACCTGGGTGGCGGGCCCCGTTCGGCTGGCACGCTGCAAAGCCACACTCCTTGCTGCATACTTGCCTCCCCGAACTATACCACGGTGGACAGTCCACTTCTGTCATACCAAGACATCACATACTTATTAAATGTAATCTATACTATTGTCAAGCATACTTATCATATCACAGGTTATCATAGGTCAGCCAAACCTATGGCAGAATCAGACTGACTTTGTATTTCACTACCTAGAAATCTTAATTAGTATCTAATATGCTACCTTCATTATGTTCATTGGCACTACCTACAGTAAAATGCTTGATTTGATTGTTAAAATGATATATGATAATTTACAACTACTCTGCATTCTCATTTTTAGACATTCACATTTGTATTAGAATATTTTTGTCAAACAGCAATTCACTTATTCTGATATTTGAAATACCAATTGTTTCCTCTTGTTGCAAGCCTAATTTGGCAAATAAACAAAAACTAGCATTAAAATGTTGAAAATTTTACTGGAGAAGATGTAACATACCTTTTCATCATTGTCAGATTCTTTGTCTGAGCCGCCAGGTTCAGATGTAGTCCCAGACTCTTTTTTTCCAGACCCTGAGCTTGCAGCATTTCGCCCTTCACCAACAACATCCATTAAGGAAGTACGTGCTCTTGTTTTCTTCCATGAATAATAATATTTGACTAAAGATGCAATAGATTTATCTGGAAGCTGTGAATAATTTACAAATTTTAACTTTTATGCTCAAAAAATGTTCACCCTCTTAATATTGGCACTATACTTGAACACTAACCATTTGACGTATTCGATGAAAGCTTTTACCATGAAACTGAAAAGCTTGTTCAAATAACACCTTGTCCTCCACTGTCCACTCATCAGGAAATGGTGTGAAGTTTGCAAGATCCAATGATGCACGATTAAGATCATGCTTGTGCCAGAAGAGCATACCAAGAGCTTGTTCACCATTATAGCCATATTTTTCTTTAGCTGTTGTAATATATTCATCCACTAGAACAAATTCAAACCTATTTGACAAAACACCAAACAAAAACAGCACTTAAAATCATCAAGGAAGGCTTTACTTACATTTGATATCAGCTATCTCAGTAGTTGGCGACCAGACAAGCAGAGCCCTATCAGAAATTAAGTCTGGTCTTCTTGCTTCAACTGGTTCCAATTCTGGACAGACTGCTTGGTAATCCCGACCAACCCGAATCTTTTCGGCTGCAAACGGTACTACTGCTTGGTTTTACGTTACATTTGCGGATGAGATGAACGCAGCATGAAGGCGATGATGGTTAGCATAAAACAAAGCATGAAAACAGATGAGCAAAGACAGTCACCAATATGTTAGTTTATATTGTTAATACATACAGTTATTTAAGTAGTAAGGTGTTAAAGTACCCAAATATAAGTAAAGGCGTCATTAACAATAAACGCTTCCCATATTTTAACACAGCCGTAAATGACACGAAGAGCACCCGTCACGCAAACGAGTTTTTTTTGTACTCTTTATTTAAAATTATGTTAAGCATATATTCACATCCGATAATCCGAGAATCATACCATTTTCTTCATCCGAACTTGAATCTGGACTTCCATGACCATTGGGGCTTGGCCCCCTTGACCGCTTCCCGTTTCGAACATCATTACTTCGTTCTGCTAGAACCATGATTTATCCCAAAAAATACAATTATCACTTGTTTACGGAGCAATGAAATAGTTTATTTCTGTTTTTCACTATTAAAGCTAAAGAGATAACAAGAAAGGAAGAAAGAACTTCGCACTAAAATTCAAACGTGATTCAAACCACCGCATCAATAAATTGACAAACGACTACTGAATTCACTGGGTCATTTCATAACGTCTGTACTGTGTTTAAGGTCTGGCGTTCACTTTTTAATACCTACTTACCAAAACTGTTCGTTTTATTAAATTAATAGTTAAAACCATTTTTAGGTCTTATTAGCTTCTATTTAATTAATTTATTTAATTATCAAACCATCTACTTTTAATCATATTTGGTTTCAAACTCCTAAAACTTGGCAATGCAAGCAGCAGTACAGACTTTAGATAATGTTCTAAGTTACAACTCTGTAGACAATAACTTGTAAATCGTACCTAAATCACAAAAAATAAAGCCAATTGCACGACGAACTGAAAGGATAACATGTAGAGGATCATTTCGTTATAAGGAAAAAAACCCCAAAATACATAATATACTGAAATCTCAAATAAAAAAACAATACTAACTTCTTCGGTGTAGATTTCTATGCACAAGATGGCGCTGTGCTGGCTATCATTTAGCAAAATGCTGTTTATGGTGTTATGTATTGATAATCTATGTTATAGTATAAAAAATAATAATATTATATCTGTGATTATTAATTGAACTCGTAGACTGAGATGATCCGCTGTACGGTATTTGATTTTAATCGTTTTCAATTGTTTTGATTGTGGGCATCAAGTACCGGTAAAATGGGGCGATTAGGGATTGAAAGGCGAATCGGGAAAAAACCGGGAAAATCTTTCGACGCTCAATATAAGTTTTATATTCGTCGCAAAATCTTCCATTTTTTTGTAGTTTAATAGTAGAACGTTGAAAGTTCACAAAACAACTCTGAATATGCATGATAATAGCTGCTAACTTATAAAAAATCGCGTTTCAAATTAACTTCCTGTGGTGGTAATTATTTTAGTGCTAGAAACTTTGCTCTCTTTTATTTATTTGATAATAATAGAAGACGACTATGATTTATAAACGTTATTTAGTGTTTGAACCAGCATATATATTAAAGGTAAGTCTCAGTTGTTATTGGTTTTAATGTATTTGATTAAATAAAAATACATGTAAAAATCTGTTGTTTTTGGGGATATTGGGGACGTCTTAGGTACAAATAACAACGAAAAAGGGGTCAATTGGGATGAGAATACGTGAAATGGAAACGACCTAAGTATAAATAGGTACAGGTTTGTAGGGTTGTCTATGTAGTTATAACAATATTTTTTAAATTTGTTGGTAAAAATCTGGTTTATTCGAAGCGAAATTGGGAATAAGTCTTTAGTTGAAATAGATAAGCAATTTAATATAAGTAAGTCGATTTTGCAGAGACATGTAACAAGATCAATGAAATCTCAAGGTGGACAAAAATGTCTAAGTAATACATAATAAAATATTTAATATTTGTTCAGAGTGGGGGTATTCATCTGATTAATCCATGGAATAACCGACACACCTAATCTCTTAACCCAGATAGAAATATCAGCACTGTCGATTGCACCTATAATTGAGGTGATGTCTGCCATGTACTTTTGTCAGTTTTCAATTTTTTTTATTGATGATCACTTTGTTGGTGCAACTAAATAAATAAATAAATTAAAACTATATATAAAAATAAAAGTAGTGCCAACCCTAGCAAATTTCTCATTTCGTCCCAATTAACCGCAATTTTCGGGTAAATAGGGATTACATCTATTTTTGCATTTTTTGCTTAAACTGGAATGCTAGTTGCATAATTTTAAATTAGACAACAAAGATGCCCCCAAGACTCAACCATTTTGATCCTGATATAGCATTATATACATCAACAATTACCTTAAAATTGCTCATAAAGTTGGAATTTGTCCCGAATCGCCCCATTTTACGGTAGGTATAATGTGTAGCAACGTGAAAGTTGTTAAAAAATACGAGTGTCTTATTTAATGGTTTTTTTTAAATGGTTTTTTGGTTTACCTGGTAGCTAAGGCCTTTAAGTCATGTCTTATTTTAATTTATATTCTTAATTTTGTGAAAAATGATATTAAGGAGTAAAATGAAATGAAGATGATTAATTTGAAACATTAATCAACTGTGATGAAATTAAATGAAATGAGATGAGATGATATGGGATGAAATATAATCTCAGTAAAATGGTGGTCATTTACTGAGATTTTTTTAGTGGACTTTTTGGAGGATCTCGAGAAGTTACGTCCAGCAGCTTTGTTTCCCCACATCAGTGCACTTTCACAGATATTAAATAGTTAATAAACCACCGTTATTACACATTTAAACTTAAAGAAACACTAAATAGACAAAATAAAACAAATCACACAACTTCACTCCTCGTGTTCCCGCCAAAAAGTCCGTCTTATTAACCGTGTATTTTTGAGTATTGCCAAATTACCAATATTTTATTGTTAACAGTCAAACTTAGTCTCTATAAATTAGATATTATCTTCGAAGATAGTGTTTATGTTCCAATTTTTACTCTATATATACTTAGTCTGGCCATAAATACTGTTACAATAAAAAATAAAAAAAATTCTATTGCAAATAACATTTATTACTTTTACAGTGTGTTAGTTTAATACATAAATATAAAACAATTTAAAATATAAAAAGCTTATTCGAAGTGGTCTCCATTGGCTGCAATATAGTCCTTTAAACGTTGAGGCCAGTTATCAATAGAAGCACGCACTCTTTCCATGGGAAAATTTGTTACTGCCAATCGTACGGATTGTTTTAGGGACTCCAAATTATCATGGCGTTTAGAGCAAGCCGTACTCTCTAAAACTGACCATAAATCATAATCCAGCGGATTAGGATCGGGACTAGACGACGGCCAGTCTTCAGCTCTGATGAAGTCCGAAACGTAAAAAGACTGCGTAAATCGAGCTTTATGACCTGGCGCCGAGTCTTGCTGGAAGGACCATTTTTGATTATTGAACATGGTGTTGTTAAGGGGCTTCACTACCTTCTCAAGAATGGTATCTTGATACACTTGTGCCGATGTTTTGATACCTTTTTCACAAAAGTATGGCTCAGTCACTCCTTCAACTAATACCCCACCAAACCATCACTGAAGTCGGACAGTGCCCACGTTGCACTCTGTCGACTAATTGGGAAGCTTCCATAGAGCTTTGAGCATAAATACGGTCATTTTGTTTGTTAAAATGTTGCTCAATTGTAAAAAATTTCTCATCCGTAAACAAATTTTTTCTATGACCTCTCTTTGCGTACCGCTTCAGTAGTTGTTTCGATTTTACCACCCTATTCTCTTTTAAATTATCAGTTAAGAAATGACCAGTACGTCTCTTAAAGGCTGCAAGTCCTAAGTCATCTTTTAAAATACGCGACATGGTTCTAGGTGCTATCTTCATCTCCCGAGATAAAATCTTTTGCTTTGGGACAGGATTTCTTCGAATTCTTTGCCTTACTGCTTTGACCACCTTTTTCGTACGAACACTACGTGGACGGCCAGATCTTTTTCTGTCACAAACAGAAGAGGTCTCATTGCACCTATTAATAGCCCGGAACACAAACATTTTATTAATACCAAGCGTATGGAGAGTTTTAAAAATTGCATTTGACTCCATACCTACTTTGTGTAATGCAATCACAGCGATTCGGTTCTCTTTATCACCCCACTCCATTTTAATATAGCAAAATATTGTACAATGTATTGCCGCCAAAATGAGAAAAGTCAATGAGCAATCATATATAAATGACAGATTCCAAATTCAAATGTAATATTTTGTTTATTTTTAATTGTAACAGTACTTATGGCCAGACTACATATTACTATCTATATTTAACCATAGCAAAATTCATCCATACTATCTGGAACCACTGCGCTTATCGAGAGTGCGTTTCTAGATATTTTTTGGCCATTAAAAAGTCTCAGTAAACCCTCAGTACCCTCAGTAACCACCATTTTATTGATTGTATATTTCATCCCATGTCGTCTCATTTCATTTAATTTCTCCCCAATTGATTAATGTCATTTAATAATCAATTGACTCCATATCATTTTTCATAAAACAAATAAAAAAAAGATTAGGCCGAATGGCAAGCCTTCACCTTTCCAGTTGAAAAAACCACTGCTACTTAATTATTGTTAGACGATCAGTTTACTTTAGGGTTAAAATTTTAATATAAACTACACAAATGGACAAATCGAAAAACATTAAAAAAAGAGTTTAAATTTTTTCTGCCGATTTAATTGATTTATAAATCGATGAGACATTAAATGAAGAATTAGTTTACAATAAATGAAAATACACATTTTTATAAACTTCCATTCCTTAGTTTTCATATTTACGTTACGCTATCACGCTGAAAGGGCCCAATCAACGTTAGTATCCCATTCGCGCCTAAGAAAAATAAGGAAATGCTTAGAAATAGAAGACATTAAATTAGCTGCTCCATAAAACGATGCAGCTCAAAAGTGTGTTAGTGAATATCTCATTGTTAAGAATCTGTGCATTTGGAATAATCTCAGATGAATCGCAAGAAAACTGATACACAAACAAAATACACATACAACACCGTAAATATTATAATACCATAAAATAATAATCAATTTACACATAAACGTGGTTTATTATTTTCATTATTGTTTGAAAAAGTTTACAAAATCGGTGTAAATAAGGTTACGAGTAGGTTGATGAATAAATACGTTGTGATACAAATAAAACATGATTAAAATGTTTAATGGAAGTTAATAATATCATCATGTTATTGTGTAATTTTAAAATTGAAGTAAATGGATAAGCTAGCTTATAAAATTTAAAGTAGGCAGTTTGGGTTGTTCACATGTTATGTTTTAGACGTTTTTAGGTCCGATCCTTTCACTAACGTCAAAATCAAATGTCAAATTGTCTCACCTCAACTATTGCTGTTGGTGTTGTCAAAATTTGACTGCAATGTTCACTATTCGCCGTGGTTTCTTTGAGAATATTTTCGTTTCTTTCCTTGTTCAAGTAACTGCTTATCAAAACAGATAAGGATTATGTTTCGCTTTTTCATTTGTGGGAAGTTGTGCTAGTCACTCTCTTGTGATTAGTATAGTAAATAAATAACAACAGAAATGTCACCCCTGTGAATAAGACCTCGTTATTTTGTTGAATTTTGTCACAAAAGGAACAGGATTAGTTAGAACGTTATGTAATTATATTTTAAAAACTAAATTATATATTAGTGAAGATGAGAACTGTAGCGTTAATAAGTGGTGGCAAAGACAGCTGCTACAACATGTTGCAATGTGTAGGGGCCGGGCACACTATCGTTGCACTGGCGAATCTCCAACCTCTTCATAAAGGTATGTTCTACATTCAATAAGCAGTTGTAAATCGTTTGCAAATTTAACGAAATTCACACTTTTATTCGAGAAAAAGTATTACGTGTAGTATTTTGTATATCATAATAATATGTGGTACAGTAACCATTAAATTAAAAAGAGTAAACAGGCATACGGAACAATTGCAGATGAATTGGACAGTTACATGTATCAATCAGTAGGTCATCATGGCATAGAACTTTATGCTGAAGCAATGGGATTACCTCTTTATAGAGAAATAATAACAGGTACAGCTGTAGATCAAGGAAAAAATTACAAACCCACTGATAATGATGAAGTTGAGGACCTATACAGGTTGCTTTCCAAAGTCAAGGTAAGTTATGTATATGGCTAACTTATTAATTAGCATTTTCTGACATCATAAACAAAAGATTATTCTAGTTTTGTGAAAATTACTTTAATAAACTGTATTATTTTTCTGTGTTTGACACCCTCGCCTTCGGCTCGCGGGGCAATTTTACCCAAGGGAGGAAATGTCCAACTTTTCTCCCTTAGTGCACAATGTACTATACAAATTTGAAAATAAGGAAAAATGAGATGATGAGGATGCACCTAATGAGATTTAAAAGTGATGATCATGAATGATTGTTGTGGTTTAATATTAATTACGTTTTTCATTAACAATTTGTCATTTAAATGTGTGTGGTTAATATAATATTTATTAATGTATTATAATATAAATTTAAGAATAAGTAAAAAATGAATTTTTTTTATTTAAAGAAGTAGTTGATTTTTATAAATTTCGACATCAAAAATAATTTTCAAAAGTTAGTAGTCCTGGGAAATAATTCAAGGATGATTGAATTACATTTACATTACAATGATGCCAAAAGATGAAGCTAAAAGGCTTTGTAAAAATCAGCCCAGACTGTTTATTTGGGACTACTACATGTTTTGTGACCAAAGAGCACCTAAATAAAGTTAATCTGACTGATGGTGCAAACTGCAGATTCTGCATGGAAGGAAATTAAACTGTTAATCATATACTTTCTGGGTTATATGAAATATTAAGTACATAAATGTTGGGTATTGCATATTCAGATAAAGATATTTGTAGACATGTATCGCTAAATGCTGTTATAGAACTCATACAAATGTTGGCAGACAAGGTAGCTGATGGTTGTTTGCCTAGCCCTTAAACTACAATAAGAAAAAAAAATATTGAAAGATTCTTAGTTTTTGGGCCCTGTAAAATGAAATTGTAATCATGTATTTATTGTTCATGTATACATTTTTGGGAGTCATGGTTCGTCGAGAACCAGTTCACAGCTAAGATTAACTGTCTGTTGAATTAATATACTTGTTCTATATGTTGTATCGTTGATTATTTCATAAAGAAAAAAACTGAAATGCAAAAGTTCATCAAGAAAAAAATATAAGTAGAATTCTTTTCAAAGTTTAGTTTACATAACCTTTCACCTGTTTAATAATTAAAATGACAAACGGTCCCTCCGGAATCCGGATGCTCAATAGGATATACAAAAAATAGCCAGATATACATATATTTGTTTTTCATTTTTATCATTATTTCAGAGAATCCACTTTGCAACATTGTTAGCATTGTTGGAATTATATACTAAATCGTACATTAACAATGGAATGCATTATGAACCCAGTCATTTAATTATGTAACTACAAAGTGTTGATGAAATGTGCCTTTGAGTAGAACTGGATTTTATTTTAAGAATATAACAATGTTATCACATTACAGTAATACTGTTTTAGTATGTACTATTAGTACACAATATTGTTATTACTTTGGATACAAATATGTATGACTTTGTAGGAAGAAATAAATATAGAAGCAGTTGCTGTTGGTGCAATACTATCTGACTACCAAAGAATCAGAGTTGAGAATGTGTGAGTATTTTTTTTGAGGTTTATAATAATTAATAGTCTCAAAGCTCTCAGTCAAAAGTCTCAGTTTTAAATATAAAAATAAAACTTATTTAACCAGTGGTCATAGTGAGCTCAAAGACATAAAAAAAAGGCCTTATATGTATATATTTACAGCTCTACAACCTAAAACTAAATGGTAATTTGAACAAATAGGAACATGTTATATTTAAAATTATATTTACGAAATTAAAGGTTAAAAATAGCAAATCTAAAGTATTATAATCTACATAGGTATGCAAATTACTTGTGACGAAGTCGTCAAATTTGTAAACATATTATTATGTAGATCGCTAATTAGTGAAACTGTTTAAATACATGTCTTTGTACTGGTTAAGTATTTCGCGTGCTTATGTTGTTCAAAACCCTGACTTAATAAAAATTGTGTATTAGTTTTTCAGTTTGAAAATCAACTAACAGTAGTGTTCATATATATATATTGTTTGCTATTTATAACCTAATACTGATACCTGATACCTGAAATAAAAAAAAAACGACTATAGTTTGAAACGCTCACGCAACGTTGGGACGTTCTTGTCCCATTTTACTGTACTTAAATTTGAATACATAGTTAACAGAATAACGACGAGAAGCATGTAATTATGCATTTGTTAGCATCTTTCAGATTACATAATCGTTTCAAATCAGCGACCTCTCGTAAAGCATGAACGACATCACTGGGCTACGAAAGTTCACCGGTGCTCACTACCACTAGCCTCGATGGTATATGGCGTGAGACTAGTCTTAATTTAATTTTCTGATTGTCTTATCGCTTTCAGATGTCAACGCCTGGGTCTAGTTTCACTCGCTTATTTATGGAGGCGGAACCAAAAAGAGTTGTTACAGGAAATGATATACTGTGGTATTGATGCGATCATTATAAAGGTTCGTTTGTTTTTTATTTTTTATCTGTAATACCATTTTTATGGAAAGCCATGTTTACAGAAAAGCTTTATCAGGAACGAAAATTGTGAGTCTTAAGCCCACGTGATTCGTCCAACGACAAAGCATAGCATTATCGCAATTAACTTTTTTTTAAATAAACATAGTGCCTGTTAATATTGAACCTAGGTTTTTTTCCTGTTTTGTTTCTTTCGCTCATGTTTTAAACTGACTTGACGGTCAACGCCAAACAGTTAATTTGGTGTGACCATTCTTACCTTACACTTAACTTTTTTAATTACCTACTATTTTCTTATCAATTCCGTAATAAGTCGTATATATTGTCTATTCGAATAATTAATGAAATTTACTTTGCATTGCAATCGCATTTGTTAGTTTTATTAGAATCTATACTAATATTATAAAGCTGAAGAGTTTGTTTGAACGCGCTAATCTCGGGAACTACTGGTCCGATTTGAAAAATTCTTTCAGTGTTAGATAGCCCATTTATTGAGGAAGGCTATAGGCTATATACCATCACGGTAAGACCAATACAAGTGGAGCACCAATAAATAATGTTTTAAAATAGGGGGTTTAAATAGCTCCCTAACATTCTATAATTCAAATGTATTTTCACTTTCTACGTAAATGAAGTGGGGGTAAAATTTAGCGTTATGACATAGTAACTATTCCACGCGGACGGAGTCGCGGGCAAAAGCTAGTAAATATATAAAAGTCGTAATGCGTATATGTTCCCTATGGATTTGAAAACGGCTGGACCGGTTTCTATAGATTATGTTATAGGTTTCGTAGCGATCGGAACAAAGTCAAATCATATATGGGCTAGCAAAGCTGGCCTGGTTTAAGTAGTTCACTAAGTTCACTAGTTAAGTAGTAGTAAAACTAGGAATTAAAAGGCATGAATATTTAATGCATCAACTATACCCCTTAAATGCATGTAACAATATTAAGTCTAGAGCAATAATTAGGTAACATTCTGTCTACGTTACGATAAATGGGTCACTTTCCGCAAATCAACCACTAAAACTTTATTGTACATAATTACTGGTGGTAGGACGTCTTGTGAGTCCGCACGGGTAGATAACACCACCCTTCCTATTTCTGCCGTGGAGCAGTAATGCGTTTCGGTTTGAAGGGTGGGGTAGCCATTGTAGCTATACTGAGACCTTATCTCAAGGTGGGTGGCGGCATTTGCGTTGTAGATGTCTATGGGCTCCGGTAACCGCTTAACATCAGGTGGGCCGTGAGCTCGTCCACACACCCATGCAATAAAAAAAAATTAATAATAATTGGCATACTTGAAGATTATCAGCGTTTGATAAACAAACAAGTACCTACAACAATGTTTGTATCCGTTCTCGTACATCGGATACGATATTACACTAAAAATAACACGCATAAATTCCGGATGAATTGATTCGGTGCATTTCGTTGTTAGCGCATCGATATATAGGTACCTACATTACAATCACTAAGAGAATAATAATTAGCGTCTGACGTCAGAGAAGCGTTGATAACTTTCCGTTTAAAAAAAAATAACATATACAAATTTTATGTTGTCGTTTCCCTGTGTTATGTCACAAATGGAAAATTGTTCTGTCGAAAAATAAAATTTCAGTAGGCAGCGGCTTGGCTCTGCTCCTGGCATTGCTGAAGTCCATGGGCGACGGTAACCACTTACCATCGGGTGGGCCGTACGCTCGTCTGCGTACAAAGGCAATAAAATATATATCTATCATATATTATATCTACATATGTATCATGTGTATTACATTATCAGATTTTTCTATTCTATTCTAAATAAACATTGATGTTAAAAAACTTGTTTACGAGCTGGTTGTCGCAGCAATAAAAAAAAAACTGATTGGAATGAGATAAAAATTAAAATTCGAATCATTTGGTGAATGTTAAATACAGTACGTACTACACGTTAAATATTTGGCATCCATACAGGGAGTATTGGAACCCTTCCCAAAAATGAAGACGAAGTATTGGTTAATCTTAATGCGATACGCACTAAAAAGAAACATTCGAAAAATATTATATAACTAGCGACCCGCCCTCGCTTCGCTTCGGAAACATTAAAACACACATGAAACCAAAAAGTAAAATTAAAAAAAATTAAAAAAAAGTAGCCTATGTTCATCAGGGACAATGTCGGCTTCTAATGGAAAAAGAATTTTTCAAATCGGTCCAGTAGTTTCGGAGCCTATTCGAAACAAACAAACAAACAAATCTTTCCTCTTTATAATATTAGTATAGATTTAATTTTTTTCATTGTATGTCTTTGCGTATATCATATAATAAGCATGCAATGTAATGCGACTTAAAAACAACTGACGTATGGAATCAATGATATCGAGGGAACGCGGGGTGAGGGGGCGAACTGATTACGCGTTGCATTTCTCGTTCACAAAAGGAAAAACCATAATGATTTTCGCATTATTCAGTAAATGAGAGTTGTTTACGATTTAGTTTAGGCCAGTACTTTATTCGTGTTATTATGATTATTCATAACCGATCTTGTGGACCGAATGGTAAACGGTCGACGTCGCCCTAAACACGTCATTACGGATCCTCCCGATCCATTAACGGTGCTTTTAGACACCTCAAGCATCGGTCACCGTCCTCGCCGAACCCGTCGCTTGCGACGAAGGGCTCGATGAGTAAATTAACCCATAGACACAGCCCACTGAGTTTCTCGCCGGATCTGCTCAGTGGGTCGCGTTTCCGATCCGGTATTAGATTCTGCGACGCACTGCTCTTGCTAGGGTTAGTGTTAGCAACGACATCAGGTTTGAGCCCCGTGAGTTCACCTACTAGTTAAGGTCACGCTGAAATAGTCTCTCAAGATCTTCTAAAGAAAAAAAAAGAAAAATTATTATATTACGCATGGTTATAGGTGGCAGCTATGGGTCTCGATCCGAGGATACACTTAGGTATGACGATACGCGACATCCAGCCACATTTGCTAGTCATGAAAGAGAAGTACGGACTCAACATGTGCGGGGAGGGGGGAGAGTACGAAACCTTCACACTCGACTGTCCCCTGTTCAAGAAAAAACTGATCATGTGAGTTATGTTGACATTAGTTCTATAACTACTACCGTACTTACCCAGACATTATCATTTATTGCACTCTAATATGATTAGCTTAGATTAGATTTGTTTACATTATCATATTTATAGTTTAAACGTAACATGTGTATATTATTATTCTCCGGCAGCGATGAAAAAGAAATGGTTATGCATTCAGACGATCCTGTAGCTCCTGTCGGGTATTTGAACTTGAAATTGCACCTCGAGCCGAAAGAGAACTGCGACGAACCTCTCCAACTACCTCCAATCATTAAAAACTCGTTAGACTACTTAAACGACTTGAGCGATTCTGTCTTTAGCGACATAAGCGATATCGAATTGAGTGAGACAGAAATAGAGTCTATAGAGAAGTTAGAGAAAGAGGAAAAGATGAAGAACAGTGCCGAACTCAATCCGTTGCTCACTTATTCGCCGGACAAAGAGAACAATTTAGATATTATACACAAGTTAAATGATAGTGCGGAAGTATTAGACAACGGATATGTATACGAACAGACGAACGATGATAGGTCGTCGCACACGATAACGGATCATCGATCGATATACGGGAACAAACATGGATGGTATTTTATTGGAGGGATTGTTGGCGAAGGGATCGACACGAGGGTGGCAACTGAAGATGCGATGAATAAATTAATTAGTAGGTAAACTTGTTTAACACCCATCTTTGTTGACGTTATATAATATTATGTTGTTATAAGCGGGCTAAAAATTCGCGTTAACGCTTGTTTAGATTTTGACGAAACGGATGTGACATAATACAATTTAATGGTACCTCCACATTGTGTTCTGTCAGTCGCAGATTCCTTTTGTTACGCTCTACGGTTTTGTTCTACACGTTTACCGATTGTTATCTACGGACTGGATTAATTTTGCGATATTAATAAACACATTCTAGCATAATTAGAACAGTTGTTATTTTATTATCTATAAAATTTCCATTCGTTTAATGGGACTAGTTTACATTTGCACAAATATGTTTTTGTTTTTTATTTTATTTTTTATTGTCTTTGTAGGTAAGGTAGACGAGAATACGGCCCACCTGATGGCAAGTGGTTACCATCGCTCATGGACGTCAGCAATGCCGCGTACCCTATATATCTCGATTCGATCGAGTTCTACATTTAATATTTAATCTACACTATCTATACTAATCTATACTTATTAAAAATCTACAGTGGCTTTTACGAATGTTCCGTTATAACTACTGAACCAATCATCCGATTGACTTGAAACTTTGTATCCATTAATGGATAGGCTAATATTTATATGAGTGTTGGACTCCCTAATAATAATGACAATAAATAATAATGTTGATTTTAAATGCCCAGCGAAGCGGACGAGTACGGCTAGTTTATTCATAAAGCGGAAACATGGATGTCCGTTCCAAAGAAATATGGACGGGCGTTACGCTATACAGTTGAAATTTAGACCTCATGTCTCAAGGTCACATCCATCGGCTCCGGTATCCATTAGGCGCGCAGCGAGATCAGCCCTTCCATATTTAAACAAAATATTAACCCTAAACATACCATAACAGGTCAAATGATCCATTTTGAACTTTTGCATGTGCACCTTATTGCTTTTGTACATTTGACTTCATGAATTTTTCCTACGAATTATTCGAATTAAACGAAAAAATAGTATAGTTATTATACTATTTTTTTTTTTTTGAGTAATACTTGTCGTATACCGTTATCTACCCGGTATGGTAGAAATAGGTATCAATCACTAAGTGTGGTATGATTAGTGTTAAAATACTATATAAATAAAATGTTACAAATAGTTCTTATTCGTAAGTCATCGATTACAGGTTTGTTAGATTCTGAAAGCATGCATCTAACCGATGTGTGCTCCGTCAACATATACATGAGGAATATGGAAGAGTATGCTTCGTTGAATGACGTTTATGTCAAGACATTTTGCTACCCGAACCCGCCGACGCGCGTCTGCGTACAGTGCCCTCTGCCGAACAACGTAGGACTTATTTTGGATGGAGTGAGTATAAATTACACTTAACCCTTTGACTGCCATTCCCTCAGATACAGCACACTGAGTTTCTCGCCGGATCTTCTCAGTGAGTCGCGTTTTCGATCCGGTGGTAGATTCTGCGAAGCCCTGCCCTTGCTAGGGCCAGTGTTAGCAATACTCCCGGTTAGAGCCCCGTGAGCTCACCTCACCGGATCAAGGAGAAGCTGAAATAGCCTCTCAAGTATATTAGCTTAGGTAGAGAAAACAAGGCTGCCATTTAGGTCACCAATGCTCAATGTGATGAACTGAAGTAATTATGTCGATTTCAGTTACTGAGGCGCCGGAATAAGTAGTAAGTAGACTCTGAGAAAGACGAATCCGAAGATACTGAGAATGAAAATAATTCTAACAGACCTAAAAGATTAAAAGATACATTAAGAACAAAAGAAGGCAAAGTTAGGCCTTCCGAGCGCTAATAGTAATAACAGAAATCGATATAATTACTTCACTGCCCCACGTAGGGCACCGTTGACCTACATGGTAGTCAAAGGGTTAAATTGTACCAATACACTGAAACTATTGAATATTATTGAGGTATTTTAATAAAAAAAATTAAAGATTAAATGTAAAAACACGCAAGATAACATTTCGGAGGCGTGTTTCGGCTATGGATTACTAATAAAATGTCTTATCACGTTTACATTTTTACATAACAGATAGTGTATGTTTGTGTCAAGTGTTACTTACCCAGATATCAAAATTAAAGTATGTAGAAACGTGACACTTATCGCAAGAATTCCTTTAGAAATCCCGTTTGAATGTTTATAGTATAATTATCGTTTTATACAACTGTTTCCGGTCATCGTTCTCGTCGAACCCGTCGCTTGCGACGAAGGCCTCGACGAGTAAATTAATCCTCAGACACAGCCCACTGAGTTTCTCGGTTTCTCGGCCGGATCTTCTCAGTGGGTCGCGTTTCCGATCCGGTGGTAGATTCTGCGAAGCACGGCTCTTGCTAGGGTTCGTGTTAGCAACGTCATCAGGTTTGAGCCCCGTGAGCTCACCTACTAGTTAAGGCGACGCTGATATAGCCTCTCAAGGCTATCAACTTAGGTAGGCAAAAAAAAAAAACTGTTACGATTACGAAATCGCTAATACAATCGCAAAATACAAAACTGCTACATAAAAGTAGTAGCAGGGTATTTGTGAGATTATCACGTTTTATGTCTTTACTGCGATCTTTTATCTCGTGTATTATTATCTCGTACGGGGCATGCCCGTGCAGTCGGTGTGATCGTGTTGGGTGATTTTAATGTTTTGCGGCGTCCGCTTTGATGTTTCGCGAAGGTCTATCGTATACCCGAAAAGATATCGTAGTATCCGTCTAGAAATTCAGCAATAAATTATGACGTAATAATACGGGGCATAAAGTTCAAGTTTGTATTTGTGTCATACTTACTTGTCATACTACCTACATACTTAGTTAGCTTACTTTGCAATACTTTCATTATTGTTTTTTAGTTTACAAAGTTTTTGGTGCATCCGGTTTTATCGTAACTGATGCTTTCAATAAGTGTCTGAAATTTTATGAAGTAAACAATATTATCTTCGGTATTTGCGAGCCGTTAACATAATTAGAACTGCTTTCACGGCTTGTGACCTCGAAAACACTTTATTAATTAGATTATTTAATAAGAGGTCATTCCAGCTACGCCCGGACAGGTAGGCGAGCTCACGGGCTCAACCTGAGAGAATTTGCTAACACTACCCCTAGCAAGAGCAGTGCTTCGCAAAATCTACCGCCAGATCGGAATCGCGACCCACTGAGAAGATCAGGCGAGAAACTCAGTGGGGTATCGGATTTTATATAATGACAGTAACCAGACGCTTAAGATTACGTCGTACAAGTAGTTATGTCTAAACTCAATTACCGAGCAACTGGTTGATCGCCGGCATAGCCTTACTTAAAATAGTTTCTGTTGGCTTTCATAATTACTTTTTAATTATACAAGATACTCGCAGTATTAGCAGACGACAAAATGTAACTTAACTAGAATTTGTCAAGAGTAAATTCTTTTGATTGTTAAAAATAAATGACGTCATCACGATCACAGACCCCCCACGTGTTAGTTTCACAACGAATTTCGATACCTTTCAGTTATTTGAAGGTAGCAGTCTGATTGCATTAAATGTATTGAAACAGGTGGCGTTCAAATCAAGTAACAACAATACCGAGACTGACGGAGGTAACGTGAAGGTGCGAGAGACTATGCATGTTCAAGGCATTTCGCATTGGGCCCCAGCCAACATTGGACCTTATAGTCAAGCGATTAAGGTTTGTTTCTTGAATTTTGTAATGTTTGTTTTGTAATCGTTAGACCTGAAAACCGTTCGGAGTACATGTTTTATGAGCAACTCTATTATTTAAAAAAACTGCCTTAGATATGTAGGGCTCCCTGACAAGCTTCAATGGATGTTCGAATTGCGGCTTGGAGAGACGAAGTATTTTAAGATAGTCACAGTTATGATTTTGTTGTGTTAGACATTTAACGGCCTGTATCTAGGTGGGATTGTGTGTTTTGAGTGCCGGCAACATGCGAGTTAAGTTTCAATACAATACAGCACAACAAGTACGGGTCTGTTAAAATTTTATTACACGATGTTATTCCTTCATGTTGGAAATCAATCGTGAACATTTATTAAGTACATATCTCATTAGAAAAATTAATACCTGCCTGCGGGAATCGAACACCGTTGCGTCACGTGACACGATTTCCGAGGTTGGGAAGCACTGGCTTATTATAGTACGGCAAAATAGAGTATATAGGTCGGGAATAGTGTTTGTATTGTGTGTCCAGGTGGGTGAAGTAATCGGAACGTGCGGTCAAATAGCGTTAATACCGGGCGTCATGACGCTGGCGGGCGGCGGCGCGCGCAGACAGAGCGCGCTCGCGCTGCGACACCTCACGCGCGTCATACGGGCGGCGCATCCACGAGCGCACATACGTAGCGTCGTACAGGTAATATAGGTTTTTTTGTAACTAGAATGAGTGTCGTAGTCAAGGGACATGCCACATTATGATTTGCTATAATGATATGATGTGCTTCTGCTGAAAATTTAATAGCCTCTCAAGGCTATCAGCATAGGTAGGAAAGAAAATGATGTGCTCGCCCGTTTGCCTCGTTTCCGGGCGTGCGAAAAAGATTTTTTTTTACTGCTTAGATGGGTGGACGAGCTCACAGCCCACCTGGTGTTAAGTGGTTACTGGAGCCCATAGACATCTACAACGTAAATGCGCCACCCACCTTGAGATATCAGTTCTAAGATCTCAATATAGTTACAACGGCTGCCCCACCCTTCAAACCGAAACGCATTACTGCTTCACGGCAGAAAGAGGCAGGGTGGTGGTACCTACCCGCGCGGACTCACAAGAGGTCCTACCACCAGTAAAAAATATAGATAGATATATGTTGCGTTACACCCTTACTCTTTCTAGTATTAACCTTCATAATACTCATCGCTGTGATATTTAACAGTTAATAAAGTTCTTGATCTAATTAAACTAATACATATAATCGAATATTATCGAATGTATATAATCTTTTCAAATTTGCGGCTTTAGCTAATTTATCAAAGGACTAGAATAAGATGCATATATTCGCGTTTGTGAACTCATATATTGTGCGCCACCTGTTACACGTTGTTAGGACATAAATCTGCCACCTTGCGGTACCTACAGCAGCTACATATAATTCATGTAAATCACACGCAATCATAAATTTTCCGATGCTAGAGATTTTGTACAAATACGAAAGTTTGAATGGTGACCGTTGCCTATGTAATGCAATGTATACGTGACGTGACGTGACGTGACGTTTCGTCGGTCTGGTGCGCACAGAGCGTGTGCTACACGACGGAGCGCGGCGCGGTGGGCGAGGCGCGGCGCCAGCTGGAACGGCGCACGGCGGCCGCCATCGTGCAGTACGCGCTCGTGGAGGCGCTGCCGCGACACGCCGCCGTCGAGTGGCACGCCTGGGCGCACTCAGACAACGATCGCTTCGACTGTGCGTACATACATACTTTTTTTTTTTTGCTCAGGTGGGGGACGAGCTCACAGCCCACCTGGTGTTAAGTGGTTACTGGAGCTCATAGACATCTACAACGTATCATCGCGAAAGACGTATTATTCTGCTCCTGTTGCTAATACGACGAATGAAGAAAAAATATAATCAAAGAAAATATTAGGTGAATCCATACCTTTCTAGAATGAACCATGATGGAGGTCATTTTAAGAGTAAATATGAAGCGCGTTCATGTTAAGACAGAAACTATATTGGAAACGGTGGTTACCACCGTGCCGCGGCACGACGCCGCGCCGTCTCAACGGTAGCCGGCGCCGATACTGTAGACATGTGTCCACGCCGTAAGGCTTTATTTGTCGCCATTTTAATATTTGGCTAATTTATTTAACCGTAAAAACACATAACCAAGAAAATGCGCGGATTTGTTATGAGATATACCTACTAATCATGAACGTGTTTAACACACAGCATGAAAACATTTAACATAATTTTGAAGAGTATAAAAATACGGTAATTAACATTGCAGATGAAGAAACAGGGTGCAACATCGGTGATTATAAAGTGGCTATAACGAGAAGATGGAATTATGAAAACACCGTAGCGGCGATTGTATGTAACGTTGCCACAGGTTTGTATGTTTAGGTCGATGAAAAACAACAAAAAGTATAAATGAGTCGTCTATTATCAAAGGTGGCAATCTGTGCATTTGGACAAAAAAATGTTATTGATATGTCAATACAGATTGATTTGAATATAATCGTCTCCTTCAAAGAATACGGTTCAAAACCTGCATTAAATAAAGGTTAATACTTAAGCTGTTATTTATCTAAGATGTCGTTCAGAAGAGTTTTGTGACTGCCAATGGAATACAAAGTCAATAATTCGTTTTTCTGATTTACCAATAATTGTCCAAAAGTCACATTGCCGGCTTTGATAATAGTCGACTCAAATATGCGTGACAGGTGGTAGGGAACATAACCCCTCAAGGTTATAAGCATAGGTAGGGAAATAAAAGTGGTAGGGGGCATTGCCTTTAGGGTTGCGGTTTCGCAGTCGCGGACCAGTCCCACATACCCCGCGCGTCCCCTAGGCGCGGGGACCTCGTAGGAGGTTGGACCCCCCGGCCCGAACAAAAGGGGAGCATGGGGGGCATTGTCTATTTTTGTCGCGGAGCTAACGTGCGGGGACACAGTGCCACAACCTTGGTACAACAATTAATGAGACTTCAACATCGTCTCTCAGGGTGACTTTGAGGTCGTGTGATTAAAATTGATTATGTATATATCTAATCATGTATAAATATATTTATCGTTTTTTGGTGGACAGTAAGAGTAATTCTAGATTGGGATCGAATGATCATTCGTGATTTGTTTCGGACCATGTATAAGTCACTTTACGCAAACAATATCGTATAAATGAGATTCCAATTGCAAACAAGATACCTTTGTACGTTTGTATTTTGCAATTTACGTCACGGATCGTTGATAAGAACAAAGCGATTGTAGGTAATTATTTATAGACAAAATTAATTATTGTACTTTGAAACTGCACCAACCTAACCATTAAAATGTTTATTTGGGCAAATAAACCTTTTTCCAGCATATGGTCATATTAACTACGTACATCGCATTAATATACCTTACGTATTGCTATGGAAACCACACATAACCTTTCATATCAATAATATAGCCAAACCAGAAGTGAAATTGATTTCGATTACTAAATAAAAATGTTTTTCAAAAATAACGTAGGTATATCGGGGGTGACCAACTTTATTAGAACTAAGATGTACTGTTTACTGACGAAACTCTCTACCAATAACATTTCTTGATATTTAATGAAACGATATAGTTCAGTAGACAAATAAGTAGTATATTTTATTAAAACTATTAACATAAAACTGAAATTATATAATAAAAGAGAACCATTGTGTGGAAGAGAGAATAAATAATGTGACGTAATGGTGTTGGAGAAGAATGCTCCGCATACCGTGGACCGCCAAGAGAACAAACAAATTTGTCCTCGAGCAACTTCGTATAGAAACGAGACTGTCGACGATTTGCTACCAGAAGCTTCTTGGTTACTTTGGTCACATTGCTCGGCGGCCACCAGACAACCTTGAAATATTGATTGTGGTGGGCAAGGTAGAAGGGAAAAGACCCGCCGGCCGGCCACCAAACCGTTGGTCGGATCAGATAACTGCGCTCACTGGACTCTCTGTTACCAACGCCCTGAGAGAAGCCGAAAACCGAAGCAAATGGAAGCTGAGGGTACAAAGAGCCACGAAGGACTTTCAAGGACACGACCTTCAGCAATAAAGTATTCGACTAAGAAGAAGAATGGTGATTAACAAATGATGAAGATGATGCGCGCAGCAGTTGGTGATTACGTTGCGCAGTCTCTTCTATGTATTTATATTTTTTGCCTTGCCACGATCGACTGAACTAATAGTTATAACTAGTGGTCCCCGCAGTAGTCGAAATTAGACTATAATTAATTGAAATTAAAAGTTTGAACATTATTATGGTTCTATTGTCAAGCACTATTATGTTTCTATAATAATACAGATATCGCCAAAACTACACAATAAATAAATAATATTAAAGAGTAACAATATTAATCTGTTCTCAATTGACAATACACAAAGAGTATATTAATTATACGTATGTGTTGTGTCAAATACATGGTAGGGTGTGTAATGTTTTCTTTATTGAGTTACTTTTATTGCATAATTTTAAAAAAACATTAGCATTCTGCACTTCTTCTCTATGTTCTCTATAAGTGTGGGAAATTTCATACTCCTCCGTCCGCGCAATTTTCGTAAAAAGGGGTACAAAGTTTTTGCTTCACGTATTAATAATTCGACGCTTGAAAGGCAAACGTGATTTCTTTTTTTTTATTGCCCTTGTAGGCAGACGAGCATACAGCCCACCTAATGGTGAGTGGTTACCGTCGCCCATGGAATTCAGCAATGCCAGGGGCAGAGCCAAGCCGCTGCCTACCGCTTAATACTCTCCACAAGCCTCGTTTGAAGAAGGACATGTCATAGCGCTCGGGAAACACCGTGGAGGGGAGCTCATTCCATAGCCGGATGGTACGTGGCAAAAAAGACCTCTGGAAACGCACTGTCGATGAACGCAGCGGTTCCAGATAACATGGATGAACTCTGCTCCGATGGCGGGAGGTGCGATGATAAAAAGGAGATGAGGGGATCATCTCAAACAATTCCTCAGAGCACTCCCCATGGAACATACCGTACAAAATACAAAGGGAACCGAAGTCCCTCCGCAGACCTAGAGGTTCCAAACGATCCGTGAGGATGGGATCATCGACAATCCGAACGGCCCTTTAGCCTAAGCTGCCCTAACCGACAATAACTGCTTTATACATAAATGATAGGCAATAACCATATTCGATGCGCAAAAAATATATATTTTTAGGTCTATTAAAATCATTTCAGTCCTACAGCTAGATTCGTTAAAATATTTTTTTTTCAGGTATTTCAGCTTTAAATTAGTCTCCTGTAAAGTTCACGCATTGTTGCTTAGTCACGTTTGCCTTTCAAGCATCGATATATAGATAATCGACCCCTGACGTATGTAAATAACTATACGTATGTACATTCCCGACAGGCTCATCTCCGTCGACATGTCAACTGTCGTTCCCGAGCGAGGAGGCGTGCAAGTCTCACCGGGTGCGAGCGCGCGCCATGACCACGGAACAACTCGAAGAAGTCTTGGAGTATGCGCTCAATAAGCTGTTAGGTGACTGCAGGGATAAAGACCAAGGGCCCGCCGTCAAAATGAGGATATTCTACCAGGTAACCGATCATAGCGGAGCCGGTGGCGCGACCAAGTCGAAATTCTGTCTATTTAGGTTTTTTTTTTTTTTTTTGTTGTTTAAATGGGTGGACGAGCTCACAGCCCACCTGATGTTAAATGGTTACTGGAGCCCATAGACATCTATCTACAACGTAAATACGCCACCCACCTTGAGATATAAGTTGTAAGGTCTCAGTATAGTTACAACGGCTGCCCCGCCCTTCAAACCGAAACGCATTACTGCTTCACGGCAGAATTTGATGCCGTCGTGGCCTGGATAAGACGTCCGGTGCATTCGTGTTGAGCGATGCACCGGTGTTCGAATCTCAGGCGGGTACCAATTTTTCTAATGAAATACGTACTTAACAAATGTTCACGATTGACTTCCACGGTGAAGGAATAACATCGTGTAATGAAAATCAAACCCGCAAAATTATAATTTGCGTAATTACTGGTGGTAAGACCTCTTGGGAGTCCACGCGGGTAGGTACCACCACCCCGCCTATTTCTGCCGTGAAGCAGTAATGCGTTTCGGTTTAAAGGGTGGGGCAGCCGTTGTAGCTATACTGAGACCTTAGAACTTATATTTCAAGGTGGGTGACGCATTTACGTTGTAGATGTCTATGGGCTCCATTAACCACTTAAGACCAGGTGGGCTGTGAGCTCGTCCATCCATCTAAGCAATTGTCTCGCGTGTCGCAGGTGTGGAGCGCGCCGGCGGCGGGCTGGGTGGGGCGGCTGCGGCGCGCGGCGGGCGCCCGGCTGGCGCTGACGGCGGTGCCGGTGCTCGCGCTGCACAACGCCTTCACCTTCCTCTCCATCGCCGGGCTGCGGCTCGACGAGTGACGACTCGGCGCCGGTACTTGACCAGGCCTGTATCCCTCACCTATGATGAAAATTAGCGCTGCCGTTGCGCTACAACTCAATATAAGTAGAGCGACGCTTTCAGCTCTAACACTAGGAGCAGGCTTAGGAACTCCGGTAACCGTACTCGTCGAATTCGACAAAGACGTCGACATGCAACCTAACCCATGCATCAGCTTGCTGAGTTTCTCGCCGGATCTTCTCAGCGGGTCGCGATTCCGATCCGGTAGTAGATTCATTTGCGAAGCAGTTGCTCTTGAGTTGTTAGGTCTCCTCCGGAGGCGCTCGGGCAGTTGCTAGCAAATCCCACCCCTCCTGGCTGAGCCTTTGCTCGCGCACCTGTCCTGGTGAAACTGGAAAGGCCTCCGAGTCATCAGTACTCTTTCAATCATAAAAAAAATATATAAGTAGAGGGTGAGTTTAATCATGACGGACTCAAGAGTACACATCTACAGGCACCCATATAAATTATTCTTAACCCTTTGACTGCCGTATAGGTCACTTGGGGCCTACGCGGCGCACTAAAGTAATTATGTCGATTGACTGATACTAAGCGCCTGGATTGCCTTAACTTTCTATTGGTTTTTAATGTTAGTTTGTCTTTTACGGCTCTTAGAAATATGTAGATTCATTCTCAGTATCGTTCCGATTCGACTCTCCCAGTCTACTAGGTATTCCGCCGACTTAGTAATACCAGAAATCGACATAATTACTTCAGTTCACAGCGTAGGGCACCGGTGACCTACATGGCAGGCATTCAAAGGGCTAATAAGGTTGAACGGTCAATTCGTTCCTTGTCGTCTGGTTCGCGTCAGTCTTTTAGGAAGGCATTAAAAGTACTGCCTGTCGCTAGTCACGTCCGCCCTCGTTCCATTTCTCTCTTTGTTTCTTTTCGAATTCTTGTCAAGTCTTATTCATGTTTAGTCGTTGTAGGTATTATGACCTGTCAAAGAGGTTGCACGCCACGACAAAGGTCATGTCCATGATTAATCTTGCATAACAAAATCATGGCTAGTTAAAACGAACCAAACGTCGCCCTTTTATAAACAAACGTATACATAATAATAAATAAATCAATATAAATAAATAAATATTTACTAACAATCACGCCACGTTAACTGGTCCCGTGATAAGTTCGTAAGAACTTGTGTTACAGGTACCAGATAACGGATATAAATGTAAGATTTTTATTATACACATACATATATTTAATATACATCCATAATCCTGGAAAAGACGTGTATTTATCATACAAATATCTTCCCTTGGCGGGATTCGAACCCGCGACCCCCTTGTATAGTGACCATGTCACTTACCACTACACCAGACGGCCGAATAATACATTGGATTCATAATATCATAGAATGTAGGTAATACAAAACCACCTACATTCGTGGCCATTTGAAGGCTAGCGCGCTAGCAGTAGACCTATGTTGTCATTTATAACGTATTTTTGTCGTGACAATGTACTTTTGTTGTCATCAAATATATAAGCAAATACAATGCAGTTTATCAGACAAGCTATCGCAAGTGAAGCGCCAGCATAATGCAGTTTGTGTTTGAATATTTGTTGTAGTATTTTTTTTTGACCAAACCAGAAACATCTATTTATTCAGACTTAAATATATGAGCTAGTGTTTATTTTACATTGCTCTACATTTTCGCACATATTCTACGTTGTTTTTGAAGAATGTCACAGCTTTTGAAAAAAATAATGAATAAACGTCTGCTTTTGAATTAAAGTTAACTCTCTGAAACAAACTATAACTTTTTAAACTTTCTCAGGCATAAATTCCTGTTACGTGTTTGTTCGATTATCTTAAGATAATTTTACTTTCTGTGTTAATTTGTTGGAAAACTAATTGTTTTATTTTATTTATATTTTTCAGGTTTCATCGAACGTTAAAAACTCAAGATGCTTTATTGCCAATTTATAAATATTTGCTGAATATTTTCAGTATTTATAAAAATTTTGTTAACTATGCTACCAAGTTTACCGTATTATAAGTCAAATTATACATTATTTTTTATTGCACATTCTTGTTTTATTTATATTAACATTAATTAACGTTGAGATTCGAGAGCTTAAAAAAATCTTTATTTATAATAAAATTAAAAAAACTCAAATCCATACCGATGCGTGATGGTGATGATGCACGATGACAATGAATAATGAAAACAAAAATCAAATAAAATTTATTTTATTTTTTTTACAAAATTGACCGAACAGTGCGAGATTTCTAGAACGTTTACACTTGCATTAAGTAGACATAAAGTTACAATAATTCTCTTACAGATAAGTCTTACATTCACCTGTGTCGATAAAGCAATGCAAATTACGGTGCGGACGACACCCTGACCGGCTCATATCGTATAAAAGTTAAATTACCATGATCTGACGAAACAAATTTGTTTTGACATAATTTTTTTTTTATCTTATAAATTGTCACTACGTAAATTATGATTAATAATAATAATTAACCGAAGCATAATAATAATAATTATAAAACTAAATCATGATACATTACATGTCAGTATTCGATGAAGTAACTGCGACGTCTTCTTCACTTACAAATATATACTAATACAATGTACATTACACAACATTAGGGGGATAATTGATTGCACACAGCGGTTTAAAGACGATAGCGCGCGCAGTGATTATCCATAAGTACGAGTATAGCTCTACTGAATACAGGACGCGACTACTGCCAGTCAATTTGATACTCAACGAAGCCCTGGAAACGTCCAAAACCCACACCAAAACCTATATACTTTAATACTATCCTTTTTTTTTTTAAAACGTAAANACAACATTAGGGGGATAATTGATTGCACACAGCGGTTTAAAGACGATAGCGCGCGCAGTGATTATCCATAAGTACGAGTATAGCTCTACTGAATACAGGACGCGACTACTGCCAGTCAATTTGATACTCAACGAAGCCCTGGAAACGTCCAAAACCCACACCAAAACCTATATACTTTAATACTATCCTTTTTTTTTTTTAAAACGTAAACGTGTATAATAAATAAAAGAATTTCTCATAATGAAAACTAATAAAGTATTAACGATACTCAAGAGTTAAATAATTTATTCGATCGATTTTTATTTTTCTATAGTATAATTAAAAACTATTATTATCGAAATCGGGCAAGTACGTTTTCCAGAACGTAGAAAAGTGAATTACGTTAATTTTAATAATGATGATAAGAGACATAAGTTTGTACTTTGAAAATTAAGTAAAGAAAAAGTCAATAAGAGAAGAGCTGCTGAATTTAATTCATAAAACTAAACAAGCTAATAATCACCTTAACGTAAACTATCATTAATAATGTTATTTATTAATTAACAACTTTTAAAGTGTATTTTTGAAGGTAATTCGTAAATCAATTCTGTTTTCACATTCATAAGTGATTTCCTCTCCGGTGACCAGAGATGCGGTTCGGCGCCTTTTCGTTTTTTTATGAACCTGAAGTCTATCTCTGCCTCCACAAACTATAGTTTCGTAACAATCGTCCACAATCTACAATCTACCTGATATCAGATTGTATACAGTTGTATCCGTCTCAAAGTACAACTAAAATAAATACCTTACAGCGAAATTAACGATATCCTTAAATTAGTCGGTTATGAAAGAAAATCAAATGCGCACCGTCGTACCTAACGATCAGCGGGCATCCCGGCAACCGGACGACAAAAAAATAAAACAGTGCCCAAATAATTTGTGAAACAAACATAAAATGCATTAAAAGTCAGATGTTTTTTTCGTAATATGCTTTTATTTTTTATAGATATATATATATATATTTATTTTTTTGAGATGAAACTTATATCATAGTCGTTTTTTAAGAACGAAACACATTTACGCGTCTACATTTACAAATGTCCACAGTCCGGCCGCGACTCGGCGAGCTCTCGCACTCCACGCCCCAACGTAAAACCTATATCCTGGACGAGCACACTATAACATCGTTTGTCTCACATAACGTTCACACCAACACTAACATAAGATCAACCAACGCAATTCTAAACAGACTTAGTTGATTGCAAACCGCTACCGTCGTGCTCTCATTTTGACGATAATCGAACAGGGATTGCGTTAACTTAAAAATCGTAAGAGACTTCTGTGCGCTTAGTGCCAGTTTCGTAACGTACTCGATAGCGTAAAAGTTAACCCAATTTTGTATGCAGTTCGGACAGCGCCCCTAGCGGCAAACGTACGCAAACGATCCCATTCAAATTTGAGCTAAATAACTCAACAGTCGATAAATTAAAGTTTATTTTTAATCATTCATATCGTTAAATGAATCGTTTCGTTCACTTCAAAAAACTTACAGTTCGATCAAACGACGTTTAAAAATGTCATTTCATACATTTCATTATTCAAATTTACAGTTGGAACAGCGCCCCTAGCGGCAAACGTACGCAAACGATCCCATACAAATTTGAGTAACTTTTACGCTATCGAGAACGTTAAAAAATACGCACTAAACACACTGTTCACAATTACCCTGGTTGACCATTATTAGTAGCCCGGCGTTCGCTTGGCGGCTAGTCGGAGGGCGCGGCCACGTCGAGCGGGTCCGGTTCCGGCTCGGGCTCGGTGCGCGAGAGCATGTACTGGCGGTGCGCGTACTTGTTGAACCGTCGCTTGGCCATGAACAGCGTCGCGATAGTGCGCGGCGCCAGGCGGACGGCGGCCGCGCGCGACGTTATCCCGCCGCGCCGGCACTCGCCGCACGTGTAGTCCAACACCTTCAGCACCGACACCGTCGTCCTAACGCACTCTGTCGACACACACACACCCCCCAACGTTACACATCCGCAGACGACGCGCGTACTCACAGCAACTTCATAAAAGCTTTGCATTCATCGCGATTTTGTCATTTAAATAAAGAATAGTTTAAAAAAAACTAAAAAAATACGCTTTTATAAAAAATCCTTGAAAATAAATTTTAATTAAATATAGTGTAAGAAAAAATGATTTTAATTTATTGTAAAAAAAAAGCGTGAGGTGCATAGTATCAGTAGTTATAAATATTTTATGACCCGATATGAGTAGAAGGGTTATTTTGATAATATTCTGAAAAGCACCCTACGCTTTTTTTTTACAATAAAATCATTTTTTCTAACATTATTTTTAATTCAAATTTATTAAAATTTATTTTCTATTTTTTAGTTGGATTTTCTATAAAAGCGTATTTTTTTAGTTTTTTTAAACAATTATTTTATTCCTTTAAAAATACACAATGTTGATTATTAATTGAGGTTGACCCAAAAAATCGTTACGAATGTAAAGTTTCATCGGACGAGCCCAGCCACACGGGCCGTATTCATATCGTTCACACCTACACCTAAACCGCGCTGCACACACTCGCACTCAGCGATGATCGGTGCATTATTTTCATATAACGCGGCTCAACAATTTCTCTACCAGCTAAAGTCTAGGCTATAAACGCTGCGTTGTGACGTCATGCTCGCCTACAAATTCTAGTAAAACCTTTCTAGAAGAAAGCTCCTTCATAATAGTCTTAATGCATATTCGTAGCGTATTTGTTTTTGAAGTATTTTACAAATGGCCACAATAATAGGAAATAAACGAATGCATATTATATAAATAAATAAATAAAAACGCAAGCACATTTTTTTCTAATCTGGAAGATGACATGATAACCGATATAGTTAAATGAGTATTTATGGAAACGAACCAAGCATGAGAAAGGAAGAAATTACGTTCACACTTTAAGCATGTGTTAGAAAACCGTGAAAACAATAATTAAAATGTGAACACAAAATTCTCCCGGCACGAACAAGAAAATGCAATGACAAGCAGAACAAACAAGCTGTACACTGCACATAAAACAATAAATAAAAACAATTAATTTTTAAATAATTTTGAATTTGAATTTTTTCGAACATTACATTCGAATGATACTAGATGAGATATATAGGTTGCATAAGTTGCAATAGTTATTGTTTTACGTGTCGTCGTGTGGCGTTTGGGTTGCGGGGGCAGGCGCAGTGCGTTTCTACTGGTTGTTGGTTTGTTTGTTTGTTTGTTGTGTGACGTACCTTGATGCAGTTGCCTATCGCAGAGCTTACATATGACGAGCTGCATAGTCCCCTTGGGCCCGACGAACGAGCGATCGCACAGAGGGCAGTAGCGACCGATGCGATACGCCCTACACACACATACGGACCGTNGGCGTTTGGGTTGCGGGGGCAGGCGCAGTGCGTTTCTACTGGTTGTTGGTTTGTTTGTTTGTTTGTTGTGTGACGTACCTTGATGCAGTTGCCTATCGCAGAGCTTACATATGACGAGCTGCATAGTCCCCTTGGGCCCGACGAACGAGCGATCGCACAGAGGGCAGTAGCGACCGATGCGATACGCCCTACACACACATACGGACCGTACGCGCAACCACCGGAACACAGAAACACGCCATTAGTTAACAACACCGGCCGGCATTACGACACACGCTTCGGCTCAACGATGCCTTCATTACTTCTCTTCGATACGCTCTCAACTATTGTTATGTTATTCGATTATTGTTATAGTATCATATATTTTAAGTGTGTGCGCGTGTGTCACATATGAGACCTATAAAATCAAAGGCAGCTAAACGCCTTAATGTCGTAAAATGGATTAACAATGGCGCTATCTTGTTTAGTTAGTTGGACACGCTTTAGTGTTTTTATGTTATAACAAATACAGCTAAATCTCTAACAAATTCAGTTGATTTTTTTTATTTTTACTCTACTAAATACTAATAAACGAAGTTTTACGAATTAAAATTTAGATTATTAGTAATATTCTCATTCTTTATAAATCTGCTTTAAAATAAAGAATATCGTAGCTATCCGAACAGTTATTTCAGCTTCTCAAACCGGGAGTGTTGCTATCACTGGCCCTAGCAAGAGCAGTACTTCGATGGATCGGGAGGATCCGTAATGAAGTGTTTAGGGCCGATTTTTGTAGTTTACCTGAATATTTGACAGACTTGGATTTAGCTGGCTTTGATTTTATAGGCCTCATATATACATAGTACACATAAAATACTTTATAAACACATAGATAAATAAATACAGGAAATAATAATAGTGCTTGTGTTGTTTGTAGTATTCGATATCATGAAATAGATACATTGTTATCATACTGTAGATCAATCGAAGAAAAGTAACGAATTCGGTGTTAGTAAATAGAATGCCTGTGAAAATGAAATGGATTTCTACGCCCATTGTTAGTTAAGTGAGTCGGTGAGTTAGTCGGATTAAGAGCAGTGGGATGATGCGTCGACACCCATTGTCAATGATGAAAACTAAGAGATGCAGTAGATACATTGTACACATCTCTGTTGTTCGAGTACCGAATCTAATTAAAAAAAACTTCGATACAAAATGTATATTAATAACAATGAAAATTATATAGAAACAGAAAGCAAAGTTAAATTTTACATATACATTTTTTTGTAAATCACATTAAATCAATCTTTCGCGATAACTGCTTTCTGAAAATCAAACTTTGCCAGTAAATTGAAGAAGATTATTTGCGCACGTTTTGTAATATTTTGTATCATTTAAAATAGTTTAACATTAACCATTTCCTATTATCAGATATTGTGATAATTGAAAAAAATTATTTAAATTTACATATAAGCGTATATGGGCGCTTTTTCTAAAGTCATCATCATCGCTATTGAAGTGCGTTAACAATCTTTGAAGAGAAATATATTGTGGCATGCTACTTATATGGAAATGATACCAAAATTTGTGCTGTGTAGCATGAGGAGTCATTCTGCGGGGGGACAGAAACTTACGAACGTAATGCTAAAATTGGTATTCACGAAAATTAAAATCGTTACTGCTATACAGATGGATCGATCCGATAGATTTTTATTTATATTCATAATTTAATCTGTCAGGCTACTTATTTGTAGATACATTAAAAAAATTGACATCAACATGCAAGTAGTAATGACAGGTGCTTTTGTTAAATCGTTCTTAAAGAGTGAGCGTTTAAACGAATCGATTAAAATTCAAATATTCAGATAATCGATTTTAGACTCGATTAAATCGATTCGATCACGCGTCCGTTTCGAACACTATCACAATAACAAAAACAGTTATACACAATTTACGCATTACTTTCACAAACATCGCTACGAGATGATCGATACCATAGACAAAGCGGATGTCGACAGAGCGAATTGCGTTCGGACGTGACATATAAAATGGAATCGTGTTAGTTCACATCAAAACACGCACACGAGATGACTCGAGCACATGGATCACCAGCTAGTTTTGTTACGCAAACATTAATTACACATAAATCATTTAACGGTTCTGTATAAAACTGTGTACTTTTTATTTTATTTGTCAGCGCGTCCCTCTTATAAAGTCGTCTCGTACTTTCAACGATATTTGGTTCACATTTTTTTGGCGCATCTCAGGGTTCTACTTGAAAAATAATACGTCATTATTATAACACTTGTGGCGTTAATGTTATTGTCTTTAACAATTCCTGTATAATAAAGTTTTTTTTATTATTTTTTTATTGTTTTACGTAACCTAAGTCGTTTGAGATTGTATTAATAAAAATACATTCTATTTTAGTAGAGTTTCAGTTTTTTAAATTAAACTGTTTGGTTCGGCTTAAGATTTTTCATATTGCACAATTAGAATTACAATTCGCCACTCGATGTCTGGGAATCTCCTTTCTTAATACAATTTTGGTCATCCTTTCCATAAATTTTGTATAAAAAAATTCAACATCAGTTATCGAGTGCCGAAGAACGTTGATTGAAGATTGTTATCCATTTGTTCTTTTAATGAGATATATAAATAACAGTAAGAGTTAAAGAAAAATATTAGAGCAATATTAATTCATTTCACTATCAAAACAAGAATAACAAAATGGGTTTTTATCACATCATAAATAAGATTGATAATCGATAATTAAAGAAATAACCAATTATTATTTAGTGTTAAGTTTACACTAGGATTCGGATCCTAAAGCAGATGATTCTTTCTAGAAAAATATTAACCTGAAACGCGTTCACGAACAACATCCAAAATGTAGGAATAATTTGGCGAAATAAAAATTAAATTTATTTTATATATTTATGTAAATGCAATTGTGACGAGGCGTTTTGTAAAACCGCACTAATAATTACTATAATCCCGCTTTCTGTCGCTACAATCGAATCCAGAAATCTCGTGTCGAATTTTTATCTATGGCCATTAAACTATTTGACCATGTGACCATTTAACTCTAGCTAGCTAATTTAAGTCATTATTCGATTTACAGCGACCACAAAAATTACAATTTCTAAGTTAAATCTAAATGAACAATATAGATGAAAATATTGTTTTTTTTTTAAATTCAAATGTATTTTTTTTTTTTTGTAAAAACTCATAAACATCATAATAGATATTATTATTTTGAATCTAATATTATGAAATTATTAACTGTGAATTTAGTGTGAGATGAATCATTTCTGATTCTCTAGTGCAATCGTTACATTTTATTGAAGCAACGTAATTGTGGTGATAACAATCAACAATCAACAACAAAAATATATTAAAATATCGCTCAGGCATCGATCTGATTTCTAGTCACATATTGTGGGAGTATGTATTTTTTTTGTTGTCAAAAAACTATAATTTTGCTTTGACCATCCACAATATTACTATGCAATTGCGTAAATCTATATATTAAGAATAATAGCGTATAGTCGACGGTACCAAGCCGAGCCTGGGGCATTGTTCTTCAAGGTTTTGTCGGTGAGCAAAATAGAAAAAAATCTCGAATCTAACAAGTGTGATCGGGAACCGTACTATAAGTTCACTGATAGACTGATGGTCTCTATGGTAAATGGACACCAAAAATCTAACAAAAATCTAACAATGTTGTTTGTTGAATTGTCCAACACTAGCTAACACCTGTCTATTGTCAGTGTTGTCATTGCGTTATCTATGATATTTTACACCGAAATCTTAGTAAGTCAATTATTTATGGGAGACGATAAAATGAATCGCGAATTGAATATCGAATATTACAATTGATTAATTCGAATAATCATCCGTCGCGTAGTAAATCATCGTTTATGTACCTTAGGGCGGATTCGACCAAACTTAAATTTAAACTCGAGTAACTATACGAGGAATAACCTATTCCATGATTTTAATCTCGAGTAAATTCATAGTCGTTTTTCCACGTATACTTGCGCTAGGAATAACAATACGCGAATAGCAGAGTGAATGGTGAACAAAAATAAAATCCGGCAAATAAATGTTGTTGTTCAACGGCATAGTGTAAGAGCATACAAATCGTCAACTCGATTTTGCCGTATTTTAGTGTGAAAAAGTAGCTGTTGTGTAAGATATCCAGCTGTCAAACGTATTATTTTTATTTCTTGTTTGTTTGAGGGAATTGTCAAGTTTTGTCGTGTGGTTTTATCTTTTTTCGTTTAAACGTTGCATTCAGACTATTAATAATCATTTAGTGCATTGCGTTGACTTGAAATTAAAACAGAATAAATATTTATGAAATGACAGAAATCAGATGTTGGACTGACAGACGCCATTACTTTATTCTAGGAATAGCTCCGTTATTCCGTGCGAAACGGCGGTATAGTAACAATTCCCGAATAGGCCCACTATTCTTAGAATTGTAGTTGGTAAAACGTAAAATTGATTTACTCTCGATTAACTGACGAGTTATTCTAAGAATAAGATTTACTCTTGTTTGGTCGAATCGACCCTTAGGCAATTAGCTCTCATTATAAATCCGTAATTGAGATTCTAGCGTTGATTTAATTGGCTAGTATTTTGTCGTTGCAAAATTGAAATTTCCTGTGTATAAAATGTACTGTTCGAGAAAATCTAATAAAACTACCTCCTGAAAAAAAATGTCAAATATTTTTTTAGCACATAGGATACTTTGATCTACAATAAAATGTAAACCGACACTTAGATTTTTTAAGATTGACGCGTACTAAAGTGAACTATTTCGATTTGCACATAGGAGTTTAAAACTTTCATAATATATGAAAACATAATTTTGGCTCAAAATGCCATATAGATTTTAAATTTGGAACGACGATTTAAAGGTGAAATCAGATCGACGGCCGAGGGGGGAGCCGCGTGCCGGCGTGGGGGAGGGGGTACGGACCTGGCGCAGGGCGTGCACAGCGAGTGCGAGTACACCTTGTGTCCGCCGGGGCCGCGCTTGGTCTGGTGGTGCCACTCGGGGGCCGCGTCCCCCGCCGCGCCCCCCGCCGCCGCCGCGCCCGCCGGGGACCGCGCGCCGCACGACTTGCAGATGGCGCACTCCACGCAGTGCCACCGACCTGAAACGTATCAGTTTATATATGAACACGTTCAATGAAAACCAGTCAGTATTGTTACATAAGACTAATTAAACTCTAACGGGACTAGTTATTTGAAAGCGATGGACTGTGTAATATATATGTAGTATGTTAATTATTTGTTTTATATGCGCTTCGAAATCTTTAATTTTAGTTTCCTCTATATGGTTGCGAAGAGTACAACATTTATTTATACATAATTTTATAATGATTATAGCCATGTAACTCATCAATCACCCTATAGACGCATGTAATCAGTGCAAGAAAAAATAAAATTCTTAAGATTACCGATGACAAGATAAATACTATAAAAATGTATGCGCAGGTTAGAGAAGACAGCCATACTAAGGAGTGTTTTGAAAATGACCGAAGCTTAAAGCCACATTGACTTGATAATGAATAGAGGTTTGCTTGCAGTTACCGGTGGGCACTTCCGGTAGGCCGACACAGTAGGAGTGGAAGCCGCGGTCGCAGAGGTCGCAGAAGAGCATCTTGTCGTCGTCGGCGGGGCGGCTGCACTGGCCGCACGTCTTGCACTCGGCGCACTGCCACGGGTACTCGCGGCACTTGCGGATCGTGTCCGGGCCCAGCTCCACGCAGCCGGGGTGCACTGCGGACGAACGCGCAACACGTATCGCATTACTGTCCCTCCGCTGTATTCGCACTTGTAACACTTAATATGTATGTAAAACTTTGAAAACTCAATGTCTTCCACAATATTGCTGATGTTATAAATAACATGGATTAAGTCCTTGGAGTCATGCATGAGTCCATGTGACTGCGGATCGTAATTTAGGATGTCACCTTAGAATACCAATTTAAGAGTGTAAAATGTTAGATTTTATTTTATTGTATCATGTGTTATTGTATAATATCCTGACGCGCGATGCTTACTTAGGTACAACTTGGTTAGATTACTTAAGATCAAATAAAATCAAATGAAAAAGAGGGGGGTGACAGCTTGTACGAAAACTATAGACTCAGCTTGGCTCGCAGCCCAATCCAATGAAAAAGCATATGAGTCGTCTATTATCAAAGGCGGCAATCTGTACATTTGGACAAAAATTTTTTATTAATATGTCAATACAGATTTATTTGAATATAATCGTCTCCTTCAAAGAATACGGTTCAAAACCTGCATTAAAAAAAGGTTAATAGTTAACCTGTTATTTATCTAAGATGTCGTTCCGAAGAGTTTTGTGACTGCCAATGGAATACAAAGTCAATAATTCGTTTTTCTGATTTACCAATCATTGTCCAAAAGTCAGATTGCCGCCTTTGATAATAGTCGACTCATATAGGACATTCAAGAAAATATCACTCTAGACACGAAGAGCTGTGGTTATTTCATAAATCGTTCCTTTTTCAATTTATAAACCAAGGATATAAATGAATATGCCATTTCGAAAAGGTTACATCTCTAAAAATGTAAAATGTTCAGGAAATGAAAAAATACTGATTATTTTCTAAAGCAGTGTAAAATTTAAAATATTAACTTTTGAGATATATTTTAGTGTTAGTTAGCAATTGAAAATTACTGGAATTATTATAAAATGGGTGTAGGTAAGCCTCAAAACTACATGTATGTATATGAAAAAACGTATTTGACAAAATATGCGACATGTGCCCTTTTCGAAATTGCATATCCAAATATAGTTTCGCACCGGGTCGAGTGTAAGAACTGTAGTTAATAAAAGCGTGCTCACGTTTCGCGTTGCAAGTAGCGCAGACGAGGAACCGCTCGTGCGTGTGCTTCCTGTTCCCCTCGAGGCGCAGCTTGCACGCGCGGCACGTGTCCTCCACCTCCGCGGGCTCTAATTCTTTCTCCTTCTCTTTTTCTTTTTCCTTCTCCGCTTGACTGCTGCGTTTCACTTTACTCACTCTTTTGCGCTGTAGTATACAGAAATGGGTTAATTATGAATTTGATTAAAACACTTTACTTTTTTTATAGTCTGTCTGTTTATTATGTATTTCATTTCTTTACGTTTGGAAAACTAAGATATAGCACACTTAGATAAAATACATACATACATATTGCGTTCAGTATAAATCTTCTAACTCAAATATCGTACACAACATTTGTCTGGGCCACTCTCCAAAACGGCTAAATTGACGGGATTTTATTTAAAATGTCTTATATACAATAATATAGGAAATTTTTTATCACATATAATTAGATTTCATGCATAAAAATTTAAATCTTTTAAACAGTACATACTACTTATATTTTAATTGATATTTATTTATTTCAGTCTATAATAAGTTCTTAGAATGAAATATTTATCAGGAAAGTAAGGCTTTGTCACTGAAATAGTTTTTTTTTAATTTACCTAGACATTTACTCTTTACTGAAACTACCTATACAACAGACATTTTAGACGTTTCAATGATCACAAAATATTAATGAATGAACCATCCTAATTTCGTTGTCAGGTACGAATGTTCAATAGATAAATAAAATTACATGTTATGGATGCCAGCATGGGCCATTATAAATTTTGGTGTGTAAGTTTGGAGAAAAAAATTTTTTTTTTTTTTTGTACAGAACTGTGTGTGTGTGTTGAGTGCCCTGCCTTAGAACATTGCAGGTCAGTTTCAAAACTTATGTTGAATGAGATATTGTTTTGTTTTATACTTTATAGGTATAATAATTACAGGTATTTCATATACATTACAAGCACAAAGTCGTGTATACATACAAGCAAATTTTCCAATTATATTTGGTTCTGTAAATAGTGTAGACCTTTGTTTAGGATGCTTTTTTTAATAATTGAACTAAAAACTTTTTCTTTTATTGTCCTTGTAGGCAGACGAGCATACGGCCCACCTGATGGTGAGTGGTTACCGTCGCCCATGGACTTTAGGAATGCCAAGGACAGATCCAAGCTGCTGCCTACCGTAAAAGCTGTGAGAATTAATTTTTGAGAAATAAGCAAAATAAACGACTTAAAATCACCTTGGCTTGTTGCGTGTGTGAGTCAGAGTGCACACTGGAGTCAGAGGCCGAGCCCGACTCCGGTTCGGACTCCGAGCTGCACTCCGGGGACACGCTCGCCGGCGGTGCCGCCAGTACTGTGTTCAGTGGGAAGTACCTTTGGGAAAATGTTCAAATACATTTAAAAATTTACTCACTTACATGGTATCTGAATTGCTTAGATGGGTGGAAGAGCTCACAGCCCACCTAATGTTAAGCGGTTACTGGAGCCTATAAACATCTACAACGTAAATGCGCCACCCACCTTGAAATATAAGACTAAGGTCTCTAGTATAGTTAGAACGGCTGCCCTACCCTTCAAACTGAAACGCATTACTGTTTCACGGCAGAAATAGGCAGGGTGGTGGTACCTACCCGTGCGGACTCACAAGAGATCCTACCACCAGTAAAAAATAAATAAAGAATTCAAAATTGCTGGAATACAAGACATTGTGTTCAAAAACAACTTAATAGTATTATGGGGTATTAGATATCAAGGTATAGTTTTGTGATAAAAGTTTCAAAACATCAGATCAGGTGTATGATACAATTCAATAATAGAAACACTATTTATGGATAGACTAAGAATGTTTTTTTTTCTGAAGATGTTCAACGCTAATTCCATACCTCTTACTACTTAATCATTTGTTAAAAATTCAACTGTTAATGATACATTAATTATAAATCTTTTAAAATTAATATCCCGTTAATTTATTTTAATATTCAATATGCTGGTCTTGTTTTATTTTTTTAAACAGTTGGCCTTGGTAGACCTATTGGCATTTGATATGAAACAGTTACCATGATGGGACGAGCAAGAATCAGTTACCTAAGCTGTTCAGGCGTATAGATTCTGTATGCGTGTTGGTACTGTCCAGGCAGCAGCGCGTGCGGGTAGAAGCCGGCGGGGGGTCGCACGTGGTGCGCGGGTCGCGGGGCGGGGGGGCGGCGCCGGTGCACCGTCATGCTCTGCAGGTCGACGCACGCCACGCTGCGGCTGGCATTCATGCGCGCGTTCCACTCGCTGGCCGACGCTATCGCTGCAGCCGCCATATCCTGTACACAACGATGCCGAATATGAGGTTTTTTTTTTTTGTTGCTTAGATGGGTGGACGAGCTCACAGACCACCTGGTGTTAAGTGGTTACTGGAGCCCATAGACATCTATAAAGTAAATGCGCCATCCAACTTGAGATTAGTTCTAAGTTCAAACCGAAACGTATTACTGCTTCACGGCAGTGTGGTGGTAACTACCCGTGCGGACTCACAAGAGGTCCTACCACCAGTAAACGTACGAACTATTACTCTTTTGTGTTTAAGTTAACGTTTACTTAAAATAATATCAGGGGAGTACATTAAAATACCTTCCGCTTTTGACATACTTGTGCCCATGTTATCATACGCTCAAATATAATAGAGACCTTAATTGAAATTGTTTTTTTATTTATGAAAAGTTAATAATTTTAATCAAACTCTCGTAATCGTAATAATCGAAAGCGAGGTAAATTAATTATATATTTCACTAGCACTGACACTAAATCGGACATTTTTTATACTTTTATCTGTATTTTTTGTTCTTCTGAGGTGACAGGAACTACTTAACTAATTTTAAAGATACTTGTGAATGTGATATATAAAATAAATAATAACTGTTCTCTTTGGCAGTTAAGCCCTCTTATCGTATTCCCACATTTCCTCGTGATACTGACTTTTGATAAGCTTTCACTAAAATCGATGCTATAGTCTTTCGGATTCGAATTAATCATAAGTTTTGAAGTCAGGTCACACTTTAACACTGGGATGTTTTGTTTTATTACTGTTCTTGGATGATTAGATTAACCATTATGATTAAGTTTATAATACCTGTCTCAACTTCTCAGGGTCGATTTTAGGTCCTTCCGGTTTGTGATCAGAAGATTTTTCTGATTTTACATCACTTTTTGTCAGTTTATCTTCCATCTTCACTTCAGTTACTATCTCTTCTGGTTCAGTGAGTTGTCTTTCCCGCTGGTATGCACGATATTCCTCATACTTATGTGGATAATCTGATAGCATGATATCCAAGACTTCGCTCGCATCCACTGCTGTTATACCTGTGGATAATTATTTTATTTTTCTAATGAAAATTGATATTTTTAAGTTTTATTAAATTTAAGTCCTTGTCACACTTTATTGCAACGGATTACAGCAATCACATTATGGTTCATAAGCTAATAGACCAATCTAAACAACGAACAAAAAAAATACTCGAATGTTCCCTGAAGTGACAGTAACAATTTTAGTTATATTCTGTTGGTACAACCACACACTTAGAATTAAAATAAACAACGATACGTAATTGTAAGAAGTCACTTATACACAAAAAGTTTATTTTAAAAAAAAAGTTGATTTTGCTCTGAAGTTTTAGTATGATGCTTGAACAATTTATTGTAGCAAGTAGTGGAGAGACAAATTATCAGGATAATATATTTTATCAGGATTTCAGTATTTGTTCCTTGTTTACTGTTTACTGATAGTAAACATTACCTAAGTCGCATAGAGCTTCTGTAGCCAATCTTTTTGCTAAAACATAATCCTTTTCGTCACCAACGATGGATCTCCGTTTTAGTTCAGGATATCTTCTTTTGAAGCTCTTCACGCCAAGGAACATCGCCACCTGCTCTTGTATCATCATGACCTGGTAGACAAATTGTAAACGTAGGATGATATTTTACGAAGTGGTCTAGAATCGCAATTATTTTTCACATAATTAATATACTGGTGTAAAATACACCCTCTCTTAATCCAGATACGTACAACTGATCTGGGCATATTTCAGTAGTAAAACAGTCGTTTACTGCAGTCATTAAGTGACAGTTTAGGTCATTAAGTGATAGTTTTAGTTTAAAAAAATGGTTGTTTCTTTATTTATTATAATATATTTAAAACCAGTTTTGATTTGGGCATGAGAAAGACAATCTTAAGATATATTTTTAAGGCCCAGACAGTTTTATTTGATTACCTGAGGTTCACTATTTCCAGGATGTGGCCAAATGTATTCCTTCACATCTGCTGCTGTCCATTGCTTATTACTGAAATGAAATAAAAATGAATTAATAATTTATTTTCTGTTTAATAAAATTAGTATTCTTTATTTTATCTTTTTCATAAACTGTGAATAATTTATAAATTCAAAATCTATCTGTCTATAAGCCCAAAAACGTCCACTGCTGGATATAGATAGGCTTCCCCCAAGGCTATCCCTATGCTTTTACCTTACTTAATTTAATCTATACATGTATTAATAAAATATAGTTGAAATTAAAATAGAAACATATTTAAAATATTTTTCTCTCAATTACCTGTCAAACAAGTCTGCAAATTTTGACTTCTTTAATTTGCTACTCTCATTTGTTAAACTTTTGATTGAGCTTTGTGAATCCTCATCCAGAAGATGTGAAGGTCTGAAAATTTAATTAAATCAATGAGTTTAGACCTGTATAAACTAAAATTGAATTATTTTTTCTTTGTGAAATCTATAAATTTTTGCTCACTTGGCAGGCGTTGCGTTGTCGTCCATCATGCATGTTTCTTCTTCAAAGAGTTGCACGGTGGTCGTCGCGGGGCCGCAAACACGACCGTAAATGCCCAGGGTTTCCTTTGGAACACAATTAATTTTCTCGTTGAAAATTTGAAATAATGTAAGATGGAATAACAGGAAGCTGATCATACCTTCATATAGACGGCGCCGCGGCCTCCTCCTCTCCCCCGCGCCCTGGAACGTGGCGTGCGACCGCGCGGTGTGCGGCCCCCTCGAGAACCCCGGCCTCGGCCCGGCGTGCTCTCTGGCCGTACAGTCATCTCATCTAGTGTCACCGCTTCGAGTACCACCTTAGGTTCGGGCTCCACCGAACCACGTCGGCGACTCGACAATGNTCATACCTTCATATAGACGGCGCCGCGGCCTCCTCCTCTCCCCCGCGCCCTGGAACGTGGCGTGCGACCGCGCGGTGTGCGGCCCCCTCGAGAACCCCGGCCTCGGCCCGGCGTGCTCTCTGGCCGTACAGTCATCTCATCTAGTGTCACCGCTTCGAGTACCACCTTAGGTTCGGGCTCCACCGAACCACGTCGGCGACTCGACAATGGCGTAACACATCCTCCTGGCATGCGATCAAGTGCCTCAGTAAGACGCGGGAGCTTCACTCGTGAGCTGGTGGGATCGATCTCTTCGGTAGGGTTGTCGGTAGGATGAGTTGGGTTGGCAGCTAGCGATGGCTCGGCCTCGGCGCGCCTTCCACCTCGTCCGCGTCCTCGCCCTCCTCGCGGTTTCGTCACTATTGAAGGACGCTCCCTGTACGGTGACATTAACTTTGAAAATAACTGAAAAATTTCGTTAACAATCTTGTTAAAAAAAATCTCACCTCGTCAACCGAAGTGAACGTTGCGGTCGTTCTTCTAACGCCGTCACTGGGAGTGTAACCGGTTTGGCTCCTTCCGAGGTAGGCAATTTACGGGGTCGACCTCGTTTCTTCGGTTGGGGCGTGAATTCTTCAGGCCTGATGGCAATGCTGCTCTCGTTTGCGACGTTTTCTGAAATCTTAGAAGTGTCGACTTCGAGAGGATCCTGTGATGCTTCGTCGGTAGGAATGCTGTTATCTCGAAAATCCGAATTCTCATTAATTAACATCTCCTGAACTTTGGGATGACAATTTTCACTCACAGATTCGGTTACATCCGCCATACCACTTACTGGCGGATCAGAAATAACTTCTGGATTAGTCATCACAGATTTTATTGAATTATTACTATCAATTAATGAAATTGACTGCATTTGCTTTGCCTGTAAATTTGAGAGAATATTGTGTAATTTAGAATTTCCATTTTTTGCACAATTTTCATTGTTGAGTATTGAATGATTAACAGATCTTGGTGACTGTTTGATTTCTATGCTTTTTGTAGGAGACGTTGGTGATATTTTGGATGCAACAGGTGTTATTGTTAAAGATTTGTTACTTGTCAGGAGCTGCTCTAGTTTAAGACGCTTATTGTCTAGTATAGAAATTTCAGTATCTTTCATTTGTGGAGGGCTTGATTCTGATGTAGATCTTTTTCCTGTATTTCTTTTAATAATTGGTGACTTTTCAACACTTTCTACAATCCTAGAGCTTCGTAATCTTTTACCTACAGCCACAGTAGGTGAATCTGGAGTATTTTGTCTACGTTTGCTATTTGTAGTATATCTTTTTGAGCTTTCTTTTTCACTACTTTTTTCTTGTATATTTTCTATGTAGCTTTTATGTGGAGAGTCAGGTCTTTTTGTCTCTTCAGTAATTATTTTTGCTGAAGGACCATGATCAGTCTTGTTTATCTTCAAAATTATTCTTGGTGAATCTTGTCCAGAGCTTTGTGTCACTACTTTTTCTGATATACTTATTTCTAATGGCTTAGTTAAATTTTCATTAGATTTTTCACAGATCCCTTGATTCACAAATATGTTTTCTTCAGTTAATTTTCTGTTTTCATTAATATTGATGCTATGAGTTGAAATAATTTTCTTTTTATCATTATAATTAATACTGTCACTGTCATTACCTTTTGTTGTAGCTTGGGGAATATTACAATTACTGAAATCTTTTCTAAATGTTAATTGGGATTCTTGTTGATCTGCACTAAGACAATTCACAGTACTTCTGTGTGATAATTCTATATTTTCAATTGGTTCTTTTGTATTTTCTAGCAATTTTTTTAATAATGTACAATTTTGTAAAGATGAGGCTATTGATTTTTGTTTAAAAGTACCACTGGTACCTACAGGTGGCTCACCATATGTTGAAATGACATTAAATTTTTGAGAAACTTGCTTCTCAGTGAACAAAAATTGCTGTTTAGGTTCTGGGTGATTTTCTTTTGTGATACTTTGAGTTGTAATTGATGATGTTACGGGAACATGCTTCACAATGCTATCATGGGTTGACAAGTCTAATAATAAATTTTCATTCTTTGAATGTATATTAGGGATATTTGAAAGGCCATCGTCAACATTTATTGTTACACAATTGTGCAATCCAAGATCCCTGTGTTCTTCAATTTTTCCTTTTTGAACAAGATCAGTCTTTGAAATATCAGATGAATATGGCTCTTGACTACAGGTGAGTAGGTTTTCTGAAAAGTCCCCTTCAGATCTACTCTCTGACATCTCTGTACTATGTTTAGAAAGTGAAAAATGAGTATTAACATTATTGCAAAGGCTGTGTTCCCCTTTAACATTTTCTTTAGATGCTGTTTCAGCAACGGCTTTCATGTTAATTTTCATAACTATTGGAGGGTTTTTACTACAAACCTCTTCTTTATTTTCATCATGACCTATTTCATTGACATCAGACTTGGTTACAGGTTTAATATTTAACTTAGTAACTACAGGTACACTAGAAACTTTTGAATCAGAACTTTTCAAGCTCTCTTTCTTAGATGCATTTATTTCTTCTGGTTTTACCAATGGTTTTATGTTTAGCCTTGTTACAGTTGGAATGCTTTGTTCATTAGTTTTGTGCAATCTGGAGTTCTCATCAAAGTCAGCTGGTTTTATAATAGGTTTTATGTTTAACTTCGTAACAACAGGTATATGATCTGCATTATCATCACTTGAGTTCCCAGTCTCGGAGGATTGGTTCTCTGAATCTTTTGAGATATCTTCTTCCAATGGTTTAACTATAGGCTTAATATTAATTTTAGTAACAACAGGTACACTATCTTTATTTGTATCAGCATTCAATCCATCACAGTCTTTTTCATCTGAAGAATTTTCTTCGGGGTTTTTTATTGGTTTAATATTTAGTTTAGTTATTTTAGGTACATTTTCAACATTAGAATCTATATTATCATTATCTTTAGGTTTTAACACAGGTTTTATATTTAATTTTGAAATAACAGGAACTTTTTCTTCTACAATATTAGAGGTTTCTCCACAATCAAGTTTTAACACTGGTTTAATATTTAACTTTGTTATTATGGGAATTTGTTCTGCGACATCACTAGTAAAAGATTTTTTAAATGTTTTAGATGAACTGTCAACATCCATTTTTGTGATGGGTTTAATGGTAATTTTAGGCACATGTGAACTGTCTTTATAGTCAGGACTCCCACAATAACTTTCAGATGTAATTTTTAATTTGGGAATTTCACTTTCTTTTATTGCACCATCAGGAGATTTTAATGGTTTGATTGTCAATTTTGGACTCAAAGGTTGACTATCGGTTTTTGTAACTGTTTTTATTGTTAGCTTAGGTATTTTTTCTAGTCTCTTTTCATCTGATTGACTGGTTATAAGTAATTTTAAGTTGGTTTCCTGAATTTCAGTATCAGTGTTCTGTAAACTTTTTATTGTAAATTTGGGTACGTTTTGATCAGTATAAAATTTCCCTTCACTTTCAGTACCAACTTTTCCCAATCGTATAGTTACTTTTGGAACATCTTCTGAACCATGATCAGACGCTGATGCATGATCTGAAGTACTGGTTGTTTCATCATTTTCAGAGTATTCTGATTCTGATATCTCACTGCTACTTGATTGTCTGTGAGAATCATTAATCTTTTCTGGTGGTTTGAGGATAGGTTTGATGTTTAATTTGGTTATGGAAGGGATTTGTAAACTTTCTGTTTTGTGATCACCTTTAACAGCAGAATGAGTTTTTTTCTGGTCACTCTGTGGTTTGGGGATTGGCTTAATATTTAGCCTTGTTACAGATAGAATCTGTTGATCATTTTCTTCATCTTTAACATAGTTTGATGAAGTTTCATGAATTTCACTCTGTGGTTTAAGTATTGGTTTGATATTAAATTTTGTCACAGTTGGTTTTTCTTGTTCATCTTCAGCTCTCAAGAAAGACTGCTCGTCTGTTCTAATTGATTTTATTGTAACTTTAGGAATTGGTGACTTTACTTCTTCAGGTGGCTTGATTCCTAATTTAATTGTTAATTTAGGAACCTGTTTACATGGTTCCAATTCAGCTATGTGTTCCATTTGAACTTCTGCCCGGTTCTGATCATTTAAATTTGCAATCTCTGTATCCGGCAAACATACATTTAATTTAATAGGTGGTATAATTATTTTTTCTTCTTGTGTGAGACTGCTGTTTTCTTTTGTTATGACTTTAGCATTTAAAGTTTCTTTGTTAGAAGTTGAAGCCACATCCACAATTAGCTGATTGTGTTTATTAGATGAGGTTTCACTTAGACCAGTTAGTACCTCAGACACTGCATTAAGAGATACACTCTCATTTTTGTCATTTTCATTTTCTCTCACATCATTTACATTGAAGGATAAAAAATCTGGAGCAGATCCATATTTTGGTTCAGCATTCAAATTTGCTTCTATAAACATATTCACTGCTATTTCAGATTTTTGTATTTTTTGTGCTTCACAATAATCTAATGAAACATCATTAACATCATTAGTTTGTGAAGGACAATCTTCTGATTTGTTTACATTCAATGAATCTGTAGATTTTAGTGGCTGCGAAGTTTCTAAATTACATGGTATATCTTTAGTAATTTCACTTATTAACACTGTTCCAGAAGATGTAGGTTGACATTGCTCCTTCTCCACTTTAAATTGTTGCAGGTTCTCAACAATACTTTCTTTGTCTTTTAAAACAGGTTTTTGCCTAATGAGTTTAATTTTTTTAGGAGAACCCGCCGGAATTTCAATTTTGCTGATACTAATCTCATTTAAAACACTAACCTCAGGTCTCAGAACTTCATGAACAGACTGATTGGAATCTGAAGAACTAGTTACATCCTTGGGTACATTTTCACTTACACTTACAATAGTATTAATATTAACAGATTTCAAGTCCACACTGGAAGATACTGTGCAATCAGAACGCCGATCACAACGGGCTGGCCTCACAAGCCTTCGTCTCAAAGGTACCTTTGTTGTAGGCTCTGCAATCTTGTCCTCACTAACACTACAATCACTTGAAGTTGACTCAGCGGATTCTATTCTTATTCTGTTCTGAATCTCACTAGATGTGACACATTTAACTGTTCTATCTGTTTTTTCACTTTCACTAACAGTTTCAGAAACACTTTGCACATGAAATGCACTGCTGGAAGGAATATTTGACAATGTTTGTGAGCTTGAAGGCTCAAGTTCTACTTGTGACACTATACACTCTTTTTCAGTTGTTGTACACTCTTCTGTTGGTATGAGTAGCCTTTCTTGACACATATTTTCACTATTTACACTTGCAATATTTAATTCCGCACTAATTTGTTGTTCAGTAGCAGAGCTATTTACAACTGTATCGTCGGCATTGACGTCTAGCGCGGGCGAAACATCTGGAATTGGTGTTAAAGACTCAGTACTGTTTGTATTCAAAAGCTCTTGACTGAGTCCCGAATCATCCTCCGAAGCAATTTCATGAGCGACCAGAAGAGTATCGCTTGCGATAGGTATTCGCTTTGGTGCGCCTGGTCCATCCACGATTTCATCTATCATGTCAAGTATCGCTTCGGTACTTGTGTTGACGTCTTGCACCGACGGCGATGGTACGCTGTCACCGTCGAAATTATCCTCCGACATCGCGGGGGTTTGGCACGACGTCCTACTCTCTGTTCGATCTTGTTGGTAGATGCCAGTGGGTGCATCGAGGTCCTCGGCCTGGCCGACGTCCCTTTCCCGCGCCGATGCACGGCGGGAAGCGATTGTCGCGGGGCCCGCATCATCTTCCGAGCTCTCCATTATCTACTGTTATGCGACACTGTCATATCTGAAATATAAAACGCTCGCTTGATGATATTTACGTTACGAATTGGTAACCTGACGACGTGCGAGATTGACAAGCCACAGACACCATTCTAATTCACCATAACGCTATGAAAATTCGTTCACGGGGTCCACGGCGTTATTAATATACCTACACATGTACTTTAATTTCATATTCACGACGTTTCTGTCTCGTTAGACAACTCGAGACGTCTTGGAAATAATTCATTCGCATAAACCGGCAAACAAAAAGCTTGTATACGCCATTTTTAAAACCAAAGACATGGCAGGTCGAGATGTATGGGCCAATAAAAAATATCTATACAGACAATTCGGCCATTGTCGTGTTGGTAAACTGCAAGAAGCCCATAGCCATAGATCGTTCCACTTGAGCTTTTAACTTGTAAGAGAGAATAAAAGAATATTGAATATATATTTTGACCTAAGTTAGAGCGAGTAGGGTAATCACTTTGCAAACTTCAGTGTCCATAATTATTAACAGTGGCAATAATATAAAAATTTCTTGAAAGATCCTGACTTTTAGGTACCTACCTGTGTAGGATAGAATGAAAAAGGCGTACCGTAAAATGGGGTAAATAGGGACAGAATCGAACTTCAGATTGAATTTTAACATAGTTCCAATTAAATAGTCACTGTTCAACCAAAGAAATAAGTTGAGTCTTGAACGTACCTAGGTGATAAAAACCGTTACATTATTTTAATTATTCAATTTAAAGAAATAATCGGAAAAATAATGGCCATCCCAATTTACCCCGCATTCGGGGTAAATTGACACGGGTAAGGGTTAAATTGGGATATTTGTAAGGGTTGTCAGTTCACGGTACTGCGATATATAGGTAGGTAGGTAGGTGCCATACAATTATTTATATGAACCGAAATGATGAATACAATCCATAATTTAAGCGCAATACACAACATAGTGTAAATTAAGCCGGTTTCTATTCCGAAGCGATGTGACGTGAATGATAATCAACAATACAATGATCAAAAAAAGTATGTGCATATTATATTTTAGAAAATTATTATTTAATTTCCTTAAAAATCACAACTCTGAAACAAAATCATAAAATAGAGTTAAAAATAGAAAAGAAAAGGACTGGAAATGCAATAATACAATTTTATTTAATCAACATTTTCAAAATAATCTTTGAGCAAGAGTAAGATATCAGGTGAATAAGATAAAAAAGCAGATTTATCTGATTACTGCCTATAATAACAAAATAAAAAAAATTCTTTCTAAGCTAAATAACTAAACTCAATTAATTCACTCACTCATAATTGGAACCTAGATATCTTGGATTTTTAATTAATGTTACATTTAAAATCTGAGGCCTGTTTTTATTTGTATGTGCGTTGTGAATGTTAAAAAAATCATGATTCGACGCGTGAATAGATTCTGAAATAACAAAAGTTTTGATTCGTTTGAGTTCTTTTTAATTTTTAATTTTATTTTATTGCTATAAAGGACATACGACCGGGCAGATATTACAAGGTAAATGTCGCGAAAAAATGTAATTATATATATACTTTTCTTTTACCTATAGTACTTACATAAACTAACTGATAAACACATTAACCTTCTTTACATCACGCAATTAAGTGATAGTATAGGCTAAAAAATCTATTATAAGATATCAGTGACAACCCTAACAAGCCATCCCTATTTTGTCTTTTGGCGTTCCAATTTTGTGTTTTCTCGTCCCTAATTTTTCCAGTCTCGTTCCAAATTACCCTACATACGTCCCAATTTTCCCCAAAAAGAAAGGAAAAAATATACATTTTTTATTTTGTCGAAATATTGTATTTAAAATAAGAATATTGCAACTTACCGTTTGTTGTGGTATTTCCAGGTGTATTAAAAACTTATATAAACTGTGATCTTATTGAAAAAACAACGATAATATTACTTTTTTTAAAAGTTCTGTAAGCTGTTTTAAAACGCACTTTTCAACCACTATTTTCAATTTAATTTGACGAATTTTTGGGACCAACTTAACTTATATTTAGTACTTCCATAGTTAGCTTGGTTTTTCTTCTATACATTGATAAATATTAACATAAACAAAATTAGGTAGACTCCGTGCTACAGGTACTTTGAGAATCTTCCGCAGGTTTGTCCCAATTTACCCCAGGATCCCAATTTACCCCATGTCATGGTAGGCATCTCTTTGTAGTCTGTGGTGGTATCAGTAATTCAACGTGTGAAATCGAAAGATTACTGTAACAAATTTTTCAAAATTAGATTTGTATTTTCCAAGTTTCTCATAATTAAAGATATATTTAGTACTTGCTGTTTAATTTAATATAACAGTATTATTTTCAATTTCAAAATTAGTGTTTCAATTTTTGTACTTTACTTTCCTTTCAAACTACCTAATTACATGTCGTATCACCAACTTGAGATCCAACTCAATATAGACTACTCCTTCTACTCTCTTCTTGTCTAGTCAGAGTAAAAACTTAAACAATTTAGTAACCACTTTGAGGTACACTTTCTTAAAAGAATAGCTGCGGTTAGTTTTGACGATCAGTTGCATGAATTAATCTATTTTTCTCGCGCTGCTCTCTCTTTGACGCCTCTGTTAAAGCAAGTGCTTGGTAAGAATGGGCAGCGGCTCAGCTATGCCCTGACATTACTGCAGCGTAGGAACGAAGGTGAGCGCTTACCGTCAGGTAGATCTATACTCATTTGCCTAAAAAGGTACAAGGAGTAGGAAAAAATAATCTGTACCTGGTAAGATTTATAATCATCGAGTTCTCTGTAGATCACAACCTACCTTGAGATATGAGTTCTAAGGTATCAGTTTTTACAGTACAACGGCTACCTTGCCCTTTAGATCTAAACACATTACTTCTTCATGGCAGAAATAGGCAGGGTAGTGTTACCTACGTGGGTGGAATCAACAGATTATTACCTCCAGTAATTAAGCAAAAATTTTGCGGATTAGATTTTTATTACACGATGTTATTCCTGCACCGTGGAAGGCTAATAGTGAACTTTCGATAAGTACGTATATCATTAGAAAACATGGTACTTGATTGCGGGATTTGAACACCGTTGCATCGCTAGGTTCGAATGTACCAGACCTCTTAAGCGCCTTATTCACGTTCCATCTTGCTGTACGTCCCGCTAAGGGCATGCACGATGCACGATGCAAAAGGATCATGAATAGGCTTGACGTACGACGATAATTATTATTAATTGTTTGCTGGATTTGCACGACCAATTTTTCATCCAGCGAGCGCCCCCACCACCGGGAACGTCGTCCAGATAGACAGTGAATAACGCGGACGTACGTCATTCAGAGCGGTCCTGCGTCGTGCGTGCTTGATCGTGTATAGACTTGCTGTACAGCAGATTAAACATTTAGAGCTTGTTTCAAGAGGAGACTGTACGTCAAAATGGATCGTGAAACACTTTCAAGATTTATTGAAAGATATAAGTTCCACATGTTTGTGGAGTGTCTCAAGCGCAGACTATATGAATAAACCAAAAATAATTAACGTATTACAATTTTTTATGCCCATTTTAGGGGAAGCTGCAAGGATTGATAGCGTGCGTAAAAAATTATATTAATTATTTGAGTATACTCTGCACGTTTAAAAAAATCATCCAAAACCTCTTGCTATTTTTTGCCTCTCTTCTGCTGCTGCTGACAACATCAGAAGGACTCCCATTTTTGGCGTTTTGATAAAACAGCTGGCATTTTAAATAAATTAAAACCCTCTCATTTGATTCGTTCGATTTATTCTGTTCGCGCTTGATATATCCAGCACCGCGGCCTTGAGCTGACGTACAGCGGTGATGGATCGTGAATAAAGCGCTAAATGCATCGTGCATCGTGCATGGCCTTGGCGGGACGTACAGCAAGATGGATCGTGAATAAGGCGCTTTATCCTTTAGTCACAACGACTTAAAATGGTTTGAAGGGTGCCATAATAATTACACAATGCAAATAGAAATTTCAACCTCATGCACCAAGATTGGTAGCGGCATTGAGGTTGTGATGTCCAAGAGCTCTAGTCACCACTTATCAGTTGGCCGTTTAGGTTTATCGACATGGTTTATTTAAAGGAGCATATAAGACTCTAGATATCGATTCTCGATTTTTTCAACAAATCCATTAAATTCTCATTGCATTATTATATAGCTTAGCCATAAGCCAACATATTTAAATCACCTCTTAGTGTCTATGGTCTCCCTGTTTAATTTAATTTCTTAATAAATACGTTACATAAATTTGTTCCATTTCATTCTTCGTACAACATTTTTAGCCTTAGTTACAAAATATTTGCTGTATGGCATAGTTACTTTTGTCTGTCCAATAAACGAACTAAACATTCTCTGTGGTTCGATGGCTTAGTTTACATATTACGTGTATTATCTGTGCTATTTATCATAGATACCTACCTACTTGGCTTAAAAAGCTTTGTTTCGAAGACACTAGAAATTTATAAAAAAAAAAAAAACTACCTACTACTTATACCGCTATACCGGTCACTCACATAGGTGAATGAAGTTAGCCCCTCAAAAAAATTTTTTTTTCCTGTTTTCTATTTATTTTTTATTAATTCGTTTGTTCATCATTTGTTCTTGATTGTTCATTGTTAATAATTGTTTGTTCCCCATTTATTTATTTAAAAAAAATTATTAAAAATATATCTAAAAGTTAGCCCCTCGATTGCAATTTTTAATATTTTTTCGTCCTTAATTACTCGTAAATATTCATTTTCGATTGTTCTTATATAATATACGTTTGTTCTCTTTCGAAATTACTCATTTTTTGTTTAATTAATTGTATTAGTTGAATAAATGTATACAAAATATGGGTACTGCGCATGCCATAAGTGTATAATCTATGGCGCATGCGTCAACTATAATGCCTAAACTTTCTACGCGGTTTTAATCGTGAAAAAAAAACAATTATAAATCCTGAAGGATCAATTAATTGGTATACAGTTTAATTAAAAAAATTAAAAACAAAATAAATAAAATAATGTGCATTCGCGTAAAGTTAGACCAAATACATTTTTTNGAACAATCGAAAATGAATATTTACGAGTAATTAAGGACGAAAAAATATTAAAAATTGCAATCGAGGGGCTAACTTTTAGATATATTTTTAATATTTTTTTTAAAATAAATAAATGGGGAACAAACAATTATTAACAATGAACAATCAAGAACAAATGATGAACAAACGAATTAATAGAAAATAAGTAGAAAACAGGAAAAAAATTTTTTTTTGAGGGGCCAACTTCATTCACCCCACTCACATGCGCAGGAATACGCAAACCCGCAAGTGTAGGACGACATTTGCAAATGAACACACGTCATCTCGGATCCTCCCGATCCACTAACGGTGCTTTTAGGTACTTCAAGCACCGGTCACCGTTCTCGTCGAACCCGTCGCTTGCGACGAAGGGCTCGACGAGTAAATTAAATCTCAGACACAGCCCACTGAGTTTCTCGCCGGATCTTCTCAGTGGGTCGCGTTTCCGATCTGGTGGTAGATTCTGCGAAGCACGGCTCTTGCTAGGGTTCGTGTTAGCAACGTCACCAGGTTTGAGCCCCGTGAGCTCACCTACTAAAGTTAGGGTTACGCTGACATAGCCCCTAGGACTATCAGCTTAGGTAGGGAAAAAAAAAGCAAATGATTATGCAAAGTTTTCGCTGCATTCGTGGTTTTCCAAGCTGTGTCGGTTTTTTAACAGACATCAAAGCGCGCGAACCGCGAACCTTCGCGTAGTCTCCCACACATTCGTTTGCCCAGTTGCGCCGACGATTGCGAAGGTAACGGACGTTTGCCATTTTCATAGTTCGTGACGTCTACTGTGTAGCGTATCTTCATCAAAAGAAATCCCATAAAAACAGCATGGCTGTTAATGATGTCTGGGAAAGAATTCAAAACTCTTTTTCTCTTCAATGTTCTATTGATGAATTAAAAAGGAGGAGAAATTCGTGAGACATTCGTAAACAAGTGTAGGAGGAAGCGCAAACGGGTTCGCAAATTGAGTGTGCGAACCCATTTGCACAGCTTCTAAGTTTGCGAATGAATGTCTGACGGCCCTTCACATGCGCGCAAGCATTCGTACAATGTACGAATATTTGGGCGCATGTGGGAGGCCGGTATTACATACCACTACTAAAGATGGGTTAATACCGATATTTGTCAATATTAGCGAATACGAATATATTCATGTTGTAATATTATAATACCTTAACTAATGCGTGAATATATCCTGATATCTTAATATACTTCGATAAAACGGGTAAACGAGTTAAACCTAGTACGATATTCGTGAAATAAGTTAATAATCATAGATAATACACATAAATTAGTTATTAAATTAATATAAATAGTATATTGTATCTAGGAATTTGATTTCATACTAAATATTTTACAAGTAATATTATGTACATTAATATTAATATTATTATTAAACCAGAATTTGGTCAACATTGTACATTAATATAAACAACAAGTTAGTAATATTATTTATTTCTTATTGGTGCATAAAAACATCAGCTTTTTTACTTTTTCTACCAAAAGACCGGTAGGTCACTCAGAAATGAGTATTCCAGATTTCGAAAAAATCCTCTGACACGGTACTGAGGTGGCTAGTAGGTACACAACAGTTATATTAATATTATAATCCATGAACCGTTTGGTTAGAAAGTCGTTTCGATTCAAAAATCAAACTTTTATTTATAGTTTGAGAAGATCTTAGAAGATAATTAACTACCACCGCAAAAATATATTGTCATCATAATTTATTACGTAAAAACATTTAATGAAAATAAAGCTCACCGATTTTATTCCAATAAATGTGGAAATGCACTATTTTGTCTTGAGTAGAATCTTTAGTTCAAACATTAGTTATTTTCATTGCTCAGTATATAAACATGTAGATTATCTCACTTACTCTTAGCGCATACAGTGCATTGATATGAATGTGATAGACAGATATCCGCGAGACACGTACGGCGTATGTCAGTATATTTTCGTGTGATAGATACTTCGCTAGGAGTAACAGTGTCTGTGGATAGATACGAGGGCTGCACTAAAAGTATCGGGAATGGAATATTTCCACTGTTCCTGTCATATTAAAATCTTTTTAATTGAAAACTCCTTGGTTTTAAAAATTGAATACCATTTATTTATTTAAAAAAAGATTCTCGGTCTTGTCACGAGGTTTTGTCAAACTTGTTTAGTCGTTGAGAAAATGGGATTGACTCGAGAAAATTCAAGAGCGATGATTTATTAGGACTTTCGAAGTAGTTTAACACAAAAACAGTGTGTTGACCGGATGATTTCTGCATTTGGTGATGAAGCCCCATCCAAAACCACAATTTATCGCTGGTTTGCTGAGTTTCAAGGTGGACGTGTCAAGCTCAGTGATGATCCCCGTCAAGGTCGTCCAAAAACTGCAGTCGCCCAAGAAAACGTTGATGCTGTGCGTAAGCTGATTGAGGAAGATCGACATGTGACATACCGCGAAATTCAGGCAACTTTAGACATTGCCATGAGTCAAATACAAATAATCTTGCATGAACAATTAGGTGTAAAAAAGTTGTTTTCCCGATAGATACCGCATTCGCTCTGTGAAGAGTAAAAAGCGACTCGCGTTACTTGGTGCGTCAGTTCGCTCTGTGAAGAGCAAAAAGCGGCTCGCGTTACTTGGTGCGTCAGTTCGCTCTGTGAAGAGCAAAAAGCGGCTCGCGTTACTTGGTGCGTCAGAACTCTCGAAAGATTCCACGCAGGATCCTCAAATGCTGTATACAACATTGTATCAGGTGACGAATCCTGGATATACGCGTACGAACCCGAAACAAAAACCCAGTCACGAGTTTGGGTGTTCGAAAATGAGTTAAAGCCAACAAAAATTGTTCGTTCACGGAGTGTTGCAAAAAAAATAGTGGCCACGTTTGTCTCCAAAACCGGCCATGTTACGACTATTCCTCTTGAGGGACAAAGAACGGTTAATGCAGAATGGTATGCTAGCATTTGTTTGTCACAGGTCGTTTCTGAACTCCGTAAAGAGCAACCGCCGCATCATCCTTCATCACGACAATGCGAGTTCTCACACCGCGCACAGAACAAAAGAGTTTTAAAAGCAAGAAAACATAGAATTATTAGACCATCCGCCGTACAGCCCCGACCTAAGCCCTAATGATTTCTATACTTTCCCTAAAATAAAGAATAAATTGCGTGGACAGAGATTTTCATCACCTGAAGAAGCTGTGGACGCCTACAAAACGGCCATTTTGGAGACCCCAAGTCCCGAATGGAATGGTTGCTTCAATGATTGGTTCCATCGTATGGAAAAATGTGTCAAATTTCGCGGAGAATACTTCGAAAAGCAATAAATACATTTTTAAATAGTAATGTTGTGTCACTTCGTTAATTCCCGAAATTTTCAGTGCCGCCTAGGTACAACCCGACTGATGTGAGTTGGCTATTATTATGAATAAGTGAATACGGAATATTAGCATATCAGAATTCGACGGATTACCGATAGACGAATACAAGCTGTATTACGAATATCTTAGTGAATACTAGTATATTGGTATCACCCTTCACCACTACCTACCGTATTCACTTCTCTTAAAAATGTGTATAATCTATGCTTCACATTTTGACATTATATAAAAAAAAAACCTGAAGATTTCCTTTCCTGTACCTAGCTGTTTATTGTATGTAATCAAATTAAATTTAGGTTAAACTGAACTAAATATTTATAAACTGTGCAGAACGTAGAACTTAACATGGACAGCAAGACAACAAAAATGCCGAAAGTGGCAAAGGCACGTAAAAAGTGTTTGATGGTATTGTTGAAGAATATTACTCCAATTTTAACATGGATCTCACGATTTTTAGGTGAAGAACAAAGCACCAGCAGAAATCCAAATAACAGCTGAACAATTGCTTAGGGAAGCCAAAGAACGAGACCTTGAGATATTACCACCGCCACCTAAACAGAAAATATCTGATCCTGAGGAACTTCGAGACTACCAACATCGTAAACGTAAAGCATTTGAGGACAACATAAGAAAGAACAGACTTGTAAGTAAATTCAATTTATTAGTCGCTTACAATGTATAAATGACTGTTTTTCCTATTAATGTAATTGTTTCTCAGTTTTAAGACCATCCAATGCTTAGTTTTACTAGCCGATAGAGTTCACCAAATTAATTTCATTAATTGATTTCGTGCCATTACGATCCTTTGAACAATATAGGTTTCAAGCTGTTTCCACAATAAGAAGGGTACTAAACAATTTCTACTCAGAGCATTACTGATGAAAATCAGATGAGGATACTTTTATTTAGTAGTATTTCTTCAAGAAAACAACAAATAATATAATAATACCGAATTTTAGTTTAATGGATGTTTTGTTTTTGTTTTCAGGTTATTGGGAACTGGCTTAAATATGCACAATGGGAAGAATCACAAAAGCAAATCCAAAGAGCTCGTTCAATATATGAGCGTGCTTTGGATGTGGATCACAGAAATGTTACCTTATGGTGAGAGCTATAATTACAATTAACAATTTTATTTGAAAAATTATTAACTCATGTGTTCTTGGTACTGCCAGTGTTTAAACCATATGACTAATTATTTTAAAAAATATTTTTGAGAAATCTGTGGTGTTAATTTTTTTTTTTGCATTCTTGGCTCATCTGATAGTAATTGTTAGTCACACTACTGAGTACTCTTTGTAAGCCTCATTTGAACAAGGACATATTGTTGGATCACTCAAGACATGGGCTTTAGAACAAAATTCATGTCACAGTGAAGAAAAAAATGAATTCTTAAAGAGTTACCATACAAAGATCAGCTTATAATAGAATATATAAAAAAGATTTCTATGTCACTCTGTTCACATTACAACTTTATTTGGTTAGTAAACTTGTAGACAATTGTGGACGAAATGTTAAGATGTTTGATATACTTGTAATGACCAATACAACTATACTAGAGTTCATAGCCTTTGTGCTACCTAAAGCACCAATATATTTAAGGAAATACATACCCGATATGAAGAAATTTCATAAGTAAATAAGAACAAAGTGTCATTACAAAATTGATACTCTATTAATATATTGTGAACTGGCATGTAATATATCATCCTGCCTATTTCAACAGTTATGCATTTGGTTTGAATTGTCCAACAGTTGTTTTATAAAGGAATTGAGACTTCAATCTCAAATTGATGCCTATTCAGTCCAAGAGCCACTTATTTAACAAATAAAACAATCTGTACTTTGAAAAATCTGTAAAATTCATGGACTTTCTTGGTAAATTTCTTAGTTTTAACTGTTAAATTTGCGTCACTCTTCAATTATCCACACTACCTTAACTACCTGTACTTTAGGCTGTTATACCACACCAAAATATTCTCAGTGTTATCATGGGTTTTAGGCTGAAGTATACTGAAATGGAAATGAGAAACAGACAGGTAAACCATGCCCGGAATCTATGGGACAGAGCTGTTACAATTCTGCCAAGAGTATCTCAGTTTTGGTACAAATATACTTACATGGAGGAAATGTTGGAAAATGTAGCTGGAGCAAGACAGGTGATATTTTTTATACATGTACAATTTCTCGTATAATGATAATAGTCACTGACTGTAACTGAAACAAGGTTTCTAATTTACTTTTGTTTCACAGGTATTTGAACGTTGGATGGAATGGCATCCAGATGAGCAAGCTTGGCAAACATACATAAACTTTGAATTGAGGTACAAAGAACTTGAACGGGCTAGACAAATCTATGAACAGTTTGTTATGGTGCATCCAGATGTAAAGAATTGGATAAAATATGCAAAATTTGAAGAAAACCATGGTTTTATAAATGGCTCTAGGACAGTTTTTGAGAGAGCTGTTGAATTCTTTGGTGATGAAGAATTAGATGAAAGACTGTTTATAGCGTTTGCCAAATTTGAAGAAAATCAAAAAGAACATGACAGAGCAAGAGTGATTTACAAATATGCTCTGGATCATGTCCCAAAAGACAGAAATAAAGAACTTTATAAAGCTTATACTATTCATGAAAAGAAGTATGGTGATAGATCTGGCATTGAGGATGTAATAGTGAATAAGAGAAAGTATATGTATGAACAGGAAGTTATAGAGAATCCCACAAATTATGATGCATGGTTTGATTATATTAGATTAGTGGAGAATGAGGGTAATTTAGATGACATAAGAGACACATATGAGAGAGCAATTGCAAATATTCCTCCTTCAAAGGACAAACAATTTTGGAGGCGTTATATTTACTTGTGGATTAATTACGCTTTGTATGAAGAGTTAGAAGCAGAAGATTTAGATCGAACAAGACAAGTTTACAGAACCTGTTTAGAACTAATTCCTCATAAGATATTTACTTTCTCAAAAATATGGCTCATGTATGCTCAGTTTGAAGTGAGATGTAAAGATTTAAAGCAAGCAAGAAAAACACTTGGCATGGCTCTGGGCATGTGCCCCAGAGATAAATTATACAGAGGTTATATAGACCTTGAGATACAGTTGAGAGAATTTGACAGATGTAGAATATTATACCAGAAATTCTTAGAGTATGGTCCAGAAAATTGTGTAACATGGATAAAGTTTGCAGAGTTAGAAACTCTGCTTGGAGATACAGATCGCGCAAGGGCTATTTATGAAATAGCTGTAGGTCAACAGAGATTAGATATGCCAGAATTGTTGTGGAAAAGCTATATCGATTTTGAGGTATCACAAGGAGAAACTGAAAAAGCAAGACAGCTTTATGAAAGACTTTTGGAACGAACAGTTCATGTCAAAGTGTGGCTTTCATATGCTAAATTTGAATTGAATGCTGAAAATGCTGATAATATTAATGTTGAATTGGCAAGACGGGTATATGAGCGTGCTAATGATAGTCTAAGAAGTGCAGGCGAAAAAGAATCGAGAGTTCTTCTCTTAGAAGCATGGAAGGAATTTGAAACAGAAATTGGAGATGAAGTGAAACTTGAAAAAGTCCTTGCCAAAATGCCTAGACGTGTCAAGAAGAGGCAGAAGATTATTAGTGAAGCTGGTGTTGAAGAAGGCTGGGAAGAAGTATTTGATTATATATTTCCAGAAGATGAAATGGTTAGACCTAATCTTAAATTGCTTGCTGCAGCTAAGAACTGGCGCAAACAACAAGAAATACCTCAAAGTACACAAAATGAAAAGGATGATAATGATGAGGAACCAGGAACCCCTGAAGGACATCCTACACAAGATAGTTCAAGTAATGATGGGTCAACAACGGCAGAATAACATTAAGATAAAATAAAAATCCAAATAAAATCTATCTTTTATTTCTCTAATCTACATCCTCAGTCCTCACAGGATGTGATAATGGTATAACAGATTGTTTATTAATGTCTCTCGAACAGGCTTTTCTCATATCTGTAAAGATTAAGAAATTATACATTGGTCCAATAATAATAATAAAAAATATAAATTTTATGTTGAAAAACTAATTGAATAAGCAACTTGCCATAGGCATCTTCATCGGGATCTCCAGAATAATATTCTAGTACTGTACGATAAACAATGTAACCTAAGTTTTTATACATATTTATTGCTACTTTATTGCTCACTCTTACAAACAAATCCACAAAATATGCTTTTTTCCTGAAAAATAATAATAATAATTAGGTGATAAAGTAAAAAATTGAGTTTTTACCAACTTCAGCTGCCTCAAGTCTTAATGGAAAGTACTTTCATAGATAATTTGGTATTGAAGAAAATCAACATGCATGGTTGGTTGATATTTCTTTCATTAATTTTTAGTGATAGGAATTCTCACTTATGTTGCAAAATTGGAATGAAAATAAATCATCATAAACATCTTCGATCAACAATAGTTACTATTGTTGATCGAAGATAAACATATATAATTTTAAGTGGTATGTCCACATGTGCTCTTCATATTTTTCTTTTGATGGTCTACTTCCTTTAATTGCATTTAATGATAACAGCACTCACTAATATTGTTTCAAATTATACCTTACCAAGTAATCAATATTAATTGATCACAATAATAAGTTTCGCTCATATCTCAGATCAAAAAATATTTAGTGTACATCTCCCTTCTACGAGAAGCTGAAATAGTCCCTTTGGCTACCAGTGAATAAGGGAAAAAAGTACATAATATGAGCTTAGTGTATGCTTAAATACCCAGAGTTACTGGGGATTATGTTTTGACATTACTTTGGTTTTGATCATTACTATAATTTGTTTTTTGGAGAATTAATTTCTTCACATACTCACTTAATTTAAAATTAGACCACTGACCAGATATGTTTGGGATTGATTTTGTATTAAAAACAATACTAAAGCAAAACTTACTTTTCAGATACCTCTTCAAGTAAATTCATTAATGTTGCTGCAAGTCCAAGTCTTCTGTAGTCTGGACTTACTGTTAAGGCTGTAACATGACCATGCCAATTCTCACCATGACCTTCAGCTTTCCCCATTACTGAAATTTTAAATACTTTATAGACAAGCAGTGCCATTTGATATGGTCCACTTACATCACAGCAATAAATATTTGTGTCCATTACTACTATAATTAATAAAAAACTTAATTTATTAATTATTAACTTATTTTACTTCATCAAGAGAGAGAGTAGAGAATTCATCAAGATTTTGTGGAACCAGGTGGGAAGCTAAAAATAAGCATGGTCCAAGCTACAACTTTTGTTTTATTTTGTTTGTATAATTATATTATTATAGTATCTTTCACAAATATAGTGGACTAGAAACTGAGTCCTGATCTTGTTACTGAAGTCAGAAGTCAGAATTTCATCATAGATAAGCATTTTCATAACTTATTGAATTATGATTGTTTTGTGGTTATTTAATTAAATATGTATTTTAGTATTCGTTATTTATGTTTCTTTAATGTCAATTGAGGGGCCGTTCAAGTATTACGTAAGCACTATAGGGGGGCAGTTATTTGCTTTGCTTATTTTTGATGACATGGAGGATGGGGGGGGGGGTGGCGTTCTATATGGTCATTACCTCAGCAGTAGTTACATGTATTGGCAACCTACACATTGTCTATGCTTGAAAATGAAATGCATTCCCATAAATAATGAATATGATGTGTGTTAAAGTCCTCTATTCTATCCCTATTGTTATATTTATTTTCTAACTGCTGCATTAATCATTAAAAAAGAGAAAGAGAAAAATTGTACTGATGTTTAGATTGCATTGGGAGTCAGAGCTTTGTTTACTTTTGCTTAGAAGGGGAAAGGGGGTGAATTATTGTAATAAATCTGCTTATGTAATACTTGAATGGCTCCTAAGGATGTCCAGTAGAGAATGATTGCATTAGGTCCACATTTGTATAATGCATTGTTTAGGTCAGAAAGGAGTAAAAATGTTTATTGTCCAATAGGTATTTCTTGGATTAAATCCTGTATTTGTCCTTTATTTCAGAGAGTTGGACCATACAGATTTTTTCATTTTGTAGTTGGCTTTCACTATGGTTTTATTGGTAGTGTCCTGGTAAAACCTGAATTATTGTCTAAATAAAGCTACAATTAATCATGAAATAAGTTGGTAATTTGTTTACTTTGCAGTACATTGGTTAAAACACAAAAAACATACTGTATCCCATAATTTCTCCACTAGGTGATTCCACAACTTGAAAATATTCTGGCCAATGTGCCAAATATTGCGTGTAAAACGATAGGCCATATGTCTCTGTCAGCGGGTCTAGATTCCTGAAAAGTCAATAAAATTGTGCAGTTATTGATTTGTTATTCAGGACATTGTGAGTGAGATGATTTACGACGATAAAAGAAGAAATGTTCGTAGAAGTACGGCAAATGAAATTAAATCTAGATCGTGATCATGATAGTTAATTTGCCGAATACTGTGGGGACATTAATAGGTTAATCTTAGAAACCAAAAGGTTAATTTCCAACAAAACTTACACATTGTTAAATCTCAGCATATCTTCACACGTAAACGGTCGTAATGTTGTCATTTTCGTTTCTTAAATTATTTATGCACATACATACAGACGTTCAATTTATAAGTAGGTAGGTACCTTTAATTAATTATTAAATACTGTACCGTACCTACCTAGCAATATAATCATAGAATAAACACTTAATTTAATTGAGAGTACTGAAATTGAAACTGATAAGTGGTGTAATAGAAACCGTAGTGTTACATACGGTACCGGTAAAATGGGGCGATTAGGGATTGAAAGGCGAATCGGGACAAAACCGGGAAAATCTTTCGACGCTCAATATAAGTTTTATATTCGTTGCAAAATCTTCCATTTTTTTGTAGTTTAAAAGTAGAATGTTAAAAGTTCACAAAACAACTCTGAATATGCATGATAATAACTGCTAACTTATAAAAAATCGCGTTTGAAATTAACTTCCTGTGGTGGTAATTATTTTAGTGCTAGAAACTTTGCTCTCTTTTATTTATTTGATAATAATAGAAGACGACTATGATTTATAAACGTTATTTAGTGTTTGAACCAACATATATATTAAAGGTAAGTCTCAGTTGTTATTGGTTTTAATGTATTTGATTAAATAAAAATACATGTAAAAATCTGTTGTTTTTGGGGATATTGGGGACGTCTTAGGTACAAATAACAACGAAAAAGGGGTCAATTGGGATGAGAATACGTGAAATGGAAACGACCTAAGTATAAATAGGTACAGGTTTGTAGGGTTGTCTATGTAGTTATAACAATATTTTTTAAATTTGTTGGTAAAAATCTGGTTTATTCGAAGCGAAATTGGGAATAAGTCTTTAGTTGAAATAGATAAGCAATTTAATATAAGTAAGTCGATTTTGCAGAGACATGTAACAAGATCAATGAAATCTCAAGGTGGACAAAAATGTCTAAGTAATACATAATAAAATATTTAATATTTGTTCAGAGTGGGGGTATTCATCTGATTAATCCATGGAATAACCGACACACCTAATCTCTTAACCCAGATAGAAATATCAGCCCCTAAGTACTTACCAAGAACGGAGAAATATAAACCGTTTTTATGAAAGCCCACTATATATATATTGTTGTTACTGCACTGTCGATTGCACCTATAATTGAGGTGATGTCTGCCATGTACTTTTGTCAGTTTTTCAATTTTTTTTATTGATGATCACTTTGTTGGTGCAACTAAATAAATAAATAAATTAAAACTATATATAAAAATAAAAGTAGTGCCAACCCTAGCAAATTTCTCATTTCGTCCCAATTAACCGCAATTTTCGGGTAAATAGGGATTACACATATTTTTGCATTTTTTGCTTAAACTGGAATGCTAGTTGCATAATTTTAAATTAGACAACAAAGATGCCCCCAAGACTCAATCATTTTGATCCTGATATAGTATTATATACATCAACAACTACCTTAAAATTGCTCATAAAGTTGGAATTTGTCCCTAATCGCCCCATTTTACGGTACTCTTTGATAGAAACTTAAATTGTGTATAATCTATGATAGAAACATAGAATTTAAATTTTTTTAAGATATTTTATGTCCTGGTAACTAATACCTTTGATTTGGTCAATAGTTTGATTTGTTTTATTTTGTCTATTTAGTGTTTATTCAGGTTTAAATGTGTAATAACGGTGGTTTATTAACTATTTAGTATCTATGAAAGTGCACAAATGTGGGAAAATAAAACCACTGGACGTAGCTTCTCGGGATCCTACAAAAAGTCCACTGAAAAAGTCTCAGTAAATGACCACCATTTTATTGAGAGTACATTTCATCCCATATCATCTCATCTCATTTTATTTAATTTCACTCCAATATCATTTTTCATAAAATTATGAATATAAATTAAAATAAGACATGACCTTAAGGTCTTAGTTACCAGGTCATAAAATCTATTAAAAAATTTTTTTTATAGTGTAAGTCATAGATTTTAAAGTTCTGTAAGTGAAAAATGTGGTCTTGATCTTTGACTCTTTACCCCGCTAATAAATTTAGTAAAGTGTATGTATGTATGTACTACGACTTAATATTTATTTATTGAACCAAGGACATTGTTGTACCTACAAATATCATTAATACCTTTATTTAATAGTAAGCTTATTAGCCATGAGAAATGTGTAACTAATAGAAGTTTATTTAAATGACAAGTATGTTTTGTAATACCGCGCGATTAGCCCACTTCGGTGAGTTTTTTAATACTTCATTTAATCTACTTAAAATATTTGGATATTACTCATGATGACTATGTTTATGTTATATATATTCATTAAAGTATACATCGCTTAAATAGGTACTATGTTATTTCAGGATTAGGGCGTACTTGTCGTTTCGTTTACAAATCTGCAGTTAAAGAACCAGCACCAATTAAATGTGTAAGCAGTCAAATAGCATATTTAGAATCGGAACTCGAGAAAAGTTCATTTAACTGGAATGAATTAAAAAAGAACATACTCTTTGAAAGAGGAAACATTAATGAGAAAAATTTTGAAGGAGTTCTCCTGAAGTTTATGGTACAAAGAAAAAAGTTTGATGCTGCAAACTCTTTTGTTTGTTATATAAATAAAAAAAATGAAGAACTATCTTTAGGTGCAATAAATGGACTTCTAATGCTCTATTATGAAATGTCAAAAGAAAATAAATTAATAGACGAAGGAAAAACATTTATACTTAAAACATATAGAGACTTATACAAAAAGTATAAAGTTCTAGATTATACAACAAGTGAGAAGCTTTTACATGCACTATGTTGTATAGGAGAGTGGGAAAAGGCTTTGAAAGTTTTAGATGAAATAAATTTAAGTAGTGTTCCATCACATTCTGCTTACAGTACAGTGATCGCTACGCTTTTAAAGTTGAACAAAAAGAAAAAATCTATGGAAATCATAGAAAAAAGTATACTTGCAAGAAGACCTCTACAGGATGACGCTTATGATGCATGGATTGATTACATATTAAGAAAGTACAAAGATAAGAAAATTATAGAAAAATATGCAGATGAGATATGTTTGCATATTATAAACACGTACTCAACTATTTCTGAAATCACAGCTAATAAGATTAAAGACTTGTATAGTTCTTTAGGATGGAAAGCAAATTACACAAAAATTACCAAATATAAGTAAGTAATTGTAATGAAATGTTATGTCTGGGTTAATTCATCTAATACATAAAAAAAGGGTTTTCCAACACTAATGTCTTCCAATAGGTGACTGAAATATTTCAAATGCCATTAGGTACTACTTCAACAAAATAATATGTTTGATAAGCTAAGTCAAAACACTTATTGTTTTGTGTTTATAATAAACTTATAATTAATCAGTTAAATTCCCATTATATCATCTATTTGCTTTTAAAACATGATACAAAAATATATATTAAATTCACATCATATAAGAAATTTTGATAAAAATCTTAAATTTAAGTATTTATTAACTTTTAAATTTACATTACATACATTTAAATTTCAGTGGTCGATGTCAGAGCTGCAGTAAAACTTTAGACTGTTTAAAATTGTCAGATGAAGAATTCAAAACACTTCAAAGCAACATCAAAGACAAACTGATTATAGGTTCAGATTTATTCCTGAAAACGTCACCACAGGAGTTGGAAAAGTTCCTGAATTTTATAGAGAAAACTGGACCATATGATATAATTTTGGATGCTCTAAATGTCTCATATTCTATTGGAATGCATTCTCAAGCGACAGGGGCAAAGGCTTTACATATTGTAGTAGAATATTTCTTAAACCAAAATAAAAAAGTATTAATATTAGGTAGGAAGCACATTTTGACTTGGAAAAAGAATTTAATAGGAGACATGCTATCAAAAACAAGCAGTTTCTTTACAGATAACTTGTAAGTATAAATTTACTTTGACATTTATGAAATTAACTGTTTAAAATTAGATTTAAATTTAATAGCTGTGAAAAATTGTGGTTGTGAAATATTTCATCTTAAGAAGTGATGTGAAAAAATCTAAAGTACCGACTGCTTATATTTATAAACGGTATGTTTTCAGATCACAAGATGATCCGTATATCATAACTGCTGCCATATTCAGTGGTTCTCATACAGATATAGTGTCAAAGGACCTGTTACGAGGACACATATTTAAATTGCAAGATGAGTATTTGAGGATATTGTTCAAGAGGTGGCAATGGCAACATCAGTGGATGTTGTTTAAAACGAATAACAAACATGGTTTAAGAATACAGGTAATATTTTAAATAAGTCTTAGGTGCACTTAGTTGAGTGAGGGCAAGTGAATTTGCAAATTTGCATACACAGACAAACAAACACAAAGAGCATTGTGTCATGACAATTGTTTATTTATTGTTGTTTTCAATTGTATTGGGTTTTGGTAACTACTTAAAACAGGTGGGCCATGAACTTCATCACTTGTCTGCAATAAAAATATGCTACTATACTTTAGTACAGTAATATTTGAATAAAATTAGTTATAATAAACAACACACAATACTCCATTTGTATCTCTATGATTATTAAGAGTATCATCAGCGATAGAAATCAATTGCTAAACGTCACATCCCTAGTTATGTGGTACTGACAGATGTCAATGTCTTACAGGTTATTGTAACCCGCGCCATGCTACAGCGCACATAGTATAGTATTTGACTTGCGCTATAACATAGTAAAGAAAGGAATAGCATCGTGTAATAAAAATCAAACCCGCAAAATTATAATTTGCGTAATTACTGGTGGTAGGACCTCTTGTGAGTCCGCGCGGGTAGGTACCACCACCCCGCCTATTTCTGCCGTGAAGCAGTAATGCGTTTCGGTTTGAAGGGTGGGGCAGCCATAACTATACTGAGACCTTAGAGCTTATATCTCAAGGTGGGTGGCGCATTTACGTTGTAGATGTCTATGGGCTCCAGTAACCACTTAACTCCAGGTGGGCTGTGAGCTCGTCAAACCATCTAAGCAATTAAAAAAAAAAACAATTAAAGGAACCTTTCTTACCTAAACACACAAAACACTAAATTAACAAAATAAAGCAATTCACACAACTGCGCTCGCGTTCCCGCAAAAAGTCCTGTCACCTCTAATTTATTTTCGTTATTTGATTAACCATAGATTAGGTTATTCGATTAACCATTTATAATACAATATGTACTATGCGAATTTCATATTTAACGTTGCAATAGTCTGAGTGAAATGAGTTTTTATTGAACTATGGAAAGCTAAACAGCCCTCCATTGATTATTTTCAGCCGCCACTAGTATTCACACCGTGCCCGCAAAAGAACAATAACAGTTGGCATCTTCCTTATAAAGGCGAAGATGAAGAGTTGGGACTAAATATTGTTAATGATGGGACACCAAATCTAAATAACTGGTTGTGTTTAACACCAAATTGACGATGGGACTAAATATTGTTAATGATGGGACACCAAATCTAAATAACTGGTTGTGTTTAACTCCAAATTGGCGACGAATTAAAAAGTTGATTTTACACATCTTTTTTTGTTTTACTTTACAATTACAGTGAGATATTGTAATGGTGATATAATGTAATTATTGGTCAGTCTTCCGCCTCTGGAATGAACTGTTTTCCATGTTGTTCCCTTAGTACTTATTGTCATTTTCATCTGACAACCATAACATATACTAAAGATCAGTTTGACTTCCTGGAATGCGGACATCATTGACGGTGCGTTTACAAAGAACTATTTAGCTACTTCGCATTTGGCTCTGCAATGATTTCCCCTTCACGGTTTCCTGAAAGACGGTGACTACTTATCACCACGGGGGTCATATGCTTGCTTACATCCGCAGGCAATGAGAAAAAAAACTTTAGGTGCTCCTTTTCCTAGGGTTCGAGTTACCTGGAAATAGCTCAGCAGTCCCTAAAAATTAAAATTGGCCTATACCTTTTTTAACGATTAATATTTGTTACATATTTGTTCCGATATTGACATTATACGTCATTGTCTATTTTTTGTTTGGTGTCGCAGTAGCTAAATTACCGTACAAAAAAGCAAATCATGCCTAAAACTGGAAAGAAACTTGAAAATAAACCGGAGCCATTGAAAAGTTCTAAACCGGAATTGGCAACAGATTCCGAACAGAATGTTAAAATTTTAAAAAAGGTGGATTCAGGTGAGTTGTAATTACCTACAGTGCGTTTGTGTTAGGACAGCTAATTTACGAGAAAAAGATTTTTATAACCTTTGTAAACAGTCACCCTACTTAATGTTAAGTAGTCACCTTAGCTTAAGAAGTGCCAGTTAAGCCGCTGCCTACTCGACTTGGAGATTCAAATTTATCATTCATAAGTGATGACAGCTCAATCGGTTTGCCTCAATTCTTTTTTAATGTGTTCGTAATTGCCAAAACCAGATTTGTATCGTAGAATAGTCTTGAAACATTCACAGACTTAGCGAAAGACAGCGAAGCGTGACCGGGTTTCACAAGTCAATCATTTTCAGATTAATTTGTTTTATTTTACTGTAGAAGGAAGTAACCAGAAAATACCACCACGCTTACGTCGTAACATGGAGCGGGTGGAAATGTTGGCACGGCCAACGGCTCGTCGCCTGCGCTCTTTATGGGACGAAAAATGCGCAATTTTGCCTCCCGAAAGAAGAGACAAGATTAAAAGCGCTTTAGAAGAAGATTATTTTCTTAGTCCCGAGTGAGATTTATTTGTAATTAGTGCTTAATTATTGATGATATATTACTGTAACATGATAATCTAGTATAACCCCTCGAGGTTATTATAATAGGTAGGAAAAAAAAGTACCTAACACGTTTTTTTTTCTGTTATTATTATTATTATTCAGTCTGGTGTAGGAGCTCACGGTCTATCTGGTGTTACTTACCCTAATCAATAGACACACGGGAATGCCACGAACCTTGAAAAATGAGGTTGAAGTCTATTATATTAACCGGAGTCCAGTACATATTGGAACACCAAAATAGTGGCATCGATTAATACGAGTGCACTTCTTAGTGTCATAGGCCACGACGACTTTACCATGACTTTACAAGTGACAAATTCATTAGATATAATCGATGTACGATTTTTATCTGATATAATTCAAAAGTCGTTGCTCATATACAGGCTATACAAACTAGGCTGGGGCCCTTGGGCACACAAGAATTTGAGGCCCTTTTGGAAAGTAAAAAAAGCGAATTATAATAATATTTTTTTACTGAGTATGACCATTTATTATAGGTAATCAAATACAGTATGATATAATAATATTAATTATATTAGAATGCTGCTGGTTTTTTGGTTACGATTACGATAATGGTTTCTTTCGGGATTTCTGTTGAGCAAAATATTCCATTATATTTTTAAAGTAAATTTTTTGAAGGATATCACTTTCTATGCGCATAATTGACAAATTACTCAGCCGTTCTTGTAACATTGTTGTTCGCAATTCATTTTTTATTCTCTTAAGCTGCGAAAATGACCGCTCTCGACTACAATTGGTAACCAAATTGTTAGTCCTTCGGGGGCCCCTGAGAATGGGGGCCCTGGGCACGGGCCCCGTGTGCCCTTATGGTAAAGACGGTATTGCTCATATACCTAGGTGATTTGGGATCGGTCTTTCTCAAAATCTTGTTATAAATGTAGGCAAACTGAACAGTATTTTCAAGCGTTGAGTGAATCTTCGAAACGTTGGTCGGGACCAGGCGGAACGGTGACCCGCAAGGAGCTAATCGATAAACAAAAAGAGCTTCAGCAACGACAGAAATGGCTGGTTAATTTCAGCGCACAGGTTATATTCATTTAATTAATTTATTAATGGACTCGGTTAATATTACCTACTATGCAGCCATAAGAACATCTAAATTAGGGATGCCTTCTATATGTTACATTTATTTTGTGTTATCTGTAGGCACTACTGGTACCTAGTAGGACCTCTTGTGAGTCCGCGCAGGTAGGTACCACCACCCTGCCTATTTCTGCCGTGAAGCAGTAATGCGGTTCAGTCTGAAGGGTGGGGCAGCCGTTGTAACTATACTTGAGACCTTAAAACTTATACCTCAAGGTGGGTGGCGCATTTACGTTGTAGATGTCTATGGGCTCCGGTGACCACTTAACACCAGGTGGGCTGTGAGCTCGTTCACCCATCTAAGCAATAAAAAAGGCATCGCTACATAAATTTTTATTTTTAACAGCATTTGAACTAGCTGTATCAATAAAATTAACAAAATTGCACACGATTGCGTAAGAAAGAGTGGGTGCGTGGTGGCTGCATCCTCTGTCTTAAATTCCATGCATACTGCATCATCTGTCTAAAATTGTTTTAATGGTATAGAAATCATAAGTCATTAAGTGCGTACTTTTTTGTTCTTTGACAACTACCCAGCACCTAGAATGGTTAAATTTTAATAAATCCAATAAAAAAGAATCAAAAGACGAATTTCTTGTTTGAAAATTACTTACTTATTTGTACTTTTGGACATAAAATATTTCATTTTTAAAAATGTGATATTGTTTTGTAATCGTATCAATTAGGATCGCCTGGTTCGTTGGACTTGTGCTAAGTACCAAAATATTTCTTCTGGGAATTGACATCTGCATGCGTTATTAAAAACGTATCGCTCGATACGAATATCGTTTAGGCATTGTATTCTTTAGACGACGACGACTAAAAACGAAATAAAAGCTGCTTCACATGTTTAAAATGCATTACTCTAACCTTTAATTTAAAAACGTTAAATTTTTAAATGATTATCTGAGTATTATGTGGTTCTCAAATCACAGTCTGTCCTACCTTTTTATGTCCAAGAAAAATATGCTTGTGTTCCAACCTGCATGTACGAATATCCCATTAAAACGTATGACTTCGTAACAGCATTATTATAACGTTTTAAACGTTGACACACCCAGAACCCACGGGCTTTTGAGTTGCGAAGTAAAAAAATAAAATTCGTATTTATTTAAAGGTGGCATACCACTTGTGTGATTACATAGCAAAAGGTCAAAAGGAGATGCTAGTATCGAACAGATTGAGAAGCATTGCTGACGTTGTGCTGGAGAGAGTCGCTGAAATATTGGGTTCGTATATCTTTATCATTTAAAACGATCAACTAAATAGAGTATGTTAGGTAGGCAGCGGTAGGCAGACGCTTGGCTCTGCCCCTGGCATTGCTGAAGTCCATGGGCGACGGTAACCAATCACCATCAGGTGGGCCGTATGCTCGTCTGCCTACAAGGGCAATAAAAAAAATGTTAATAAGGTTTATGTAATATCGATCGCTTCCTTAGTGGAGTTAACGACTATGGAAGGATTACATTTCCGGTTGAAATCGATACCTTTGAAAGATATTTGGTACCTATCCGGTGTTTGGTTGTACATCTTCTGGTCTTGTTTGTTTTTCTACTATCCACAATACAGGATTAAATCCTAAAATATGGCCCTTAAAAGAGTAGAGGAATAGTTAAAATTTTAACATAATTTTCTTATCTTAACCTGTACTTAATTATTTAGCTACGTAACAGAACATTTTGACTAATCTCGAAAAGGTCCGATTAATTTGAAATCAGGGTTGACGAAAATACTGCCATTATATATTTTTTTTATTGCTTGGATGGGTGGACGAACTCAAATACAATGTAAATGTCGCCAGCCACTTTGAGATATGACTTCTAAGGTCTCTGTATAGTTACAACGGCTGCCCCGCCCTTCAAACCGAAACGCATTATTGCTTCACGGCAGACGCATTATTGCTTCACGGGGTGGTGGTACCTATTTGTGCGGACTTACAAGAGGTCCTACCACTAATAAATAATATTGTGATTAGAATTACCACATTAAAAAATATATCATTTTAATTTTCGGCGTGCGATTGAACCGTGCTATTTAAGCTTCAAATACTTGATATCTTATTATTTCTATAGGAGAACCGAAACCGTCTCGGTCGAATCCAGGACGTCTAGCAAGATTTATGGTGGCTATTTCCGATCGCATTGCTGTCTGGATTGAAAACGCAGTGTATCGTGCCGATGCACTCGAAGCCTTAGAATACGATGGGCACGATGAACACATGAGACTTGATGCCGAGAAGCCTTTCTTTTAGATGAAAAAGATAAGGGATAGATTTGAAAAAATATTAAGTCGAAATTGAAGATATTTGAAAATAACAAAGTATTATAGCCTTATATTTTATATGTATATGTATCTGAAGAAATATAAGTTAAAAACTAAGAAAGTGTCATTTTTCCGCCACTAGAGTAATTGTAAGAAAGTTTTTTTTCTTCACTCACTTCATTTCAGCGTAACCTTAACTAGTAGGTGAGCTCACGGGGCTCAAACATGACGACGTTGCTAACACTAACCCTGGCAAGAGCAGTGCTTCGCAGAATCTACCACCGGATCGGAAACGCGACCCACTGAGAAGATCCGGCGAGAAACTCAATGGGCTGTGTCTGTGGGTTAATTTAGTCGTCGAGCCCAGCGACGGATTCGACGAGAACGGTGACCGGTGCTTGAGGTACCTAAAAGCACCGTTAGTGGATCACGAGGATCCGAAATTACGTGTTTTGGGCGACGTCGACTGCTTTCCATTCTGTCCGCAGGATCGGGAATGTTTTTTTAGTAGGTAACATTCCACAACGAATACTAGAAATTATTCTGAAGTATGTAGTTCAAATATCATATTTTTCTTCATTTTGAAACTGAGACAGGCTGTCTTGCTCCACACCTTTGCTTTCGACAGCTTTGCCTTTTCTCGATTCTCCTGTACCGCTCGCTCTGTATGTTTTTAGTCCAATATACAATCTAGAGGTCAGTGCGACAGTTAATTGAATGCAAATCCATAACTCAACGTGATACCAGTTCTTAATTAATGACAAATATAAAACTCGTTGAATTGTTTTAAATAATTCCAAACGCCTACAGTCTAGGTTTATAAAGGTAAAGGAGGTATTTAAATTACCTAAGTCAATTAAATGGCTTCGTTTGGTTTATGCTTAAAGACAAAGTTATGAATATTTTTTTTAGATGGAAACCCTTTTCTTGAATTGCACTCTTTTTCTTGGCAAATCCCTCATCATTATCAGTCTGTATCTCTCCACTGCTGGATGTAAGCCTCTCCCATAATCCGCCACAATGAACGATCTTCCGCCTTCCACATCCAATCTTCTCCAGCATATCGCCGCAAGTCATAGGACTCGATCCATCAAAGAAACTCCGAGCATACCTCTCCATAACACGCTGAGCGACTTTGAACTTACGGACCAGATCTACGGCAAAGCCCTCACATGGGTGATGTTAGTACCTGAAACTCTAATTTTACAATGTTTAAGCTGGGAAAAAATAACGCTTTTTATATTTTGCTTTTTATATTATATTCTATATGTAAAAAGTTTTTGTTTTAGGTGTCAATAAAATATGAAGATATTTTTTGTCTACTAAATGTCAAAAACAAATTTAAAGAGAAAATGTTTAATATATGAATGAATTAAATCTTCTTCGATTCTCCGTCTGAGTGGCTTAGTGAGAGATATCAAGTTGTTCAAATGTCTTGTACTTGTATGTCTTGTCAGCGTCTAGGCATACTGAGATCTTGGGCAAGTTGAATGTGCAACGTTTATATGTATTAAAATGCAATTCAATCTGCTAACAATTGAAACCTCTAAAGTAGCTATTATAATATATATCAAAATAATACAAAATATTTGCAAGCTCAACCTGGTCTCATCGCTAGTCTTTAAGGGAAGCATCCATTCTCAATAACTTAAATCAATCGGATCTTCTATGACAAAAGCTGCGCTCAGTGCAAAGGCTACTCAGAAATTAAACAAAATTTGAATCATGAATCTGTTGGATATAAATGTTCTATTCTATTCCTAATCTAAGCAAAAACAATCAGGTAGTGTAATAGTAATAATTATGAGTTCGCATAATGACCACAGCGAGTCATATTATATAATATTTTTATACAATACAAGTATTTTGATTAGGTATTCAGATGTAGGGTTTGTTGATGACCTTCTTGAATCAGTATATATGCGTTTGATTTCTGTGGAACTTCACAGTTTACTCTTCGGGAACGATGAAATACTTCGTAAGTACCTATTTTTTTATTCGATTCATTTATTTTTCATCCTCTAAATTTTACACATTATCTAATTATTGCTTGTGTATGTATACCTATTTCTTGAAATTGTACTTAAATGTACTAAATAAGAATAAAATAGTTCAGTTCTTTGTTTTTGACGCTTCGTGAAATGTAAACACTAGCTTAAGCCACAGGTAGGAGGTAGAAGGTAAAGAAAAGTTTTTTCCAATTAATTAGATATTATTATTATGTCTCGCAGTTTTACGAGTACTCGCGTGAAGTTAGGCCTACAGGCCTACACTTTCTCCATGGCCGACATTTAAATGAGATAATTTAACCGTTTGTTGAGTCTGATAATGAACTAATAAAATATAAGTTCAATCATAAATGTTTTAATAGTTTTTGCATTAAGCTGAAATAAACACTGCCTAAACACAAATTTAATGAAAATGTTTTTGGAACGAAGTTCCTTATGGGACGATGCGGAGGGGTACCCCTCCGCATCGTCCCATAAGGAACCGGGACAAAACGTCCATAACGTAGGATTTTTATTAGTAATGCACACAGTGTACGTCTTAACTTTGTAATAACGTATAAAAAATAACATATTTTTTATCATTCATTGACCATGATCTCAGAGCGTTCGTTTGCGCAATACACTAACTCTTATGCAAGCAACCGTTAATGAAGTGTACCACAATAAGTTCGCACGTTACCGAACGACCGTGGGTTGTTGCGAAACCTCCAGTTTTATTTTCTTTATACCTCGAATATAATTTTAAATTAATATTTTTATAATAAGGAACTTCGTTCCTATCCGGTGTCCCACGATACCACACATCTTTTTTGTTTAAAAACCAGTCGTCCATCTAAAACAACAAATCATGATTTTTTGTTGTTGTTATCTTTAATTTAAACAATTACAATTTCTTTAGTTGCATGTGAGTCTACCTTAGTGGTATTATTATCTTTATTAAATATCCTACCTAAGACAGGTTTAAAATCCTACCGTGACGAACAGTCAGAAAATTGCTAACACAATTTTTGAAACTTCGAATAAATAAGTTGCTTAAAATTTTCGTGGTCACTGACTCCGAGGACAGATTAAGTCGTTAAGCTCAATTTGATAAGTAAGCACAACTCGCGAGATCTTAAAAAAATAAAAATTCCAAAAAAATCTTCCCCAGTTGATTTTCCTCGTGGTGTGCGTGGCGATGGCTGCCGCTTCTCCCCAGGTGGTCGCAGCGTGGCCTGGTATCGTGCCTGGCTTCGTCCCGTATCCTGCAGCTAGGGTAAATATTATTTTGCTTAGAAAATATCAACATCATTACCTGTTTATATCAGAGAACAATGGTAAGTTAAGGCATATTTTCATATTTTTTTTCAAGAAGATAATAAAAAAGGGTTTTGTTATGTAGTAACAATTGATCTGTGCATAAGGGTCGGGTTTCAATTGACATTTAGATATTAAAGTAGACGTAATAGTCAATATTCTATATTAAACGCAAGGCTTACTTACAAGTCGATCTTGAAGAAAACAATCTAATTTAATAAGTCCCTTTTCTTTCATGTTTACAACAATTGTTGTATGGAATAAAAACTACCGTCATTTTTGTGTGTAATTGTTCCTATCGTTACAGGATTGCCTAGAAGATATCACTCTAACCTTCACACGTCGAATTGTCACACTTTTTCATTGTTATTTTAATTACGTACTTACATATTACGTTTTTATGTATTTAAATGGAAATCATAGAACCAAAAATATATGAAGTAAAAGTAAAAGCAAAAAAGGTCCCTCTCTATGGCACGTTACAATCGATGTACGACTATAGCATAAGCCAAGGAGGTTGACGACAGACAGCTTGCCAGTTGTAAAACTCATGCCAAATCCAGCCGCATGATAAAAGGACATGCTACGCCAACCCCAGACAATGGGGATAAGGACATCAAGAAGAAGATGAAGTTAAGGCGCCTCTTGAATTAATGCAAAACAAATTAAGACTAGGTATTTTACTAACCAAACTTCAAGCGTCATATTTGTATGTGAACATGACAGCGCTTTAAGTTAGTGCCATAACTACTTTATCCAGGATTTGTTGTGAAGTCTATGTTTAAAATTTGCCCATTGACGATGGTTTCGTAATTCTAGTTACACTAATGCGTCACAATTGCAAAACGATTGATTTTTTTCCCAGACCCTGGTAGCTGGTCCCACAGTTGTAAACAGCGCTTTCGGTCATTACGTCGCCCCGGGATACGTTGGACCGGCAATCATCTAAATCCTTCATCGTGTAATAAACATCATGAATCGGCAGTGTACCCTTGGCTTGTTAACCATATATATTGTATAATAATAAATTGGTAAACTTACTATGAAATTTTTTTTTTTCTTCCTGTTTTTGAGGAAAATATTTATAACAAAGTGAAGATCTTCCGATTCGTTCCCGTCCCGTAGGTTTTTCCAGTTTCACCAGAACAGGTGGGCGAGTACAGGCTCAGCCAGAAGGGGTGGGATTTGCTAACAGCTGCCCGAGCGCCTCCGAAGTAGACCTAACAACTCAAGAGCAACTGCTTCGCGAATGAATCTACTACCGGATCGGAATCGCGACCCGCTGAGAAGATCCGGCGAGAAACTCTGTGGGCTGATGTATGAGTTAGATTGCACGTCGAACTCTTTGGCCAGTTTGACGAGTATGGTTACCAGAGTCTCTAAGCCTGCTCCTTGTGCTAGAGCTGCAGGCGTGATAATGTTTGTGGATCGGATCAGTAAGAACGTGTCTAGATTGTCGACAGTAACTGGGTCCTGCGTGAGCCGGAGTCGGAGAGTAGTCATATCTGGACAATCCGAACAACCGTCTTCGGTAAGGAGCTAAGTGGAAGATACTGGCACTTGGGACACCCAGCCCTGAGACGCAAACGACACCCTTATGCATTTACTTACTACACAGAACCTGTGTATTGTATTGCATAAGTCTTCTTTGTTGATCAGCATAACAAGAAAAACAATTTAAAATAGATTTTATATTATTTAGTACTAGCGACCCGCCCTCGCTTCGCTTCGGAAACATTAAATTTTATTATTGAATAGTTGAGTCCCGCGATGTTACCCGCGGTTAGTGTCGTATCGCTGGTGACGCCGCGGGGCGAAGCTAGTCTAAAAAAAGTAGCCTAAGTTACTCCTTATATCATCAGCTACCTGTCAGTGAAAGTCCCGTCAAAATCGGTCTAGCCGTTCCAGATATTTGCCGGAACAAACAGACAGACAGACAAAAATTGTAAAAAATGTTATTTTGGTGTATGTACCGTATGTATATACTTATATATTTACATGCATGTAGTAAAAAGCGGTTATTTCAATATTACAAACAGACACTCCAATTTTATTTATATGTATAGATAGATTTTTATCACCACCATCCAATGCCGAGACTTTAATTATGGGTGGTTATGTTCGATACGGAAATAGTTGAAGAGCGTAGATCAATCTTTGATCTACAAAACAAGCGAGCCGTCGCGCGCGCTCTGTTTGATTACCTTTCAATTTACTGTCAATCTAACAATTATTAGAGCGAGCTGTCAGTAATGGTGTAGGTAGGCGCATTGTATTTTCTAGAATATTCAAGAGTCATAGACGTAATAACAAATTGCGAAATAAAGTAATTAAATACGCGATTAAATTACCTGAACGGGAAGGCGGGCCCATAGCAAACCCGCTGCCAAGTAATAGTCGAAACTCATGGATACCTCAATTTTAAGACTATCCTATCATGAGACCAAAGTTTATTGCGATCAACAGAGGATCGGCACTGGTTCAGACGGCGGATTTTACCCAAAAAAATGACTGCTTTTAGTCAATAGGGCATTTCAGCTCAATCGATTATTGCATACATTCAAGGACGGTGAGGGTGGGCCTCATACTCCTGTGATTGAAGAATCCGTCTTTAACAGATTTCCTGTAGGTTAGCCAAAGCTAACCTAAAGTCGCTTATAGCAGCATCTTTATAAAGCCCTTGTATAAGTTCAAATGCACTGCAGGTGCTCCTAGAAAGCAACAGAGAGATTGTGATCATTAATACGTGCTTGTTTGAATGTTTTTAAATATATCTTACTATTATATATTAAGCTACTATACTACTATTTTTACTAGTGGTAGGACCTCTTGTGAGTCCGCACGGGTAGGTACCCCACCACCCTGCCTATTTTCTGCCGTGAAGCAGTAATGCGTTTCGGTTTGAAGCTTAGTGGTTTGAAGGGTGGGGCAGCCATTTTAACTATACTTGAGACCTTAGAACTTATATCTCAAGGTGGGTGGCGTATTTACATTGTACTTTTTACCAGACAATAAAAAGCATACGCGATTGCAATTAAAATGCACAAATAGAAAAACAAACAACTGGATATACGGTCTAATGTGAAAACTATTACGACGCCCAGTGCAGACTGTTTGGTTCTGACGTAAAATAATACAATAATTTCAAGTGAATGACGTTATAAAGCTTGACGCTCGAATCTTTGCGGGCGATCCAAAGTGATAGTAAAAGTGGTCGGTCCGGAAAAAAAGACCAAAAATGTCCAAACGAGCTCGGAATGTCCGACATAACCGATCTCATTACATGACACTGTCAACGGAACTGTTCGTTGATGCCGCGCGATCTTAGAGTAAAATTCTGTGCCGAGCTGTTTTTTTTCTCCATTACTTAAATAACAGCATTTTTTTTTTTTTTTTTATTCAACATTAACGAAAGTACATACTTGTTGAATGTCAAAAGAACTGCCGCCAATTCACAAAAACTAGCCTCCTTACTGAGAAGAACTGGCAAGAATATGTGGGCATGTCTTTTTTTTTAAATATTAGATATTTTTTAAATATTCATTTTTACAATGAGTATTATAACGTAACAATTATTGCAATATTGAGCTGGAGGTCTTAGATAGCTGGGCTCAGTGACCGAGAGTTGCCTTGTTTAGATTAAAACAAAAAAATAACGACCGAGGATTAGCAGACGTGCGTTCACAGTACTCACCATAGACATAAAAGCAAACATGTTTTTTTATCGCTTAGTAAGTGGCTAATGGAGCCTATAGACGTGTTAAGTCAGCCATTTTGAAACGTGAGTTCTAAGTATGAGTTTTATAGTACAAAGGCTGCCCCGTCCTTCAAACTGCATTATAACTTCACGGTAGAAACGGGTGCGGTTTCAATACAGACCGTGCAGGCTCAATACGCCATACAAACAATATCTTAAAATTAGTTAAAAAAATTTAAATTGATCTGTTAATTCCCTAAATTCTTCGACTAGACAACGATAAACGCATTATGTTTCTCTTTTAATGCCCGATAGTAAAGTACAGTGAAAGAATTTTAGAAACTCGTATGATCATCAACTTTTTGGTAAAAAAAAATTGAGTAACACGTAGGTACATACATGCTCATACCGTGTTGATGAAAACATTAAAACAAAAAAAGTTGGATTATATTAAAATTTGAAGAGGTGTGTGATTCATTTGTGATTTTGTTGTGACGATTCAACGTAGAAAGGCTTGGAAAGACACATAGAACGGAAGAACTTGTTACATAATAATCGTTTAAGTTTCGCCAAAAAACTGTTTGTTTATCTTCAAAACTGTCACTGTAAAAGGATAACCGGTAAAACTTGCGTAATGTATATTAAAGGTACGAAGCGGTTTAATTATACCGGACTTACTGTAAAAACCTCTTTCATTGCGTGAAATCTGTGTTACCCCTGAAAAAAATCATTCATCTCTTTGTTAAATTTCTGCAATAAATTAAATTCAAACCTGTCGAAATAAACATCTTCGAATTCCCAAAAAAAGAAACTTGAGACAAAACTTAATTGGATCACATATAAATTAATTTAATATTCTTTTCTTTAAAGCGTATCTAACTATTTTGTATCTAACTTATATCTAACTATATTATTATACGGGATCGAAGCAGCTCGTTGTCATAGAGCGCGCGACGATTCCAACTTAATTTATTCTTAATTTATTTAATTCTTAACTTAATTTATTTATTAACTTATTCAAAATTAATTTCTAACGAAATCTCGAAGTTGTTTCTGGAGAAAATCTACTAAACTACTACTTGAAGCCCACAGACGTTCACTGCTTGACATAGACCTACCCAAAGGTCCTGTAATGACCGGTTCTGGGCTGAATTGAACTCTATACCCATAACAATAAATAAAAAATTTAGTATTCTTAAATTTTATTTATTCATTTATTGTCAAATCTGTCACCGTCCTCGCCGAAAACGTCGCTTGCGACGAAGGGTTTGACAAGTAAATTAGCCCATAGACACAGCCCACTGAGTTTCTCGCCGGATCTTCTCAGTGGGTCGTGTTTCCGATCCGGTGGTAGATTCTGCGAAGCAATGCCCTTGCTATGGCCCATGCTCCCGGTTCGAGCTCCGTGAGCTCACCTACACGCCAAGGAGAAGCTGAAATAACCACAAGGCTATCAGCATAGGTATGGATAAAAAATAAGTCCTTAATAAAGTGAACTCGAACTCACGGCTTTGCTAATATTAAACCGTATCTCGCTTACTATTACGGTTCAATCTCGCGATCATTATTTAAATTTTCGGCTAAATAGCTCATTTATACTTAATGAAATTCACTCGTAAAAAGCGAAATTAAAACTCTTAAAATTACAATTCTGAATGCTTAGCCTATATAAAATGAACTAGCGACCCGCCCTCGCTTCGCTCTGGAAACATTAAAACACACATGAAACCAAAAAAATAAAATATTTTTTTTTTTAAAAAAAGTAGCCTATGTTCATCAGGGACAATGTCGGCTTCTAATGGAAAAATATTTTTTCAAATCGGTCCAGTAGTTTCGGAGCCTATTCGAAACAAACAAACAAACAAATCTTTCCTCTTTATAATATTAGTATAGATTACATTTGCGTAATTTAGGGATTACTATTTTTCTTCTTTTTTCGCATTATGAATGGATTAATTTATTCTCAAATGAATTGGCTATTTCTTAATTCGCTAGTGTAACATACGCAACAAGCTTATTATAAGATTTTTTCTTATTATAATGAAACTGAATACACAATGTTATGCAGTCTACGTTAAAAGTTAAGCGAAAACGCAAATCCAGTTATTGTTTATTTTTAAAAATTGTGTAGAATTCATAGAAAGTAGAACGTAAAAATCTAGACAACGAATTCTCGAATATAATATGGAAATTGGATCTCACCGTATACATAACATATTATGTTTAATATTACGTGTCGTCTGCAACGTATATCCGGTTTATTTTAATGAATTATATTCTTTAATATTCGTGAGCATTCATACTAATTAGCATTCGTTTAGCCAGTTATTAGCGTATAACGTTGTGTTTTTTCTACCTTATCTAGTTACCTCGAGGTCTTATTCTAGATTCACCGAGCTAGTAGGTGAGCTCACGGGGCTTGACCTAGCAAGAGCAGTGCTTCGCAGAATCTACCACCGGATCGGAAACGCGATCCACTGAGAAGATCCGGCGATAAAATCAGTGGGCTGTGTCTATGGGTTAATTTACCCGTCGAGCCCTTTGTGGCAAGCGACGGGTTCGGCGAGGACGGTGATCGGGCGTATAGCGTTAGGGAATACCTTAGAGACAACTAGTCATGACAAGGCTTCTTAATGGCAAATAAATAAGTATTAATATTTTTTTGTACTAAGTTAATTATAATGAACACGGGTAAACAAATCTGCGTTTTAGCGAAGATTCTATTGCATCAGAAGGTACGTGAGCACGTGGCCAACCTGTTGGTGCGTGATCACCATTGGAAACCAGGAATGGCAGCATGATATATGTGTTAACATTATGCGTTAAATATTGATAAATCAATATCAAAGAAGCTCATTTTTTTCCTTCTAAATCCAGCTACAGCTTCGAGACACCAACGTCCTGCCACGGGACAGATAAGTAACAGGGCAGAAGAAGAAGGCATTTATGTCATTTTATCATTATACGAATCTGATGATGGCTCTCGCTCTAAAGACACTATCACAATGTGAATACCGTCACATATCTTGAAATATGAGATCCAAGTCCCATTTGTAATTGCTGTCCCGATGTTCAAACCGGCACGCATTAATGTTTAGCGGCAAAAACAGAGAAGAAGTCGGTATCTAGTCCCTCGGGTTTGCTATGCGCCCTCCCAGCAGTAAATGACAGTTGTTAATGTCACTACACTGGTATGATACTCAGAAAATGTTGCAGCATTCTCTGGTGGATTCCTAGTCACCTTTTAAGATAATGTTAGGAAAATGATACTACTGTCAACTTGCCGACTTGCCAACTTGTCAACTTGCCAACAGCTAAAACCTTTTTTTTGTTATTAGACTCCCTAGTGACCTCTCTAGTGATACTCATGTATAATGAACAGTAAAATATGAGATTGACTGTTGAAGTTTGTTACTCGTTTTTACCGCCATTTTATATGGTTTTTTTTTTCTTATTTGGCAGATGAGTCAACGAGCTGACGTCCCATCTGGTGTTTGGTGGTTACCGAAGCCCATAGGTCCCAGAACGTGCCACCTACCTTGAGAAAAACCTTACAAACGAGAACGTCGACAGAAATAGACACAATAATTTTACTCACTTGAGGAATTTAGATGTATACTTGAAACAGGACATGGAGGCTCAGAGACTAGGGATTAGGTCAGGAAAAATAAGTGAGGATCCTGATGTATGATGCAAGAATAATTGTGAATTAGGTTCAGTAGGTGTTTGAGAAGATGGGGCGCGTAACGATCTCTTCTCATCTCGATAACAGAACAGATTTGGACCTGAAGACGTTTTGTTATGCCACTAACGTATCTGAACTGATCAAGATGTTTTGTATAACTCAGTATTTTGTCAGATATTTTTTTTGGTAAGAATTAATTTCATACGTGCTACGGTGTAATTTGAAGCGAAATATCGGTCATTTCAATTATTTGAACAACGCTTGGTTGCAATGGCTACGTGATTGTCTATTAATTTTCATTATGTTTATTATTAATACCTTTTGATAGTACATGCTTACCTCATTAGTGCATGCTTCGTGGCAGAAATAGGCAGGGTGACGGTTCCTATCCACACAGGCTTGCGATACATACCTCTCCTCCTCCTTGCGTCGGTTTCCTCAATACTGAGGATCGTGGTCATGGCCTTGAAACAGTTTGTTTTTTATAATGCACCGCCATCTGTTCCTATCTGCAGATGAGTGCAGAGCATCGTGCACTGTGGTATCCAGGGCTGCACGAATCTGGTCCGCCCAACGGGTCGGGTTCCTGCCTCTTGGTCGCTTGCCCTCGACTTTTCCAGTGACCACCAATTTATACATACATACATTGATGCATACCTACCATTAGTAATTTTTTACAACAATGATATCTGGTTTATTCGGTCTAATCATATTATTTCGTATGTCCGATGGAGTTTAAGCTGTGGTAGATATTTCTTGTATCACCTTGTGTCATTGGTTTATATAATAAGCATAGATTATGTCAAACGGTATCGAGTTGTATTATCGTTCTCATAACGAGAGCCTTGTGAAGGCAGGAAGGATAAGTTGGATAATGCTAGTACCTATTTCTGCCGTGAATTAAGCGGTTTGTAGGTTGAATGCAGTATAACCCTAATTTAAAATACGATTTTGAATTTGGGCAACTGCGTTAAATTTGCCATATTTAGATGCTCTTTTCTCTTATAGTCCCTAAGAATAATTCTGTACACAGGACACGTGATTATCCGCTAATCGACTAAAATTAAAGTTGTTTTTAATCTGGGGATTATAACGAAGATCACGCGGACTTAACATTCTTTGATGACAATACAATTACTACCCCGAGACTCTGCGATCAATGTCAGATCAAAACACAATAGTCGTACTTTATGTAATAGTCACCATTACGATAGACATCGTAATAAGTAAGTCATAAGAATATACGTAAGTACCAACAATAGACTATTGCGTTATTGTTAAAACAAAACAAAACGAATTCGAATTGTGCACACATAACTGTAACTTTCAAATTCAATAACACCATTTTAATTAGTTATGGTTTATCGTTCAGGCTGTTGGAGCGATCGTATCGTCTTGCAAACGATTATTACAGCACTAAAGCAGTTCCATTTTTTATTTAATAGGTGAGTGAAATTTGTAATAATTTTGCGCAGGATGTGACTGTATTATCTTATTATACGGGCATAATAGAAAACAAATATTTTTTTCGCAACTACACGCTAATAAAATAGACAAATAACTCACAGTCGAAAAGTTAAAGTTTATTTTTAATCATTCTTAACGCTAAATGCATTGTTTCGTTCACTTCAAAATACTTACAGTTCGATCAAACTATTCACTGACGTTCAAAAATGTCATTTCATACATTTCATGATTCAAAATATGCAGTTGGAACAGCGCCCTAGCGGCAAACGTAGGTAATCTTTCCAACTTCATACAACTTTGAGTTAACTTTTACGCTATCGAGAACGTTAAAAAATCTATCGCACTATGCACAATTTCACCTGTTATTAAAATTCAGTTCAATATAATAGTACAACCGCGAATGTTATCGATCTATCGCTAAAATCAAAAGCCATTTAGTCACTGTCGTGAACTTGACAGCAAAAAGTATTGAGCAAACAATGGTTGCAATGCAAACAATGTCTATGTATGTACAGCTCTCCACATATACATTAGCGCGCTTCCCATTGGGCGTACAAATTAGTTAGACTTGAATGAAAGTGCAATCGGATGTTGGTAATTCCATACACATTTTATCGTCTACTGTAAATTCGGTTTTTGTCTTTACTGTCTCATACGATGGAGGTCCTGATGGCACGTAGCCAACGATTCGGAGAGTAATATAACGAAGGCTGTAACACAAATTGTTAGGTAAATTAAAATTCAAAAAACGAAATACCTATATAGACCGATGATTAAACAAATCAATTTATAACAAACGACAGGCACGTTTGGACTGCAGCTATAATAGCAAAGGCTTTGTTTCATTTGGACACGAATAGTTAGATAAATTAAATTCAAAAAACGAATTAGAGACCGATAAATAAACAAATCAATTTACAACAACCGACAGGCACGTTCGCTGCCGCTATTGGACATCTGTTCCAGTAGGCACAGAAACCGTGAGCACTATGATGCAACGCTTCCGGTCTCTATTACCTCATTGTTGGGTTCGGAAGCTTAGTGGCTCGCTCCCATTCTTTCAGCCGGTGCAGTGAAAGGGTCCTCCGATACACTTTTACCCTTCCGATACCGCGTCCAAGGCGTCGGGTGCTCGCCACCGTTCGCTCTCTTATAAATTCGGTGAAAACACTGCGACATCACATTACAAATTCGGCGGCTGTACAAGTCAGCCGACCGATCGCTCGAGGGAAATATCTTCTCAAGTTGTTTATCAACTCTCGTATAGTGGTTTAGTTTCATCAACAAGACGCGAATACTAACTAAGCATCTAAAATGAAATTCACGGTGAGTGCGTGTTCCCTTGTGCTAGTAATGTTTTAATACAAGTGCAAAATGAAGTGTTAGTGTGACCGTTATACAGTTAAGCAGGCTTCACGCTGCAAATACCTGTTAGATAAATTTGGTTGATGTCAGCATTATGAGATTGATGGATGATTGAGAAGAACTACCTGCGATTAGCATACGTATATAGATGTGTAAAGTAAAAGTGGAAAAGTGAAATCGATATATAGTAGGTTTCAATAATGATGAATACTTCGATGCGGGTCAAAATAAACTTGATTTCATTCATCTGTACTCGTCATTCCTGTTTTATAAAAAGTTATATAAAAAATATCAGAGCTGTGTAATTACGCAATATGCTGTTTTTATTTTAGTATTATCACCAGTTTTTTTTGTTGCAGGTTGCATTCATCACTTTGTTAAGTTTATCGGCGCCATGGTCCATCCTAGCAAAAAGAGCCGACGATGTAAAGGATAAACGAGAAGCCCCTGCAAGCTATGTACATGGACTCTCTTCATCAAGCTATGCATCTTCTGCACAGTCTCCGTCGAGCTATACATCTTCTGGACAGTCTCCATCGAGCTATACATCTTCTGGACAGTCTCCATCGAACTATGCGTCTTCTGGACACTCTTCAGCAAGCTATCAGCCATCATATCAAATCAGTACACAAAACTACCAACCAGCCACGAATTCGCATGGCGATGCCAGCTCTATTAATGTCGGAGCTGGATATAGTATTGGTGGAATAAAACCAAGCTTTAGTTACGATGGTCAAGGATCTGCTGGGCTTCAGTACCCATCTCAAGAGTATCCTGCTAATGGTCATGCCACTATTCAACTTGCTCCTATCACATTGCAACCCACTCACGGCGCAGGCGGTCTAGTATCCGGAGATATCTCCCAAATTATGAATCAACTGAGCCATAGTCTTAATTCTGGAGCTCTTTCCTTGCAACCATCCAACAGCGTTGCAGAATTCCACATTGGCGGTGAAGGCGGACAGGGCCAAGAGCTATCGCAGCCGCAATATAATTATGGTAAACTGCAGCAATATAATTTAGTTGGATCTTTGGGAGGCTCCCCGGCGCACTACGCATCTGGAGTGAAAGGTCTCAGTTCTTATGGTTCAACTGGACCAGTATTATTTAATCCATCCGAGTCTCAGTCTTCGCAATCCTCAGCTTTGACATACTCCGCACCTAGTTCAGGACATTCGGCCGATGAAGGAAGCTCTGCTTCTTCTAGCAGTGGAGGTCATTCTCTAGCCGGATTATCTTTCGGTAGCTCAGGACACCCCTTCGGCGCATCTTTGAAAAGCTATGGAGGTAATAATCTTGGTGCTAGTAAAACTCCCTTCACGCCATCAGTTTTCTTAGGATCATCTGTTCAAGGCGATTCCAGTCATGGGCTTTCTGCCGGGCCTGTAGCTTACAGTACGCCATCTTTCGCTGGCTTCCCTGGTGGTCACACGGCTTTCACTTTCGGACCTGCTGCTAATGGACCCAGTTATCCAGGCTCTTTTGGTGGATTTGGAGCTGATTCTTCTAAGTTCCTCGCTCCAGCTTTTGGTTCCATTAAGAGTGAGGGTCTTGGTCATTCCTTAGATGGTTTGGCTTCATTCGGATCAGCAGGGCAGTTCGCGTCTCCACCCGGCACCACTTACGGTTTCCCAACAGCATCGTATCCCGCTGTAGCATCTCATTCCGCTAGTGCTGCCAGACCTTACTATGTCAGTACTCCAACGAAGCATTCACACAAAGGTTCGGGGTCCTCATTGAGTTCTCCTCACTCTGGTTCTAAGCACAGCTACGCAGGCCACAGTGGCTCTCGGTATTCTCCTAAAGACACCCACGGCGCTCACAGTGAGACGAGTTATAACACCATTAAATACAGCGAAGAACTGAAACCGCGTGTCCATTAGATCTCCGATATAGTTACTGTTGAACGATTTCTTTTGTAAAATCTATCTGACATTGAAAATCGTTTCTGAGTTACGTTGAATGTGGCCCAGACAGAATATGCGGGTTTGTTTGGGTGAAAGTTTACCATTAGTATTAATTATTATTAGCGTTCGTTCTGCTAATTAACTGGGCTGCAATTATTTCGATTCTTGCCATCAATCGAGAGCCATAACTTTCCTTTTAGTATGGCGTGCGTATGCGATTGCTTACATTTTAAAGTTGTTCGATTCGAAACGAGTTTGAAAGAACGAGCCATTAATATAATTATTAGGTGCATGTTTTAAATCACTAACCGCAATGCTGTTGGATTACTGTTACCAGTTACGATTCAATCGCCGTGAACCTTTGTAAATATTGATGTTAATTTTTAAGCAACTTATTTATTGTTGTAGTGTTAGATATAAGATCGTTACTGTTTTCAATAAAATGTTTCACAAATATGATGTATTATTTTCATGTGGCGCACACTGAACACCTAATAGGATTGTATTTAGGGAAGATAAACTTTATGATTCGAAAAACAAGTAACGTGAATGTTTCTTTTAGAACTCTACAATATGCAGAAACAATTTCGCTTGAAGGAAAGTTTTTAAGGAAATCGAAAGAGTCTTGTCACGGCACACACAACACCACGAAAGCACACATATTACCTATAAATCTTTTAACCGTCAGAATAAGCTACCTTGTTTGTAAAACCAGACCGTTGGTAATGATCATGATCGTAGATTTCTTTGACCAAATAAAGCACTGGCTAGTTGAGTGAACATCGATACATTAGTGAAGATATTATCAAAACAAATTGTCTTATACGTATGATAATTTTTTATAGTCAAACGTCAGCCGACAGACCCAAAGAATGTAAATTTGTAAGATTTCTTCTTAATCGTTTCACTCTTGACAGAGTAGTCGAGATCGTTTTTTAGGCTTGGGGGGAGTCAAGGCTATTCTGATGCACTAAGGGTTTTCCCACCGCACTTTCTGATTTGGTCGGCGGTCCAGCCCATTGGAGTGTTTCCGTGTGGTCTTGTCCACTCTTCCTGTAATATATAAATGATTAAAGTCTACCTGGCTATTAATTAGAATAGGCTCAAATTTATTGGTAGCAGAACGCATTGTGAACCTACACTGGTGGTACCTACTTAGCTACTGATGCACACTAGGTATATTGTAACTAATTTGTGTTTTGTTTTTTTTTGCCGCGAAGAAGTCACGTGTACCAGTTTCTTTTTATGATTGAAGTATTACTGATGGCCCGGAGGCCTTTCCAGTTTCACCAGGACAGTTGGGCGAGCAAGGCTCAACCAGGAGGTGTGGGATTTCCTAACAGCTGCCCGAGCGCCTTCGAAGAAGACCTAACAACTCAAGAGTAGCTGCTTCGCGAATGAATCTAGTACCGAATCGGAGTCACGACCCGCTGAGAAGATCCGGCGAGACACTCAGCGGGCTGATGCATGGGTTAGGTTGCACGTCGAACTCTTTGCCGAGTTCGACGAGTACGGTTACCGGGATAGAGTTATCGGATATAATGGATCCGTAAGGACGTGTCTAGGGCGACAACGGGCCTGCGTGAACAGGATTCGGGGAGTGTACCAGTTGTAAGGGTGGGCTAGTACTATACGATTGAAAGTTCTACTTCATGTCTCAAGGTGGATGAAGGCATTCACGTTGTGATATTTATGAGCTCCGGTAATCACTTAACACCAGATGTCGTTGAAGTCGTCGTGGCCTAAAGGATAAGACGTCCGGTGCATTCGTGTTGAAGCGATGCACCGGTGTTCGAATCCCGCAGGCGGGTACCAATTTTTCTAATGAAATACGTACTCAACAAATGTTCACGATTGACTTCCACGGTGAAGGAATAACATCGTGTAATAAAAACCAAACCCGCAAAATTATAATTTGCGTAATCACTGGTGGTAGGACCTCTTGTGAGTCCGCACGGGTAGGTACCACCACCCCGCCTATTTCCGCCGTGAAGCAGTAATGCGTTTCGGTTCGAAGGGTGGGGTAGCCGTTGTAACTATACTGAGACCTTAGAACTTATATCTCGAGGTGGGTGGCGCATTTACGTTGTAGATGTCTATGGGCTCCAGTAACCACTTAACACCAGGTGGGCTGTGAGCTCGTCCATCCATCTAAGCAATAAAAAAAAAAAAGATGGACCTCGAGCTCATATAAGTAATAATGCAATACAATAAACAATGCAGTATTTACTGGAGGTATTTTCTGGTAGGTGGTGGTCTTGTGCGCCCGCACGGGTAGGTACCAGCACTCTACCTATTTGTGCTGTGAAGCAGCAATGCGATTCGTTTTGAAGGGTGGGGCAGCCGTTCTGCTAAAATACTATAAAATACTATATAAAACACATGTCTTAAGGTGGATGGCGGCATTTACGTTGTTGATATCCGATGAACGCTTAACATCAGGTGGGCCGTGAGCTCTTCCGTAAATCTTAGCAAAAAAATAATAAAAAAGAAAATACTACCCCGGTCCCCTGTTCTTCTTTATCGAAATAATAGTAACCTCCTATATTTCTATCTGAATTTAGATCTTGAGCGACTTAACGGGTGGATATCATCATACTCCTGGTTGCTGTAGGAGACGAATCGCTCGACATTAGTGATGTGGGTGTGTTTGTGTGTGTGAAGGCAATTATGATATTGAGATTTCAATATTGTTTCTGCGTATTGGTATTCACGTCGGTGGCCCGTATAATCGCCTATCGTGCGTGTAGGAGGTCCGTAAAATCGCCTATGTAGGTTAAAAAAACGTAAAACACGCATCCAGCGAGGTGTTTCATTTCAGATACGGCGTTCGTGTTTACGATATGTGTAATCTCCGTGTTTGTTATACATGACACGCGTATGTATGTCGAAGTGATATAATTTACTCGCTACTAAGAAAGTATCGATTACGGAAGCCTAAAGTTGTGACGTTGAATAAAATTTTCAGCTAAAATTACACCTCGTTACGTAATTATCGAACATAACCGGGCCAGAGATTTATTTAGTAATCACTACGTGCTAGAAGACAATGAAATTGCGGGAGTCGGTTGTGATTGTAAAACGAATATCTACTGGATTTCCAAAATCTTTTGAGGATTTTGCATGTTTTGGTTTTGATTGTAAAAAAATGAATGTCTCGTTTGTACGGTTTGAGTTTATTGGTAAGTTGGACAGGTTTAGTGGTTGCGAGCGAGAGAAAATCGATATAAATAATTCGAATGACTTGGATGACAACTAGGGTTGCCAGATATCCCGTATTTTAGGCTTAGTTTAAAATGTTCCGACGGGACTGATTCTGTCCCGTATTCGAACCGTATGATTATAATTGTATAAATTTTTATAAATATATTAAAATCGATAAAATTATGTTAAAACTGACTTGCTCCTCGGAGAAATATGAAAAAAAAAGAATTTCACTATAATTTTGTTTTTAAATAAATCCCGGGTAAAAAACTAAATTCCCGTATTTTTTTGCCTATTTAAGCATTTGCCCCTTATAGGCTGAAAAAAAATCTGGCAACCCTAATGAGAACGGTAGATAGGTCAGCTGTTGCTCTACTCGTGTTAATGCAAAAGCTAGTTGTAGGAAAAAATTTGAAATGAAGTTTAAAAACTTTAAATAAACCGCTTGAATAGCGAATCGAACTGGACTAGACTAGATATTAATTTCATTTTTTTATTCTGTCAAGGCGAAGTTAATTAAAATTATTAAATGGTGATTTAAATTTTCATGTTAGTCAGACGTCTAGAAGTCGATGAAAATCACGTTCACACATTCCGTTGCACACAAAGAAATATACCAAGCTAATGAAATCGTGTTAAAAACATTATTATTTAGCTACTAAATATAAATATGTATTTAGATGACAGTGTTATAGCTGTGAAAGAATTAGAATGATCCACTAGGCGTTTTAAGCTTTAATTTCACATAAAACACTTAAGTACTTACCTAAAGACTCATTGTAAATAGGTACTTAATTAAAATAATAATAATAACTGGGAACAAATCACGCACGGTCATCCGACCCCAATTTAGGATTCCTTGTGATATGGGTATCAGAGACTGACAAATATACTTATTTACGTTTAAATATATACATATTATTATACAGATAATAAACACCTAGACAAAGAGCAAACAAACATGTTAATCACACGAATGTTTGTCCGAGGTGAGAATTATAGTTAATATACATAAATTAGTTATCGATAAGCAACTCAAGCACTCCACAAAAATTTTTACGGGCGTCGGCCACTATATGGCTTCGCTTCGATTCGTTTCTCATTGCACTTGTAGATGGCAGTAACATATTAGCAAAAAAAATATGTTCATTACGATTTTTTTTTTAAAACTGCAGTTACTTTTTTTTTCATAAAAATATGTTCATCACAATTTTTTTTTGGGCCGCGTACCGAACCTCCTACGAGGTCCTCGCGCCTAAGGGGCGCACGGTGTATGTGGGACAGGTCCGCGACTGCGAGACCGCGGGCCCAAGGGTGTTTTCAGGGCGCTACTCACTATACGACTCCCCTGCACTCCTTGCCTAAGCGTCTGATCCCCTCCGAGGTTAGAACCCGGATGAGGTAAGGGGGTTACCGTGGTCAACACTACAACCACACGGTGCAGCTCACCCCAAGGACGCCCAGCCGACGGAGCCTTCGAGGCGAATCGAAGGCTCTAAAACGTCGGCCGTCTCGGTACGGCAGCCCGTGAGGCCGCCCAGACGGTGCCGCTGGTCCAGAACTAGCCTGCCAGGTTGGGACGCGATACACCGCCAACCGGTTGCTCTTTTGTATCTACTTGGCGGCGCGCTAGAGTACTGGTAACGCGCCGCGCGGCCTCGACCCCCTTAGGTCGCCCCGTGACCTTCACTGGAGGGAGGACCCAACCTACAGGGAGTAACATATCACCTATCCTACATTTTATTTTTAATTAAGGATTTTATAAATTTTCTGAAACCACAAATTGATAAAATTTTATCAATTTGTCTATAACAAATAAAAACTTGTATGATTTATTAATTTTTTATTTTCTGTGTTTAGTTGTACTATAATTAAATGCCTTAACTTTAACAACATATAAGTTTAGGGGCATCCGGTACAAGATGTCGCTAGTTTGCATACAAAAATTTTTTTGTGTTAAATTATCGCAGTTTCAGGGCTCAGGTGAGAATTGAACCCATTGAGCCCACTGAACCTCGGCGCAAGTAGCAACAGTCAGAGGCGTTAATTAATGCACCACTTGCAGTTACTTTGTGAGATCTCTAAATGAGTCGACGTGCTCATTGAAGTCAGGTCAAGTCGGGTGCTTAGTGTTTACTAGACTTTGCAGGCATCACAGTGTGACCACAACGATAAATCTTGAAGTCGAAGTTTCAATTTAGCTGTACAATGACCGTGTCAAATTAGAAAGCACGTATGCGACGCTGCGTAGGGAGGTGGTAATATCCCCTTGTAGTTTATACATTCCTAGTCCAACGGTCATAGCGCCTCCAACTCATAGGCGGAAGTCCGGTGATTACGTCAATCGACAGGGTATCCGTCAATGCGGTTCATTTGAGACACGACACGAGTTAAAAAAGACCAGCGACCTTCATGTAACTCCGGTAACTCCTTTTAACGTTCTCGATAGCGTAAAAGCTAACCCAATTGTATATGCAGTTGGAACAGCGCCTCTAATGGCAAACGTACGCAAACGATCCCATTCCATAAAAATGAAAGATGTGGTGTCGTGGGACACCAGGTAGGAACGAAGTTCCTTTAGCTAATGTAGAATTGACACAATTTGCAAAAAAAAAAACGTGCTCAATTTTATGTAGGTTTTCTTGATTTTTCTCTTAAATTTTGCTGATTCGTTTTTATTTAAGTGCAGGAAAGTATGTAAAAGTAAAAGAAAGAGGGAGAAAGAGAAAGGTATTATATACTACTCGCTTGTGTATGCGACTGTCGCGCCTGTAACGGTTTTATTCCACGCACTTTTTTCCACGGATTTTTTCTTACGGTTTTACTATCACATTTTTTTCAGTTCGGTCGCGCAGCAAAATCCTTATCCCCTCCAAGCCTGCCGTAAGGAACTTCGTTCCAAAAATATGAGCTAACTTTTACGCTATCGAGAACGTTAAAAAACTCGCACTAAGCACACTGCAAGGCAGCTGGTCCACATTAAAATGATTGTTATTGTAAAATGTGTCATTAAACATATAAAAAACGCGATAACGAGTTATTTAACCGTAATAGTTATTTAATCGTGAACAAACATAATAGTGTATGTAATGAACAGACAGACTGGTTGTCGAATGCATAAGAATGAGTAATTCCGTACATTGTGTAAACTGTTGCTCAATATCTTCGTTCACGGTCGAGGGGACACGTGGAAGAGTGCTTACTTCCGAATTTGTCTCATTGTGTAACTTCTTGAGTTTTTTTTTTGCACGATAGATTTTTTTTTTAAATGGTTTACTGGGAACATTAACTATGTGAGATTACGATTTAGTGCTGTTTTTTTTTTAATTAGCATCATTAGAATAAATTAGCACGTTCAATAGTGGCAGGGCTTCTTGTGAGCCGTACCTTTGCCATTTATTTTTATATTTTTGCGCGAAAACCTTTGCATAGTGTTCAAGTGTTTGATCATGCGTCTCACGATCGTATGTCTCATCTTGTTCCCAAGTTTTTTCTAGAAATCACTAAATTGATGAGTGTTCACGGTTGACTTTCTATTCATGACGTATGTTCGGACTATGGTGACCTTTTTATAGATTCTGCTGATTTTCTGGAATATCTGGAGAACACGAATAATCCGAGAAATTTGGAGTTTGCCTAATAAGTCTCCGTGGTCTAAGATCAATTTATGTATACTTAGAATGCCTTTCCTTTTTTTTAGTCGTGAGATTTTGTTATAAGCGCCATCTTACGATACTTGGATGAAGCGAAATAGAAAGATGATGTGACTAATCCCTCTTTTCTGAGTGTTAATTCCAATATTTCTAACGTGTCTAAAATATAAATAAAATTTTAATCACTAGATAGAGCTATTAACTGTTATTGTTCCTGGTGACAATTATTGTCATACCATAATTAAAAATACGCGGAAAGAGTGCTAATGTTGTAAATGATCTGTATGTTTTTTTTTATTGACTAGCTTGGTCGGTGGCGGAGTAGTTAGTGCCACTGATTGCTATGTCGCGGGTTCTATTCCCAGGTCGGGCAAACATTTGTGTGATGAACAGGCTTTTTTGCTCTTTGTCTGGGTGTTTTTTAACTATGTATTTATCTATTTAAACGTATTTAAATATGTATAATAGTCTCTGGTTCCCATAGTACAGGAAATTCTATTTTGGGGTCAGATGGAGTCTTGATTACTGGTGGTAGGACCTCTTGTGAGTCCGCCTATTTCTGCCATGAAGCACTAATGCGTTTCGGTTTAAAGGGTGGGGCAGCCGTTGTGACAATACTGAGACCATAGAACTATATCCCAAGGTGTGTGGCGCATTTACGTTGTAGATGTCTATGGGCTCCAGTAACCATTTAACACGAGGTGGGGTATGAGCTCGTCTACACATATACAAGCAATAAAGAAAAGATGACCGTGTGTGACTTGTCCGCTTATTTATTATAGTACTAGTTATTTATTATAAATATTCGTTATTGTTTATATAAATAGGTAATGTGCTCGCAGCCCATCTGATCTTGTGTGGTTACTGGACGTTATAGACATAATAAGGTAAACGCTGCCCCAACTTCTAGACATGGAGTCGGATTCAAAAAGTGTCAATTGTATTGTATAAAAGCCATTTAATCATAAAAACCACATTCGCAAAATGTTGGAAGAAAACAGAGCGGGGTCAAAATTCAACACTGTTTTAAATTTACATTTCAATCATCCTTGTATTCTTTAGTGAGGTAATATAAATAGATATCCTTTGTTAAAAGTTGTGACATTGCTTACTAAATAAATTAGAATAATGTATGTGTGTCTTTTGGAGATCAATTTTTATTTTGACCTAATCATTTTTATGGAGTTATTTGTCTACTCGATTAATAGATAAGAGTTCGTGTTTTGAGTAGATATTTATAAATAGCAGTGTTGCTTCAACGTAAGATACTAATTTGATGATATATAGTTTCTCATACACCTCTAGTATTCCAGAACTTAAATTTAAACCTACTTCCCTTGTTAATATGTAAATCTGCACTGTAAAGAACCAAATCTAGTCTGGCTTATTTGTTTCTAGACCAGTCTAGAAAGCGTTAGTCTGTGTTGTACCTACAATAGTAGATAGATAATCCCGCTCTCAGTCAAAGAGGTCGAAACAAGTTGTAACATAATAGCCATTCAATTCCTATACAGTTAAAGTCACACGTGAGACAATCGATTTGATTGCGGAAGTAAATATTATTAGTGAAAGGATTTGACTATTGTTTATAAGTTAATTTACTCATTTGTCTATTTTTTTTAAAATGCGCAATTTCAGGAATTGTTTTTGTTTTATTGTATTTTTAATTTATTCAAAATTTCGAAGTCGTCGTGGCCTAACGGATAAGACGTCCGGTTCATTCGTGTTAAGCGATGCACCGGTGTTCGAATCTCAGGCGGGTACCAATTTTTCTAATGAAATACGTACCTCCACAAATGTTCACGATTGATTTCCACGGTGAAGGAATAACATCGTGTAATAAAAATGAAACCCGCAAAATTATAATTTGCGTAATTACTAGTGGTAGGACCTCTTGTGAGTCCGCGCGGGTGGGTACCACTACCCTGCCTATTTCCGTGAAGCAGTAATGCGTTTCGGTTTGAAGGGTGGGGTAGCCGTTGTAACTATACATGAGACCTTAGAACTTATATCTCAGGGTAGGTGGCGCATTTACGTTGTGGATGTCTATGGGCTCCAGTAACCACTTAACACCAGGTGGGCTGTGAGCTCGTCCACCCAACTAAGCAATAAAAAAAAAACAGTTCGAGTTTCATTCAGCAAAAAATCAAACTTGACTCTGAAAGTTGAAAGTAATAGATACCATATTTATAGAAGATCTAACAATAATCGTTTCGTACTAACACTCTTCATAGATGATTTGCTTCCCTTTAGCATTTAAAATATTGACTCCAGAAGTGTATTTGTCCTTCTTCAAACGAGGCTTGTGGAGTGTATTAAACGGTAGGCAGCGGCTTGGCACTGCCCCTGGCATTGCTGAAGTCCATGGGCGACGGTAACCACTCACCATCAGGTGGGCCTTATGCTCGTCTGCCTACAAGGCAATAAAAAAAAAGAAAAAGATTTTTTGTAAGACGTCAACTAGTACATGTTGCAGTCAATGCGGCATATTTCCTTATGCGTGCAAAGGAAGTTCGTAATCTTGTAGAAACTAGATACGTACGTGTCCGATACAGGACAAAGACCTATCCGGCGGTCACTTCCCTCGACCAATATCCGAAGCACGAGGAAAGTGGTTTCATGCACGTTCTTATAAATACGTTAACTTCGATACTGTCTTACACTTTTCCGAACGGTTTCAAACATACAACACTTTTCCTTGTAAAACGTAATAGTACGTTCTGTAAAATAGTAGTGAATTTTTTTATTGTATCGCGTAACATTATGGCAATAAGGAAACTGTTGGTGAGCATCATTGTTATGTTTACGTTAATGAGTTTCGGTATCTGCAATCCGAACATCCACTATTGATCGCTATCATGTTTCACTATTTCTTTTATCCGTTGAGAATCCAGACTTTAAGTTAGTAACTATACAGATTGATTGATTGTTAGAATTCAACGCTTGTTTGTTTAGCAATGATGAATTGTCCGTTGTTCATTCTCTATATTTTTTTCATTCAGATAATCATCACTTTCGCTGCGCTGGTGTGCTCAAGCGAAATAGAAGATGGTGAACACAAGAAGAGAGGAGTGAAAGGGACAGCGTTGAATTCAGTTTCAACAAGTGCTCAGAAACCTGACTACACATACAGTATTTACACTCAGAATCCTAGTACGCAGAGTGCTACGTCAAGCCAGACATACCAAAGTCAAGTACCAAACTCGTACTATCCCAGCCAGGGTAGCAGTCAGTACTACACATCAGGGAATTCGCAAGCAGATACATCGCAAACATATTCCGCGCAGCCACAAGTCAATGCTACACCCCAACAAGGCACGTCCCACTACTTGCCTATTAACTATGTTCCAAGTCCTGGATACCTAAGTAGATATCAAGTCGCGCCGAGTAAAACATCGAGTAACGCGCAAGTAGCTTTCGTTCCACAACCAAATCATTATCCGCAACAGCAAATATTCGCATTCCCTCAAATACCTCATAGCTACTTTTCGCCGAACACAGCTAATCAGGTGCATCCTCATCATAATGCGTTCGTTAGTCAAATCCCACAATTTAACTATCAACCGTTGTCACTAGGATCATTATTCGGGCACCCTTCAGGCACCGTAGTACTGGGTCAGTCCAGTCAACCTGCACACAACAATCTTTTGTACCCGAATCCAGTTCAGAATTACTTTACTCCGGCTTCTCAGTCTAATCAATATTCACAAAGTAAATATTCATCGTATGTCTCTCCAGTGCAATCGGAATATGACAAAGTCCAAGGCGCTTTAGCCCAAACGAAAGAAGAAAATGAGATTGTGACACAGAATTCTGAATACGCCGGTACATCCGATCCGAATTCAAGTTACAAGAATTCTTATAGCGGCCGTTCTGCTTATGCCAAATTGTCATAGTAACTATTAATTTTCCTACAAAACTCCATAATATGCATGCGAAACGTTTAAAATAATAACAATAAGGATATTGAAACGAGAAACGATGATGAGAAAAAGTAGTTTTTAGTGGCCATTTTAAACAAACATCCAAGACTTTTTAATTTAAGTATGAATATAGCCAAATACGGTAATTGTTATATTTTGTCATAATATAGTAAATTTTTTGTATAGCAGCTGCGTTGATGTTATTTAATAAAGGTTTTACGAGGAGACGAATGTTTTCTTACTTAAAATTCTCAAGCTATTTCAAAACGAACATTAAGCTATTTTTATGAATTTATTTTAACATTGATTAGATCTAGTTTTTTAACAAACGTCGGCTATGGCTAAAGCATCTCTTGTCACGACATTCACGAAACTTGCGTCACAACGTAAGTAATCTAACAAATTTTACACATAATAAATAATTAGATTATATCAATAACGCGGACATGCTGTTAATAAATTGAAGAAACCGCTCGTTTTGATGGATGTGAGAACGGAATTTCGTAGTGTTTAAATATTACGTAAGGAATATCCAGTTAATAACATCGAAGATGGACAGTGAAAGGGAGCGCGTGCTAACTGAACTTAAGTTGGTTTTATTTGTATCACTTAAGTGATGCGCAACCGTTTACGACTGGTCCTATGAAAACGTCATCAGAAGATTTACGAAGAGCCTCCAGCAATAAAGAGGAATTAAACTTTTAAAATTTAATTAGACTTGCCGAGGTTTTGCTTGCGAAACCCAAATGTTTTGGTATCATATAGATTAGTCAATTTGTAGTATAATTTGGGCTTGAGAATGAAATTTACTAAGACATGTTATGCTTCATTACTAATTTATTATATAAAGTTGTGTAAACTTCTAAATAGTATACTAGATGTAGCAATGATTATCCTTTTAACTTTTATTGTAATTTAAATTAGCATGAGCACTTTTTAAAATGTAAATATAATATGTATGTAGGAAGGAACGCGACATGATAGCATACTTTGTTTCGTCGAAATTAATTACGTACTTTAAATTGATTGTAAAGTACATAATAATATGATTGCACATTATTTGTTAAGGTTCGATTATTTTTTATTGTAGCTACCAATTTTGAAACATTCGATTTGGGGCGCATTAGTGGGTGAAGTTTTTTTGAGAGATTATTTATGCTTTTTTGGTGGCCTATCTATCTGCCAGGAGCCTCCGGGGACTATCTAACATCTGCCCTAGCCAGAGTCTTAGTTCGCTGAATCTGCCACCGAGAATATCGTTCTTGACCACAGCCCTTATTGTGAAAAGCGCTTCGAAGAAATTCAAGATTTTTTTTGTTGAATGGTTGGAACGTGCTCACAGCTTATTTGGTGTTAAGTAGTTACCGGAGTTTTTACCAGAAGATCTTCTATCCAGCAGGTGAAATTTCTCGGCAGATTGATGCTCCATATGTTATCATTTGAAACTTGCAGATATGCAAGCTTAGCTTGAAAATGTCATTAGTGCGATTCATGCATTTGTCAAATATCTTCCGTTTTACGGTGGCAATGGCTACAGAGCTTATAAGCATAATAATGTGTATGGCGTCATCTACCTTGACATGAAATGAAACAAAGTACTAATTGTACTACATAACAAAAGTCCCTACTTTCAAACTAAATAAATAATTTCTTTGCGGCAGAAATAGGAAGAGAGCCCATGCTTGCGCTTTTATAATTCGATCTACCCTCCATTAAGAAAGAAAGAAGATTGAAAACAAAACATGCTTTTTTTAATTATTACACTTCATTTAATATTTACATTAGCAGCCTAATTGCTAAAGGCATTCTGTACCAGTCAACCAAAGGTAGGGTAGAATAAATAGGGGTAGGTGCATTGAAATATAAATTAAATTACAAATACATACAAAAAACACATACACATCATACATAAGTGTAAATATATATATACACAAAAACATCTACATATACATATATGTATAAGTATATAGTTTGTACAATATTTTTAGGCTTATGCAACCGACGATTATTTCCCTAAGTAATTTTAACACGTAATTCAGTAATGTACTGATCTTAATCTCAACCATTTGAAATTACCAGAACTGCTTGGCAGAAAGCAAATGGCTATTCAACTGTTTTTGGTATGAGTTATATCAGTCACACGGTGCGGTGATTGATTTTGATTTAAATAGCCTTTGCTTATCTGATAGAAAACGATTCCAAGTCATGTTTTTGATTTCAGAAGTCTACGCTTTTTTTCCCAAGATTTATTTCTCTTGTGTGTATAGGTTCAATGAGTATAGAATAGCAAATTTTTATACTAGTTGATGTTAGTAGGAGAATGAGAAGTTGAATAAATTTAACACACTGCTTGATTACGAAATGTTTTTAATGTTTCGAGATTTATTTAAATTATTATTTCTTCGATTAGTACTTATAATGATTTATCTTATATCTTTAAGCGAGCAATTCTTGTATATATATATAATCCGAATCTTGGAAAGGGCTCCAACGATTTTCATAAAATTTAGTATACAGGGGATTTCGGGGACGATAAATCGATCTAGCTACGATTTATTTTCAGAAAATGTTGTTTTATTCGTGTTTTCAATAATCAACTTTATCGATAATCAACTTAAACATAAGCTTTTTTTTGTTTATATGTATGTGTTTGACGTATTTACTGTCTCTTTATTAGAATCTGTATATATTTGTATGTTTGTGTGTATAATTTATATTTTAATGCACCTACCAAAATTTACTTTGCACTACCTTTGGTTCAGTGGTAAAGAATGCCTTAAGTCCGCCAATATAGATAAATACATGGAGTGGAATAAAAAAAAATTGCACATGTATCAATCGACGATGATAATAAAATAATTTTATTACTTTGCTCTGACATTCTGAAAGAATATAAACATATTAGTTTGGCTCGGTGTTTTTACTTTTTTAACTAAATTGAATTAACTTTTTAAAACAATCTTGATATTATAAACTCGTAATTATTGGTTGTATAGCGTTACTTCCTTTAAATTATTTCGTGTCTCTTACTGGCATTGAGGTATTTTTACTTCAATTTCAGAAGTCCTGATTTTCTATTAATATTTCACAATCCTGACTTAAAAAATGTAATTCAATTATTCAAATCATAGCTTCAAAGTGAAATATAGTATAAATCGAAATTTAAATGAAAAATTGCTCAATTTCATTGAATTTAATTTCCAATGAACTGGTTTACTCATCTCGATAGTACGTAATGATGATTGCGCAATGAAACATGCTATATTTTATCCACATTTTATTTCAGTCTAAGTGTCAATATAAATTGTGAGCGTCGTAAAGACGTTTGGTAATTTTTATAAATTTTAAATTAGATTGAGGTTGAATAATGATAAGTACATTTACTGGCGGTAGGACGTCTTGTGAGTCCGCACGGTTAGGTACCACCACCCTGCCTTTTTGTCTCGTGAAGCAGTAATGCGTTTCGGTTTGTATGGCAGGGCAGCCGTTGTACTGTTAAAAGTGAGACCTTAGAGCTCATGTCTCAAGGTGGGTGGCGGAATTTACGTTGTAGATGTCTAAGGGCTATGGTAACCACTTAACACCAGGTGGGCCCTGAGCTCGTCCAACAATCTAAGCAAAAAATATTTTTTTTAAGTAAATAATCGCCTTGTCTCACTGCGATCAGTGATACCAGGATGGAGTCTTCCTTAAAGATGCTTACGATTCGTAATCTGTATTAGCTCTTGTCTCGTTTGTGTTTCTAATATCCATAGCACAGGAGAAACTCCTTTTAATTCGTGGCTGCTGAATGTGAAATGTTTGTTTATTTTGATACTTTTTTGTAGCAAAGGAAAATACAACAAATAAATTTTAGATAATAATGTCATATTTCGTAATGATTCATCGTAAGTTTTGTTTTCATAGCTCTTGGTTTTTATGAGTTGAATTTGTTTTAGCTATAGCTAAGTAAGGCAAGTAAATAAATGTACTCACTATTTAAAACACCAAAAGGCTCATTGTTCCTAAATGTCAATGTTGTATGTTAATCAAATCTAAAGTATGCTGAATTTGAAATTAGTTGAATAAATCTGTGAATAAATTTCGAAATTGCAGTTAGGAATCATAAGAACACGTTAAAAATACTATATCGATGCGCTTAATATACATACATAAATTATTGTGATAATATAAGTCGTATGCAAAATTTGTTGGCACACTACGTAATATTATACTATGGCTGAAGAACAACAGCTTATCCGTAAAATATTTTATATTGTTTATTAACAAGTTTGTGATCTGTGGAAAGTTATTGACTAAATATTTGGAAACATTAATTTTAGATGTATTCAATTATTTATTTATTATGTGGTCTAAGCGTGAGTGACTATAGATACAGATAGGATGACTTTTATCCCATTGTCTTCAGGTTTGAAGACATCAGCATTCACACTGTATAAATAAGTCTAAAGCAATGCCATTAGGTTATGAGGTTATTTTGAAATAATTATCTCAGTGGCCAATTATCCAAGTACTAATTAAAAACGTGAATCTTTTAAGATAGAAATGAAGCGCTATTTTTTTGCACGTTGCGCTCGCTCCATACAAAATTTAAACCGCAAATAGCTCAATCAGAGTTTTACTAACACGATTACATTGCGCAAGAACCATTCCAATAGCTATTATTATCGCTCCCTTTCCCGTGAAAGTGGTCACGCAAATTCTATCGGATGTCTTAAGTAATTGGGCTCTGTACCAACTGGTCTGGTGCTAGTAACGCTTTTAAAGCCTTTTGTTTTAACCCTTGAAACATCTAAATATTATCCTGATTGGAATGAATGAAATTCATCTTAAACTACGAGAATAATTGATAGAAATATAGTTACCTATGGTTCTTCTTCATTATCTTATAGTGACGTGTCTCCATGAGAGTTCGGGATGAAAGCTATTGATACTAGAATAAAAAAGATAAATATTAGACCAATATTACACAGCGTTTTAAA